TGAATTGATAATGTTTTTAAATGTTGGGAACAGATAATCATTATCATCAAAGTAATAATTTTGTATTTCTAATAAGATTATTATAATATTCAAATAAAATTATAACATTGTTGACATTCAAAGCTTTAAAATTCTTCTAACAAAATTGTGTATCATATAAAATAATGATTGTTAATTTGAATATATTAGATTTAATATTGATTTTTTCTGTATAATTATTGTGAACTTATTATATGTCTTAGCATTGTAATTACTTTACAAAAAACTCGAAAGTGTTAATTAAATTAAATTGATCTAAAAACGATTTTGTGAAATATCCATAAAAATCTAATATAATATTTTTTTTCGAGGTCACACAATTGTTGCTGTTGATTTGTATCGTCTTCGAAAGCTGCCTGTCATTGCCAATTCCGTCAGAACTATTCGAAGAGATTACTCATTTCGAAGATGAACCTCAAGAGCCGGAGATTCCCGAAGAACTTACTAAGCCCAAGTTCGCGTTCTTACCGTTACCTAATTTCTCTGAATTCTCCGATGACACAGAATGGAAACACAAAATCTTGATGCCGAAATTTGCCTATGCATATAAAAACAAATATGAAGACACCGTTCTTAACTCGGAAGTGACGTCGTCGTCGCCGTCGGTTTCCGAAGATGAACCTCAAGAGCCGGAGATTCCCGAAGAACTTACTGAGACCAAGTTCGCGTCCTTACCGTTACCTAATTTCTCTGAATTCTCCGATGACACAGAATGGAAACACGAAAACCTGATGCCGAAATTTGCCCATGCATATAAAGACAAATATGAAGACACCGTTCTTAACTCGGAAGTGACGTCGTCGTCGCCGTCGGTTTCCGAAGATGAACCTCAAGAACCGGAGATTCCCGAAGAACTTACTGAGACCAAGTTCGAGTTCTCACAGTTACCTAATTTCTCTGAATTCTCCGATGACACAGAATGGAAACACAAAATCCTGATGCCGAAATTTGCCTATGCATATAAAAACAAATATGAAGACACCGTTCTTAACTCGGAAGTGACGTCGTCGTCGCCGTCGGTTTCCGAAGATGAACCTCAAGAGCCGGAGATTCCCGAAGAACTTACTGAGACCAAGTTCGCGTCCTTACCGTTACCTAATTTCTCTGAATTCTCCGATGACACAGAATGGAAACACGAAAACCTGATGCCGAAATTTGCCCATGCATATAAAGACAAATATGAAGACACCGTTCTTAACTCGGAAGTGACGTCGTTGTCACCGTCGGTTTCCAAAGATGAACCTCAAGAACCGGAGATTCCCGAAGAACTTACTGAGACCAAGTTCGAGTTCTCACAGTTACCTAATTTCTCTGAATTCTTCGATGACGCAGAATGGAAACACGAAAACCTGATGCCGAAATTTCACTATACATATAAATACAAATATGAAAACACCGTTCTTAACTCAGAAGTGACGTCGTTGTCGCCGTCGGTTTCCAAAGATGAACCTCAAGAACCGGAGATTCCCGAAGAACTTACTGAGACCAAGTTCGAGTTCTCACAGTTACCTAATTTCTCTGAATCCTTCGATGATACAGAATGGAAACACGAAAACCTGATGCCGAAATTTGACTATGCATGTAAAGACAAATATGAAGACACCGTTCTTAACTCGGAAGTAATGTCGTCGTCGCCGTGGGTTTCCGAAGATGAACCTCAAGAGCCAGAGAGTTCCGAAGAATATATTGAGATCAAGTTTGATGAACCGGACGATGATTACGAAACATTGCATGACAAATTCTTCAGAGGAAAGTATCAAGAAATCAAGATGAATCGAGAAAGCTTACCAGTAGCCATTCCAGGATCGGATTTTCCGGAGGAAAATTCGTTATCGGAAGAGGACTTTTTCAACCTAAAAGGTAATAAAAATCTTCTTCGTCGTGCAGAATGCAATTCCTTAAAATAAAAATATTATTTTATAGGGAGTCGTCCATCTTATAGATTATGGCATAACTGGAATTGATGTCGAACACGTAACTCAGGATGCCACGAAGATTACTGATGCTACCAAAGACAAATACAGTGAAATATACTACGAAATAGATAGAGTCATAAAAGAAATCCTGGCGTTTAAGGATTGCCAGGCGACTTCAGCAAAAAAGATGATCGTTTATCTCGTTATTGATATCATCAATGATATCATCTCTATTATCCAGGAGCTAAGGAGGAAAAGCGAACAAATTTCAGATTTCCGAAATTTTATCAAACGCGCTGATTTGCCTGAAATTTAACATTTTATCAAAGTGGTCTGTTATATTACTGCTTTCGGCCGTTTGACTAAGGTCATACTGTAATCGATATTGGACATGTAAATTCTTTGGTTTTATTTAACTATTCTAAAGCATTCGACAGTGAATCATACGTTACTAAATCTCTAAACAGGATTACTATAGTCTATCTACAACTGCATCTGTTTATGGCATTAAAAAATATAAACTCACTTATCAACTATCTTGGCTTAAACCCTATCAACGTTTTTCTATTCTGCTTTGTTTGATGTTCTTCACGTTATGTGTGGATACAGATTCGTATTAAGAAAGCAAATAATTAATAAATAATTAGTAAATAATTAGTAAATATCATATTCATCTTTCAGTAACCCTCTATTTTACTTTAATCGTCTCAAGCGTGGTGAATTATCTGATCATAAAATGGGACACCTGTTCGGCAATGCTCCATCGTGCTCGATTCAGCGGACGAATTTCACCGTACGAATTTCACCATACGCGCGTAACATCGTTAACTTGCGAAAGCATAAGAAAATTCGAACGAGTGTGTAGCGACTCAGTACAAACTACGTTCGTCTCCTTAGTTTTCGGTTATCGTTTTCGCCACCAAGATTCTAAAGAATCCACGAGCATTACGAAAAACGCGTTGAAGATCAATGCTACTCACACACACACACATACACATATATACATACATCGCACACGATACCGTAAGAAGCGTACGTGCAATTCACGTAAGAGCATGCAAGGCGTAAGTGTCAGTGGCGACGGTGAAGAGAAAAATGAGATTAATTGTATTCGTGATTGCGCTCGAGATTAGAGGAAAGAGGTGCTCGTAGAAGCGCGCACAGCGCGTTATATGTGTTCCGGTTTAACGATTGGTATTCGTTCTTTGGTGTGAATCGCATCGTACCGAGAGTGGGTTTTGCAACAGTAACAGTGGCCGCAGCGTATTCGCCGTAATTAGTTTGACTTTCACCCATCGTGGCCGTCCATGTCGGCCATCCACCACAAGTGGCCGCCGCCGCAGCGGGGAGAGGAGGTGATCTGGCGACGATTATCCGTCGCCGTCCACGAACGATCGTTCGGACAGAGTCGTGCGATTTTTCATACACAACATACACATAGAGAGACCGAGAGGAGCAGCGAAGTAGATTTGGAAATCGATGCGCAAACGTGTGAACGTGAACGTAGCATATCGGCCAAGGGCGGTCGCGAACTCCACCTTGGGCCGAGATCTCCTCTCCGCTCTACCTCCGTCTCAATCCCAACTATTATTAGCATTAACGGGTCACAGGCTACGAGAGAGCTCGAATTGTAATGGACATCATTTAAATATCAGCGGCGGAAACGATAGCGACGACGATGACGACGAAACATATTAGTATACTGAGTAGTCCCGTCATCCTTGAGAAAGCACAAGTGGAAAGTTTCGAGTTCTCCGTAATATATCGGAAATTTCGAAAGATCGACCGATTATATAGAGTTTTAGTCGGAGTCTAAGGGTGGACGATGTGGCGACCGTATAGCTTCGCGATTGCGACACTTGTTCGGAAAGGAGGATCGTACGAGCGATCGTGTTACACGGCGAAATCGTCCTTTAACATTTTTTCGCTCATCACTGCTGTTCTCTCGAAACGCACTATTTTGACGCTGTAACAAGACAGTCAGATCGTCGAGTCAGTCGAGTGGTACTTGACGCAAGTTGGCTGAATATTTGACAGATGATAGATCTTATCGCTTTCACGTAGAATGTTAAAATGTGAAGAGATGGTCGACTTACACCGATTAGACACTTTTTGAGAGCTCTGAAAATCTTAGTCTCTTTAAAAGTCTGCATAGAAAAGAGCAAAGATACGCTTGGGGTGGAACCCTTTACGAGAGGAAGTCAGATCAAGAACTCGACTACTCGACAATCTCTCTCTCGGCATATCGTGCTGTCACGCCGGTGAAACTCGTCTTCGACGGTGATTAGTCACGTAACTTTCGTGCGAAAATTGTACAATGTATTAATTAGAATCAAGCATCGATTCTCGTTCGACGTGTCCATCGCTTTCGCGCACTTTGTTAGGCTCAGGTCGATTTTCCACGTACACAACTTCCGTACCGAATAGATGTTGAGTAATCGCTCGGCGCGAGATTGCGCGCTCTTATCGCGGTATGAGAGGCGTAAATCAAACGTTATATTGTCTGCTTTGATCACCAGTTACAGCCTAATTGTTTGTAAGTGTCTCGATTGCGATTGTAGCGCGAAGATCGGCAATCGTTAATAATTATCAAGATGAGGTAATTTGAAGTCGTGCGAAATCGCCGGGGATAATCTGTACGGGAAAGAGAAGCGCTCGGCTGACGATATAATATCACAATAGTAGAATGTACAGATGCTAAGCTGTGCGTCAGACGCATCCATGTAACATCACACCGAGACATTCACTCGCGATGCTCGCGCTTTGCTCGCTCGCACTCAGCGAGCAACGAACGCTGTCGTTACTCGCGCTTATCAGAACAATCCGACTCGCTCTAATACCTTCACCCTGATATCGTCACAGATTCTTCTTTCATGCTCCGTTGTATCCACATGGCAGCGTGATCGCGACGATAACGGCGAAGAGGAAAATAAATTCGCCGATTCACCGAGCCGCAAACTTTCCTCCCTTTCTGGGTACGAGGTCGAATCGTTCTCTGGTGGCATTCTTCGCGACGACGTGCCTGTTTTTCTTCACGGAGAACAGCCAAAAATCTCGAGTACGAGTTGGGCAACGCATCTCTTCCTCGCTCTCTTCTCTTTCTCCCGACACATACTCGCGCATCGCTTCGTAGAGAGTGTCCTTTCTATCCTTTATAGAGAGTAATGTCCTCGCGCTCGCGAGAGGGCTACTGACCTACATAGGTACGTGTGATTGTGTGCGCGACAATAACTCCTCGCGTCTCCTCCATCGGGCTTCCGCTCGACGTTTCGATCGTATTAAGCGCGCGCGCTCACGAGCGTCCAATAAATAACGGTGGGACGAGGCGGATGAAATCAGAGTGAAATGCTCCGCGTTGCACACGCGGCGCATATCAAAACTCTTCAAACGAGTAGATCTACCTGTCGTCGAGCGACGTCGGCTGACGTTACGAATGCCGGTCATACCTTCGACATGCGATCGCGTAACTGCGACTACAAGACGCGAGAGCGAACCACTACCGGACGACCGCTCGTCGGCTCGATGTCGGACGTTCGTGCGTTTGTTGCTCTTTCTCTTTCAAGAGCTACACATTGCTTTACTATTTTCGCTTTTCATTTTTGCGCCACTCTTGCGTCACTCCGCACTCTGATTTCTATCCTCGACGCGAGTAATCGCGCGATTTTCCTCTTTGCGCAGTCACTCACCCGGGAGATCGCACTTTGGATTGAGAGATCTATGCTATTTCACCATTAGATCGTTGATTCTCTCGTCTATACTGTGAAGCAAAATATCTAAGGAATAGTAGATATTCTCGATAGATATCAACAACATATTTGTTCTTACACGAATATTTAGTCTTATACGAATATATAATATTTTTCAAATAAGAAAATATATATTTTTTCTTAAAGAAACTTTAGCTTTTCATCTTAATCTTAAAGCTTTTAATCTTAAAGAAACTTTAGCTTTTCATCAAAACGATTGTTTATTCTATTTAAATAAAAGAATTTTTACTTAAGCAAATATGTCATTAATACCATGAAAAGGAATATTTACCATTTTTTTAGATGTTCTCTCTCTCTCTCTCTCTCTCTCTCTCTCTCTCTCTCTCAACGTAGATCTCGTGGACTATGTAGTGGTTTTAGTAGATCAGTTTTGTACCTGTTACTGCGAATTTTCAACTCACGAATTTATTTCTCTTTCTGTTTTAGCTGGTACGTCCACACTCGTTCGCCATTACAACATTTCATCGGCCGCACCGCATAGATGCGTCTGACGCGGAGAATCCCATTCAAAGGCAAAATAAATACTGCCGTTCTGTTCTGTTCTATTCACACGGCACACTCGTGTCTGAGCGACCGACGCGTAATCGACGCAATGAAGTACTCGCGGAAGAAAGTACATTGGGTAACGAGCGATCGGCTAATGGCTAATGGTAACGGCCCGCGCAGATAATAGATAGACTGACAACGGCGATGTTTTACTCTCTACACGCTTCGCTACTCGACGTTTCCCATAGTAAATAATGAATAATTCATTGGTACCATCGATCGGGACGCCAGTTATGTCAAGAGCGGTTTTGTAGCATTCCTATACGTTACGTTAACGCGATGAATAATCACGCGCGCGACATTTTTACAGACGCATTTCAAATTTACCGAGATAGATAAGTATATGTGGGAGTAGTAAAGTATAATTTTTATTAACAAGCGTGTATGGTTCGCGACACCTGGCTAAGGATACCACCTCACAGATTCGTTTTGCGTAATCCGCGCGCGTAATCGATGATTCGAAAACAAGTGCAAATCGTGCCAATGTCATGGATATAACGTTTCTTTTCTTTTCCTTTCTATTACCAATCGCAATTCACGTGTTGCACTTGATTTTTTTTCTCTTATCTGTCTGGTTATATATTTTAATAAACTGCCGCATTCCACGTAAATTATTCCGTACAATTCATCATCCATTTCCGGCAATGCTGTTGCACGCGTAGAGAACATCGTTTTTTAATCGTAAGACATATATAATAATAATATTTACACGCGTGCGTAGATTGCTGACTGCGTCGCCGTCGATCGGATCGACCGGCAGCCCTATCTTTCTTTCAACGCGAGACGCGGAATGCACACGAAAGAAAAAACCTGCAAATGTGCCTGCGTGACCTCCTCGCGCGCAGCAGTTAGGTGGAAAATTGTCCCGCGACGACGATGAATCTTCATTCCCGAGCACTTTCATTTTCTACTAAGCTGTCGCACCTTTGCTCCGCAGGTTTAACGGAGGCTACATCACCACGACGACGACGACGACGACGACAACGATGATGATGATGATAAGGTTGACGACAAAGACGACGAGGAGGAGGCGACGATCGGCAAACGGCCACGACGGCGGAGGTGGCGGATGACGCGAGAAGAAACCCCCTGAAATGCCGCGCAACTTACTACTACGTCCACCTTCCTGTGCCTTCCTTTTCCGTAGGTATCCCCTCGGTGGCCTCTATAAAAGTTCGGAAGAGTCTCGGCCGCACGCCACACGCGTGAAAGCTCGCAAGTGAAACGCCGCTCGACGTTCTTCTTTTTCTACGTGCCTCACATTTCGGGAGTACATATCTCTGAATCGTTCACGCGGGAGAGAATGCGTACCACGGTAGTAAGTAATGAGCAGCGCAAACCTCCTTATTGCCATGACTTGTATGTACACCCAGCTCTAATTACGAAGACGCGTCACCTCCGGGATAAATTGCTGTGCGTTTCCTATTTTTTCTTTCTTTTTTTTTTTATTTCCTTCATCATGGGTGTTCGACTCGCGTCTCTTCTTTTATCAAACGAAAGTGTGCTCGAGTGATCGTATCGGCGAGGAATATTTTGTGTGATTGTCTAATTAATCGAACGATTTGTTTGCAGAAAGTTTTAATTGAATATAAGTCGCGTTACCGTTCTATCTCGTCCGCCAATTATATATTGTACGAATGATGATTCGTCGCGCAAGTCGGAAAATCGTTTTCTTTCGTAAATCACGTGCTCGCCGTAAAAACCGTGGTTTTTCCCCGATATGATATTTCCCTCCAGCGAGTGCAACCTCCGAAAATTCAGCGAACGCTTTTTCTCCTCGGTGAGTCTCCTCGAGACCGGTTGCTATACATTCGCTGCGGTTGGCGCAATCCTCTTACCGAGTAACGAGTGATCAAGTGTCCAGGTGCGCTGGATGGGAACAACGCTTTCGATTCGCTTTTACGAAACCGCGTTGATACATCCGATCCGACGTTCGTCTCGTACTTTCTTACGTTTTTACGACTTCTCATTTCGTTTTTTCGCCGCGTCGACACGACGTAACATTTCGTTTCATTAATTTTTTTTGTCGATTAAAACGTACCGGGCGAAAAATATGCGCGTATCTAGACGCGTCTCTGCAACTTTTTCGATTGCGAATGCGAATTTTATTTCGCAACAATCCCGCGCGTTTACGTCACAACTTCTCTGAGTCGCTAACGGCACCGCTGACTGCCTCTTTTAGGTGATGGAAAGCGCGTTTTCTCGGCGAAACCGCGAAAAAGGGGAAAATTCGTCGAGCGTGACTCCGTGCGAGAGCGCGCATCGGTACGAATCTCGCGAATTAAAGCAGTTCGCGGCCGAGCAAAAGTAAAAGGATTCCTCCCGCCGTTATTCCGCTATTCACAAACCCGGCCTCGATAATTATGGCGCGAAGGAAAATAGCGAAAGCAGCTCTCCGACTTTGATGCGGCATGCTGAAGCATGATTAAGTGATCGGGGGTCGTTAAGTGAGTAGGAAGCCTCGCTTGAGCGACGTTATCGCACGCATTGAAAATATCGTCTTCCGTGTACGCTAATGGGACATGCCCATCGTGGAAAATGATGCTGAACTAATGGACCCGAGAGCCTTTCGCAGCGAGTACAAACTACTAAGATTTTAAAGATCGCACGAATAGTACGTGATTGACAGCCGTTTAGAAAATACTGTAGCGCGACTTATTGAATTCCGCCTAACAAGTTGTGAACACCTACATGCGCGCAATAACGTACCATGATTCGTCGGACTTCGCCGTTTTGTCAAAGATATGGTAATCGTACGAACGCTCACGATGAATAAGTCACGGTAATAATTCAGTGTGTTAGTCAATGAATCACGAGTTTCAGGTAGTAGTAAGGAACGAATCGCTATTGTACAAATGAAAATATCCGAGTGAAATTTTAATTCAATATTTACTCTACAAATTTCATCAAACTTGAAAGATTAATGTACAGAAACTCCAGATATATAAAACAATTGTCCTATTTTGATACTACAAATTATTACTAGCTTCTGTCTTTTCTTTATTATATTAAATTGTCCTTAAAGAAGCATTTATTTCAGAATTATTCGGCTGTTTGGATCAATGTTTCTTGTTGTACGAAATAAGTATTCATAATTCAAAACTTTCATAAAACTATAATTATTAAAACTCGTTAAGTAACGATGTATAAATGTTAGCCTCAATTTTGATATCTTTTTATTCCTAGTAAATCCATTAAATATAAAATTATATAATCGGAAACCACTTGCATAAACGATCGTATACCTGAATTCATGCAACATATCACACTCTCATCCCGCAATATCCCGTCGTTCTGCTTTCTTCATCTTGGTTTACCAGTCCAATATTCTGTCTCCCGATTGCTTCATCGTAACATTAACACATCGACACTCACGTAGATTCGATCGAAAAATTATATATTAATTAACGCGACATCAGGCGGGACTGATTGAATATTAAACGAAATATTTTATACATTTAATCGCGCGATGGAAAATTACGTATAAAAGTTTACCAACTAGAAACGTCAAAATTTAGCCCAGCACACTTATAGTCTATCATCATTTAGTAAAGAATTATAACTTTGTGAATCTCTGATTATTCAACGCGTCTATACTTATACGTGTCTATACTTATGCAACAAAAATATTGATCCAAACAACTGAACAATCCATGAATACGACACTTAATAATTCATGAATATAACTCTTGATCAATAATTATGCCCTCAATGAAAGATCGTGAATAATTTACAATTATGAATACTGATCTTAGTACCTAATGTAAATCTTACAAGTGCTTTTTGGATTTAATAATATTTATTCTACTACAAGTCTCATCTTGAAACAACTTTTTCCTCTTTAATTCTTTTGATTTTCCAAATTCTATCGAAATTTCCAATCCTCATATAAAAAAATAATAGTAAAAGGAATGTAAATGAAGAAAATTTCTAGTTTTATTTGACAATTAATTTTATTATTTACTCATATTAATTATTTAATATTTGTTTATCTCACATATTTTATCTCTTTTATAATTGAGTTACATAATTCATAATTAATTGCTTATTGAAATTAAAAATAAAAATTGAATATAGATGTGGAATATTGAGATAGTCAAAATATTAAATAATCTTGAAATATTAAATCCTTCCTTAAAGATAATTTAATATAAAGAAAATGACATTAAATAATTATTTGTAGCATCAAAATAGAATAATAATGTATATATCTGGAACTACATTAGTCTTTCAATTTCAACAGAATTTACAGAATTAAAACCACAATTATACGACTCAAATATGTATTACGAACGTCAGCGTCCCGTTAAGCAATATAGTTTCGCGCATTTCATTCATTCATTCATTCAAGTTTCAACGTATGATATAATCGCGATAAAACAATTCATTATTACGCGTATTATTGCGTGCGTAACACTGACCTGAGGCATTCGCCGTGATTCACATTCACTCATAATGTTAGAAAAAAATAACGTAGACATCGATATCGGTATGACTCTGTTGAGTTCACCATTTAAAGATCTTGCGAACACAAGAGGGACGTACGCCTCAACGTGAAGATTCTTCTTTGCGCGCTTACAACGTTGAAAACCAAATTTCCCGCAATTATGTCGACTTCAACCCTTTAACAAAAGAAAGGAATATTAAAATCAGCTTTAATGAGACGTCACATTAATTGGTTTTTTTCTTTTCTCAACAGAGCACGCTTCTCGCGATCGCCTGCTCGTCGCTGGTATTGGCGAAACCGGCGCCGGAGCCTCCGGTGAACTCATACTTTCCACCCTCCGGCGGCGGCGGCGGCGGCGGCGGAGGCGGTGGTGGCGGTCTGTCCGGCAGCTACGGGCCACCTGCGGACCGTTACGGACCACCGCAGCAGACTCCGGTGATTCACAAGCATGTATACGTGCACGTGCCGCCGCCAGAAGTGCCGGAGTACAAGGCACCGAAACATGTGCCGCAACCCTCGCCGCCGCAGAAACACTACAAAATAGTCTTCATCAAGGCGCCGACGCCACCGACGCCGACCGCGCCGGCATTGCCACCTCTGCCGCAGCCTGACGAGGAGAAGACGTTAATCTACGTGCTCGTGAAGAAGCCGGAAGAAGCGCCCGACGTTGTGCTGCCGACGCAAGCACCGACGCAGCCCAGCAAACCCGAGGTTTACTTCATCCGCTACAAGACGCAGGTAAGACGGTCTTTCTTCCGCCCGGAACTTTCGACCGGTCGGAGCCGAGTCTTCCGCCTTGTAGTCCGGTAGTCACTTCCTTTATTACAGTGTGTTCCGCGGCGAATAACTCTTACGTAAGTTCTCGCGTCGCTCGTAGGCGCGAATTCGAGCACGCACCTGCTTTGCGCGTTCCCGTGTGTAATATATCTTATCAACCAATCTGTACTTGTAACACGTTTACGTAATCCGTATTGCGCCGTTTGCGCTGTTGGCAAACGCGCGCAACAAATCGCCACTTTTAGAAGAGCACGTCGATGCTGGTGGAGTTCCTACGGTTAAACGGCCAGAGAATATCTCATCGACGAGAGAAAGAGCGAGCGAGCGAACGAGCAAAAGAGAGAAAGAGAGAGAGAGTGAGAAAGAGAGACAGACAAAGAGACAGAAAGAAGGAAAAGAGAGAACCGCCTCGTACTTGGAATGTAAATTTCTAATGTTCATGTCTATGACACAGCGAACGAGGCGGCGCGTGTTCCCGCACGCGGATGTGAAATACGCATTAAGCTCATCATAAATAATATCCGCACGTCATACATGTCGGATGGGTGCGTAACTTATACTAATACTAATATTAATAATCCGCCGTGGATTGCCCGCGCGTAATCGTAAAAAGAGAAAGAAACGATTGCCAAGCGGTGATTTGTATAATCATGGAAAGTTACCATTCAAGCAGATTAGTTTACGTCAGTGCGCGAGCGACCTTACTAAGATTTCTACAACAAAGCCTCGGTTGTGTACAGATAGATAGCTATTATCGTTTATATTGTATACACACCAAACGCTATAACTCTTCTCGTTACAAAAAAATATATATCGTTATACACGCTGCGTTTTTTTCGCTTAGTGAACTACGAACGTTGGATTGAAACTCATTCGCTTGCCGACCAAAGAGCGATGCTCTTTCCTGTATATGACGTTGATTACAACAAACTATGAAAAACTCTCTCTACGCAGCTAGCAATTACCTCGAACGCTCGTTCTCTAGCTACATTAGATATGCGTACTAACAAACTCGTTAATCGCGCAAATGTAAGACTATACGCTAAAATCTTCTACCAATTGTAATCACAGAAAAGGTCAAGGCCGCGCAACGCGGTCTACGGTACAAAATCTCTAATGCATCGCATATCTCTCGTTCTCTCTAACATCTTCCCTTATTTTTATGCATTACAGAAGGAAACACAAGGCGGCGAGTACGGTCCACCGGGCCACCAACCGGGACCCGTCGACAGTTACGGAGCACCAGGGCCGCAGGGCAACGGGCCGTATTAAAGTCACGCGTACAAATGATTCCATCCGTCGGATCCGTTATCCTTAAAAATCGGCATTTTCTAAAGAGAGAGAAGGAGAGAGACCATCTTGCGGGGGACTATTTTTTCGATCGTCACTTCGCAACGTAATGCGAACGCAAGTCCGGATACCTGATAGGGACTTCATATCGTAGAAGGAATGTCGCCTATTTTCCGCGCAGGATAGGCCGCTTGGTATTTAAAGGTACTATTCACGACGTTCCGCGCACATACGCATGGTTCTCGAGCGACTGACCGTATATACCGAGTTACACACTGGTAGTAGTTATTCTCGCAAAGGAAATGTAAACAAATCATTTCGCACGAGACGTCGATATTTCTTTTGTATGTATCTTTTAAGAAAATAATTGAAAAAAAAAATACATTTTTTTATATCAAACAATCTTGAGCGTAATTGATTCGCTAACGTTATCCTGCCTTTCTTACAGACTCTTTACACACCACGAGCTTCTCGTTTCGTTTTTTAATAATGATACATGTAATGTGCTAACGCTAAAATATAAGGTGTTAAAATATTCAGAAGGAAAATGAGACTTATCGACAATTCGGATTAACGCGAAAAATTAAACGGACAATGAAGAATTCTTAAACCATAAGAATTCATGCATTCGCGCTTATCAGCTCTATATATAAAGATATCGCATTAAGGAAATCAGTTCAATCGCTCTATAAACTCAACTTTATCGGCAAGTATATACTTTGTTCTAGTACGGTTTGGGCACTTCTCTCGATGCAGTTTGAGAGAACGATGGTCTAATAAGAGATCTTAATTTCTGGGAATTAGTCAAAAACAATTTCTCTCATTTTAGAAATTAATTAACTTCTCTTATTGAATTATCGGTTGTATTCCAAACTGCAAAAAAGTGTTCAAATCGTATTGAAATAAAGTGTATAAATAGCATTAAAAAAAAAATCCTAACTATGTCTGTGTATTATTTATTCAATTACCTCAAACCTTGCAATTCGTAAATCTATACGTGACTATGTTGAAGATGTCAGAAACTAGTTGTATTTTGGTGATTAATAAATTATATGAACATTAAACGAAGTAATAACACTACCAATTAATTGCTGATCTAATTCGATTGCTCAATAAGCGCGAACGTCAGGATGTGCAAAGTACATACATACACCAGTATCTGTACGCTCTTCGCTTATAGACTGCTATCGATTATCTCTTTAATTTCGATGATGAGGGCTGTGTGCGTGATAAAAGCCACATGGCCTCCCCACTGCAACATGGATAGATCGTTGTTAGATTTTTATGGGAACATACGTACGGCGAACGTATACGAGAATCACCTCTCGCGATATTTTATACATCTGATATTACATATGTATATACACAGGTATATAGAATGACCAATAGGATGTTACTGAAATTAAACCGTTATCTTATATCTCCTTTCTCTTTATTGTTTCAGAAATATCTGTAATTTTTTCACTATTTATAAATTTCTCGTTGCAGGCATTATTATCCTTCATTATCCTTTACTATCCTTCATTGAACATTTCATCCGGTGCAATTTCAGCAACATAATCGTCATAGGTACAGAAGGTATACACCCGACTAGAATTAAATTTAGTTTCTCTTTGTCGTGTGTATTTACATCTAGAGCGATATAACAATAGGTAAACTGCGAAATATTGCAAATAAAGAGTGGAGAGAAATTTCTACCAATAAAATAGATGCTTTAATTTCGAAACGCGTACTTACTTGGCGATAACAGTTTACGTTATCAATTACTTCGCCTTTATAAAATCAAGTTATTACATACTTTGCAATATAGTTGTCCTAAGCTTATTTCTGTAGCTGGACGTTCACCATTCTTATTGCGACATCTAAGTACGTAATTGTTTTCCTTTTTTCAAGCTTCTTTGGAATATTGGAACGCTTGACTAGTCTGCACGACTGCAGTGGTATCATGAGCTACTCGTCCTCATCGTTACACGACATGACGCGTCTTAAACTGCGTAAAGGCGCACAAACTACACTATTTATAATTTAATGGGTAATAACGCAATCAACAAAACCATCGAACCACTATATAAATGTACGTATAACTAAAGGTGCTACTTAGAATTCAAGAAAATACGATTGTACAAGAATAATGAAATATTTGGAATAGTGACCATCACACAACCATGGAATTGTGAAGTTAAGACTGTAGAAACTTCAAAATACAGGCACACACACAAAACCCCCGACCAGCGGAATTTCCTTGAAATAACGCTTAAGAATTCGTGAAACCTTAGCTGTATTGTTCTCACTTACACCAAGTATAAATACTCCACCACTACCGTATTTCGTTTGAGCAACAAATGTCATTCAACAAAAATTTTCACTCAGTTCTTAACTGACAAAATACTAGATAATGCAAATCAAACAATTAGAAAAGGATAAATAAAATTATGCTTCAAAAAATTCGCTACGAAATGCGATAATAGTAACCATATTCTCTGTCGGATATGCGTTATCACATTCTTCCCGAGATGCCGAAGACTAGGGGAATAATATAACTGTACAGTAATATCCATCCTTTACTCCAGCTGTATCTCTTCTTGGTGGATATCGATTCGTAGTGAGCGACATATGGGATAATGTTTCAATAATATCGGCGCAAAAGAGATCGTATCATCTTATTCTTCATGCGCTCGCCGACGTTCATGTCTATGACCGAGTAACCGTTTAATGAACGGCGCAAGCAATGGATAAGAGAGGAAGAACACATGTCCGCAATAATACAAACTAGCGTGAATTTGATTATATCGCGGATATGAGAGCAATACAAACGCTAGAAGGACATATCCCATAGAAACGAAAGTGTAAAGCTTCAAAAAGATCCAAGCAAGAATACGCGCTTCCCAGCGGGTCTTCAACATTGTTTGCACTTTCTCGCTGTTTTTCAACACTGGTCCAATCTAGGAAGAAACAAAAAATGTGCAGTAAAAATTAAGAGAGCAAACGATAAGATAATTTTTTTAGAGACATACGCTTTGCGACATACATCATGCATATTAATAATGTACTTACGTCTCGTTCAAAGTATGTCGCAATAAATTCCATGAAAAAGCAGTGATAATATCCGGAGTGTAAACCATGCCATAGAGCGAGGAAGATCAATGTTATTAGCTGGCTGTATATCTTTGATCCCAAAAACTTCAACCTTTTGTAGATATATTCCGCGCACCACTGATTAGTGTTGATGTTGAAAGAGAGAATATAGTGGTGCAACTGTGTGGCAGTTTCAAACGTCCGCAGTTTGACGTTCGCACAACCATCCCATTTTATGCGACCTTCAGCGTTTTTTCCATTGTAAGTTAAACCGAAAGTAATGCATACCTGAAATTACCAATAAAATGTGATTGCATATTACGAATACAATCGAAAACAGAAGTACACGATGCAATTTGACTGATGTATCCCTATTGATTATTTACCCCTTCTGTAATCAGCCAACAGCTAACGTATTTGTAAAGATTAATTCTACCCCAGAGGCCAATAAGTAAGCATTTCTTTATTAAATTTTTCTTCTGGAATGTCGGCTCAAAAAGATATTGATCGGAAACGTAGAGTGTTCCGATCTGAAATATCGCTACATATACGAATCCAATGAGAGCTCGCGACAATCCCGCCCACACGCAATCCGGTAGTTTCATGGCACCAGTTTGAGGGTCCTGAAATACGAAGTGTGCTACATATCGAAATAGATCCGTATTTTCTTACACAGTTTATAATTAAGAGTAGGTCTCGACTTCGTCGGACGAAATATATATTATCAACTTAATAACATACGCGTTCCGAAAAGTGACCATTGACAAAGTCCAAGTATCGTCGCATACTAAATTGTGGCCCGATCAAGAACGCGCCTGGAAAATAGGCATACGCCGCAATTTCTAGTAAGGACGGTCGTTCCTTTAAAGCCACCCGTTTCTGGGTGTCAGACAGGTCTTCCTACAATAAAGGTCATAATAGTTATGCCGAAATGAACATTTAATACAATGAAAAAAGAAATAGTGTTCGTACGTCAGGTTTTTGACCATCCCATAAATTAAACGCGAGTCCTATTAATCTAAGTGTCAATACACACTGCGGCATTGTCCATTTTATGTCGTAATCTTGAGTGCTGGTGGTATAGTAACCTGCGTTTAAAAAATTAATTCGTTTAAGTATTCCATAGCTTAAAGTTGCCAATGAAGAAAAACTCGTGAAGTTGACTCAATGATAAAAACAATTAGAAAGGCAAAATAATATCTTTATGAAATTATTATAATAATCGACTTTTAAAGATATTTAACGTTATGACTTGTTATCTTTAGCGATAAAATATATCAATATCAATTAGAATCGTAACTAAATTAGATGTAAGTTTCTAACAGCAAAGATGTCCAGGAACGTCCTGGGGACGTTCTATGTTCTCAGTATGACGATGTTAGTATGTTCCTAGACGTCTCCAGGAAATCTTGTGCTGTTAGAGCATGTGTTATAGGTTATCGTTTTACCGTAAAGTAGGTACATCATGTTGAATAGTAACGTTATTATGACAGACAGTCCGGTGCTGCCGAGGATTGTTAAAATTAAATACGTTGCACATACTGCCGTCGATGAATGAAGTATGTTCAAATCTGTAATCAACAATTATAGTCAAAGTCAACAATCGAATAAAGCAAGTCGCTTATTTCTTTGTGCATAAATATTAATAAGATACTGCTCCGTCGAATTACCGTAATTCCAATAACCAATTGAGAGACCGCATGCTATGAAAAACATGTGCTGCCGAGTAGGATCTTTGCCGTAGAGCGTGTATCTATGAAGAAGCGCAACAGGAAATCCTGAAATCAAAGTTCACTTATTGACCTTCACACTTTTTATACGTTATCATAGCTCGATTTTAATTTTTTTAATAACTGGTGCGTGTGGAAGATCAGTTTCGCAAGATCAGTTATACACAAGATCAGTTTTAAATAAAGAGACATTGTATCTCGTTTTATGAGTGTAAATAAGCTGACATGTGTAATTCGATTCCTTAAACACTCGTTTATCTTTCGCTTATATAAGATAACGGTCCCAATAAAAATCCTATTTTTAGATCTACTGAACAAATGCATTAAAAAATTATATATTTCAATGAAAATACGGAAAATTACGTTATTGTTATAAAATTACTTTCACAAACATTATTTTTCACATTACTTATCACATTATTAAATTAATTAAGAATTTATTTACTTTAAAATCGATCCTATATATTTAGAGCCGTTATCTCATCTTTTATCTTTTACGTCTACTCAAAATCGTAAAGTACGTTAACGATGATAAAATTACACTTCCTCACAATTTTATCAGAGGAAGTATCGCGATAAAAGTAGTTGAAGAGAGGGGAGTAAATAGCTCGACACTTATTTTCCCGATGTAAAAATATCATTTGCATTTTTATTAACTACATTTATCTATCACTATATTAGCAGAACACGGTGATAATTGTTTAAATAATAATGTTTATTATTATAAAATATAATTAAATTATATCAACGGACAATGGTTCGAACTATTTAACTCGAACTAGATCGTGTTCATCCGATGACAGCATAGTATTACAGAACGAGCCTTACGCAACGATGCATGATCGTAAAAATATACAGCATTACCATTTGTATGTCACATACACAACACATACTGCATGCACGTTTTTTGTTCGCGCTTGCTTTTGTATTTCACTATTTATACGTCAAATGACGCAACTGAATTAGTTGAAAAATAAGTAGTTCTGTCAGCGACGTTAAACGATGACCACGTGTACTTTCGCGCTGAACGCGCGAGATAAAATTTAATTTATAGCCCCTTGTCTACAACCTTGCTTTAATTCTTAAGCCGTAAGAAATTGACCAACCACATTTTTTAAATAATCGACTGTGGTTTGTCAATTTATTACGGCTTAAAGATTAAAGCAAGGTTGTGGACAAGGGATAACACGCCGGTACGACAATAATAGTCACGTTTTGAGATTAAGAGTGCATTGTTTACGATATGATATAATAAACAATAAAGCAGTCTTCGATGACACGGTAGAACAATACGTTATCATACAGTAACGATTAGACGAGTGTGTAAGTTCGCAGCCACAAATTTAGAACATTATGGATCACTACATTAGCTATGGACACGGTGTATCGTGCAGGGGGGACGAGAAATGGTTATATACCGACGATAAAGCAATGCGATTATGGACAAGATTTCGATTGCTTTAGCACTCACGACTCAACACTAGTCTTCAAATAAATATGATTTCTAAAACAGGATCGCGCTTGCGTTTCGCTTGCTTAAATAAAATCTAAAGACCTTACATTTTCTTGCATATCATTGATGCAGTATTTGTACAGTGATGAAGCATTTGTGTATGACAATACGTTCTACAATACAGTACGTTCTATAGACACTCGTAAAACTGCATTTATATCGAACTACACGTGTATTAAATTTGTCCTTCTTACAGCTGCACTTTTCGCGTTTTTCTACCAGAAATTTTTCAGTCAGAATTTTTTTATCAGAATTTTTGCAGCTCTTTCGAAAACTGACATATTTTATTTTGTATCCTAAAATGAATTCATATTCGTAAAGGTTATATCAAACTGCTGATTTACGAGATAGATCATGATTTATAGAATTCATGACAGAATTGAATTGTAAACAAATATTCGAAGAATCAGGAAATTGTATTAATGAATACGTTTATGAATACGTTAATTACGTTTATGAATACGTTATCTATAACAAATTCTTAGGTCGATATCGGAATCGAAAATAACGAAACATCGATCAAACTTTTCGAGTAATCAATTGAAGAATTGATCGAGATCAAGAGAAAGAGAGAAGGGGGAGAGAGAGGGAGGGGGAGAGAGAGAGAGAGACAAAGCAAACTTCAGACATCAAATAACAGTCACTGTACATTCGACCGATTTCAATGGAATTTTCTTGAATCTATTATCACAAAAAAACACGGTTAAAACAGCGCATCCCGTGTAAGGGATGTACAGAGATATTAGAATGTTCGTTATATCACAGGACGCATAAATTACAGGGAAAGAGATCTGAGGTTTGTTTTCTCTTGCTAAATTGGCGGCATTAATTTGTACTAGTTCTCTTTTTCTCTGTCTTCTATGAAGTCTGAAGAACTGTACATTTATTTTTTATCCTTGTTCTTTCGTAAGTATACATTAACTCAGTGATAAAAAACAGACCTATGTCCCGAGTTCTGTCGTGAATGACATCATATGTAACGGACTCATGTCGTAAAGAAACGTAACAGGAAACGTAACAAGAAACGCAGAAAATACTAAAACGGAAGGCTTACCTAACAAAATCGAGACGAGGAGACGCAGCGCGGCCTCCGGGGCGCCCAATAGCGTCGACAATTTTGCGAGCCCGCCCGGGCTGTATGCCACATGACTGTCCATGGCCAATGATGATGCGTGCCACGTGCGTGTCGCAACGAGTCTCACACGACTGTCCGCCCGTTACAACAGCACATGTAATGCCACTTACGCGTGAGAACCTCGTGGCTCTTTCAACGGCGCGGTGTAACAGACACTGAACTTGCTGACGTTTGAACGTGCACGTTGGCCGCTATCGCGTTCGCGACTGCTTAGAACAGCCTGCCGCTGTTGCCGCCGTCGTCGTCGTCGTACTCGCCGCTGCAGATAACCTTCGCTGTCGTCGACCAACCACCATCACCAACCGCCGTCGCCACCACTGCCGCTGCTGCCGCGATGATCTCTCTTACGCTGGTGCTGCATCAACTTCACTGTCGTCGCCGTGCGCGACGGCGCGGGATAACAATAACGCGCCGCCGGAACGATGAACGGCGCGACTGTAGAGGATAACATCGCCATCTTTTATGTAAATCGAATTAGGACATTGGACAGTGAAGGATTCCGTGCGCGCTCAATTATTTCGAAACGAAACGCGAAGAGATAGAGCGAAGCGGGCAGAGCAGAGAGAAAGGAGGAAAGAGAGAGAGAGACAGAGAAAGAGATAGAGGGAGAGAGGCGGAACGACGCGTGGCCGAGCGAGACCGTTTGACCGAACGTTTGTCCGCCGCGCGCCCCCTTGCAACGAGCCAAGTGGGACAACCGGGAACGACTGAGGCCGACGTTATAGACCGCGACGCTTAGGACAGCAAAGGCGGGTCGGTGCGGGCGAACGCATCGGAACTAGCGTCGCGACGGCGTCGCCTCACTTCATCTCGGACAATCGATCGATCGCAGGTGCGCGGGAATCGAGACGGTGGTCGAAACGCGCGCATGCGCAATGGCCGCGGCCGCGACTAGCGGACAAGGTCAAGTACGAGGCTACCTTTTTATACGCGTGAGCTAATATTTTGAGACAAGTATGCAAAATTGGACGGTTAACGGTCGGACGTTTCATGAACTTCGTTGTAATCGGCGTAGTTGGAGATTCTGGGTAAACGTTTGCATCGCCTGACATCGAGAGGAAAGTTTAACATCCGCCGGCGCTTTCTCCGGATACTCGAGCGGAGTGAAATGTGCGCATGAGTATTTCTAATCACTTTCACTTAATCTCTTTTGCTCCTGTTGAATTGAAATTTGCCTGTCGGATGAAATCATGCAGCAGAATTATCCGAAACGGATAAAAAGTAGAGTCATCCAGCACATTCAAAAAGAAAATTTCAGTTCGTGTAACTGAATGAGGACAAAAAATTCACCAATAAGAAATATCTCTGTTATTTTGTCACCGAAAATATTTGTCTGAACATTCAGCTACATTAAGACTTGGTTGAGATAATTGAAAACAATTGTGTTGGCTGAGTAGAAACCTCTCCGACAGCACGATCTATTAAAAGATGTCTCAAAGACGTCCAAAAGATCTTCTATTTCTTTTAGACGTATTTGGAACGGCTTTAAGTCAGAGTTAAAGTTAGTAATTTGTACTGTCTGGATTCCAATAGGAATCTTTCTGTTCCTACAACCAAATTTTTCTGGTTTCCAGATGACAGAAAATCTAATTACACTGATGGAATTTTTTTCACTCAAGAGAATGCACTCAAAAGAATGATCTTGTAGTCATTAACGAAAATTATCTGGATACAAGAAATTAACTAAAATGAATAAATGATTAGCAAATATTGCAATATCGCATGTATTTTGTATTTAATTAATATAGATGAGACAGAATTTCTATTTGAATTATTTATGAAATTAAGCAAGAAAGTCTTCCTGTGGCCTCAAAAACTGATTATAGAATAGACAAAAAAACTAAAAAATAAATGAATATATAATCTTCATACTCACCTAAACTTACTTGCAGATATTGCTAGAATATTGCTGTTGTAAATCCTACATACCATAGGCAATTTTCTAGTAGATACAAAAAACAACGATAATTGTAATTTTAACTGTAACATTTAGAATTCTATTTGGATTAGAAAAACATTCTTTTGAGTGTGTGTAAATCGATAACGGGATTGAGAGGACGGCGACAGGGCAGGAGGAACGTGCACGTGGTGTTTTGCATCAATCATAAATTATTTTTGTGATTTCGCGAAATTAACCTATATAACATCATATATTTGTGTGTAGCGTAGCATTACGGGTATACGTGTGCATCACGTGAAGTCGCAAAGTCGCGCACCCTTTGTAAAACGCGTAACTATCACAGAATAAATATGGTCGGAAGACCCGCGAAAATTCAATAACGCGAGATCGCCATTTACAAAGTACGACTCTTACATAGCTTTTGCTTTTACGCAGGTACGTACGCGCACACACATACACACATTACGTATCTCCGCACGCACACACTTCACCCCGGACACGCATCCTCCTTTCTAATTGCCACGATTTGTTTTTGGCACGCTTCTAATATATTACCAGATTAACAGACTCGTACTGCAGCTTAACCTTCTCCTCGCAAAATTACATATACATAATTATCGAATTTGATGCGCTTCAAATAATGTAAAAGATTCGTCGCGTCGTTATAGTTTTGCTAATTAGCCGCGCGATAAAAAATTTATGAAAACAAGTAGAAACAAATGTACAAAAGTAGATAAACCATTAAAACGATATCATAAGAACGAACTTCATAAAACCAATATCACAGGGAAGTTATACACAATCTTCTTGTTCGGACATCGTAGATCGTACGTTTACACAGCACATCGTGTCCCACGAGAGTGAAAGGTAAATCAGAAATCTCTCTCTGAAGTATCTAGTTACGAGAACAACATATAAAAATGTATAGCTTTTCGTATAGTATCTTGTCATATTTACGTGCGCGCGTTGCATTGATACCTAAATCAATAACGATTATCTTAATGCTATTTTATTATAGCGTAACGGCGAGAACAACCATAGAACTCACAACCATGTAATATTTATCGAACCTTTATACGCTATTATGAGCAAGTATTTAAAGGAAACCAGAGAGGAAACTTGAATCAAGTAAGTTTTAATCAAGGACGATGTATGATAGTAGTTTCTTGTAAGAAAATATATATATATATGGATTTCCCTTACGCTCTCGTGTACGTCGCGATAACAGTTACTTAACTTAAAGTTTAAACTTCGACAAAATACATATTTCTTGTCTCACACCGCTCGATAAAACATACATTTCTCCTCTACAAAGGCAATTGTCGACGAAAACACGGGAAAGCGTGTACGTAGTGCGTAATGGCGTACGCGCGCTAAATCAGACATGAGTGTATGTGTTGCATATATCTGTATCTTAGAAGAAAAAGAGTACGTTCACTTAATGTTTTTCTGATGTTTACACTTTCACAATTAAAAGATAAACACTTCAAGATGTCATATATTATCGTTGGTCAATTAATATTTTAGTGATTGGAAAAAGGAAGAGAGTTAGTTTTTTTTGTGGTCGAAGGTGGAGAATTCTTCTTGGCTTGGAGATATTATAATTTGAAAGTCGAAGGTGAACATTGTCTCGTTTTCATCAAAAGTACAAGTATATTCATGTATATACATATATTTCATTGAATATAAGTATATACATTATTGTCCTTTTGTCTTATCGCGTCTTATTCGCGTCTCATTCGCGTCGTGTGTTTACGAGGCGATAGACGTCGCGTTTTCGAGACAAAAGGCTTTCCAATACATATCTCAACTTTATATAGACTCTTCATAACTTCTTATCTTAAATAGGCATTATCTTTTTTTCTCTATTATATTCATCAAATATACGCATGTATAACAGGTAAACATATTTGATTCTTTCTCTTACATACTATAGGTACGTGAACATACGCGATAAATACTTTCTTTATGTGGTCTTTGATTAGTGTTAATTATGTAAAGCGTAATTTAGGAAGCGGAAATTTACTTTCGCCTCGTGATTGTGTCGTTTTCACTGTGGCTATGTATGATATTTTGATCCTTTATTCTTTGGCTCTTTTCTTCTAAGTCCAAAAGATACCTGACTTTGAAATCTTCCGTAGAATATTAATCAACTGAACTTTACTGAAGAACACACAATCCGAGTGTTGATTGTACCAGCACGGAAGATATTTATGCAATTATTCTCCCACTCTCTGCTTATTCTCTGCTTATTCTCTGCTTTAATCTATTGTGTACATTTTGATTTTTTCCTCATTGCAAAACAATACGTTGAGCTCCCGAAGCTTGTTTACGTTGTGCAAGAAGTAGTCTCAAGTACAGTCTCAGATTTGTAGAAGTAATAAAAAATGAATATTTTCCTTCCCTTGATTCCTTTAAGAGATCGAACACAATGCACATCGAAAATTTAAGTAAGATAATACTAATCGCGAGGATCACGTAACGCGATGTCAATTCATTAACAATAATTCCATTCAACACTCGCAAATATTTAACAAATATGTATCTTTTACTCTCTCTCTTTCAACGTTCAATATATTAGTCCTTTATCAAGAGAAAATACAAACATTGTGTGTACGTGTGTGTAAGTATATGTACGCGTTATGTTATGTGTACATACACATATACATATATATTTATATATCCTCGTTTATAAACCATTTGTCTGTCGTTTTCTTTAAAAATATAATGAGATTTTAGCTCACGCGCATTCTATATACGTTAATTATCTAGTCACAATTATCTCTAATCACAAGAACTACTCTTTGAAATTCGCGCATTCTGTAACCACGAAAGTTCTCTCCTGTTAACTCCGCCCACAACTTCACTCGAGAACCGATGTAGGAGCCCTACAGTGTCGCTATTCCATATTTAGTAATAATTATATCGTAAGTTCAATAATCAGATTGGTACGTTAAGATTCCGTATTCCTCTAATAATGTGCGTCGCAGAATAATCAATTAGCCACTTTCATTTATACGTATATATATGTATATATATATACCGATCCCTAAGTTCATCGCAGACGCAAATTAGTGAATTTGCGCGTGATAAACATCGGAGGATCTAGGTCACTCGACTAAGTGGCGGAACAAATGGTCGTAAATCTATTGCCAATCTTCAGATTTCTCGCTAACATAAGCCGAATCCTATATTGCACTGTTTTCTCTATTGCAGCAAACTTGCGTTCAAATTTCCAATAATGTCGTGCACCCGAAAGATACGCTTTTTAATATAACTCCTCAGATCGTTAACATAAATCCCAGCATTTTTCTCTGTAAATTTATATCTTGCGTAAAAAGACAATTTTCTACGGACTTTTTTTATGGTAATTTCTCTCGCGTAAAAAATGAATGTAGTGGTAAATGTAACAATGTGCTTTCAATGTTTCTATTGAAACCTATTCTCGTCAATGTCAACAAGATGTCTTCATAACGTAAAACCCGTTTTTCAAAACATACTACAATGTAAGATAGTCGTTATTCTCTTGAAAACCGGTTTTTGAATAGTTTCACGCGATGCCACTTTCCATGACATAATGATTCCTTCGTGTTTGAACGATATATCTTTTCCCAGAGTAAAATTCTATCTCGTTTGGGCGATTTTTTAATAGAAACAGTGTTCGTAAGCTGGGTATAAAATCTTGTTTCGGTGCGCATTTAAAATAGTTACATGTGTCAAATATGTCGGGTCAGAATAGTCAATGTCGAGAGAACCCCGATTTATCATCGGTATTGTTATATATGTACTATTATTCTACTTTCGCTTATTCTTTATCTTTGAACGGATATCGTCGACTATCTTAGCTTCATCGATCTTAATTAATTAATTTCGATTTAAATTAATTCCTGTGTATTTGTATCGCGGATTTAACTCACGCTATACTTTCATTTAAGATTTGGCTGACTTACGATTAGCTGAAGGAGACACCAAGCTCGTCCATCAACGGAAACTTACAATCCAGACTCCGTGCTGGTAAAGATGAGATTGGTGGGCGTTGTGGTCGTCGTGTTGCTGACACAATACGGCATTATCTTGCCATGGAAACAAGAGCCGGTAGAACTGCTGTTAATTATAATCAATAGGAGACCTGAAATCGCGGCCAGAATGCCGGCAGTCATCAAGCCAAGCGCCGGCAGCTTTTTGGACGACAAAATGGGCCCTTCTTCGAGCTTGAGGTAGCACAGACCAGGTAAAATGTAGGCAAGTGGTACGGCCGCGAGAATACCGTTCAGCTCGAGGACGACGCCCAGGCAATCCGTTAACATCGAGATCAGGTAAGCCACGGACACTATCGTTAAAGTGATTATCAGGTACTTGCGATCCGAGTTAGGTATGTAAGCTTCATGTTCTTCCAACTCATCCGTGCCCTTGATCGCCGTCATGATTACCTGAAAGAGCAATTATTAGTGCTCATTAATCGTATTCTTCTTTATTTAGCCGAACAACTCGAACTACTCGAACCGCTGACCAAAAAGAAAAAACGAAAACGCACGCAGATTACCTCACGTGTGACGAAACATTCGATCGGAAACGTGAGCAATATGGTACCGCTGAACATGACTCTAGCGAAGTTCATCAGGTCATCGTTCCAGCAGTAATTCTCCATGAGATCACCCTGAACGTACGACGTGAAGGTAGCATAGCCGACGATTCCGAAAGTTGCAGCGATCACGAAGGATGTGAACAGGGACCAATGCGTCACCACATCCCACTTTTGTTGCGTGGCTCTCTCGATCGAACCGTAAATCAAGAAGGTATTGTGGTGGCACATAAACGCGAACGCCATTATACCGACGGCTGGAACGACCCCCGGCAAATTAGCAAATCTCCAGCTATCGGCCCGACTAGGACTGAAATCAATCATGCCTGTGATTATACAATTGTTTTGTTGTTCAATTATTATTATGTTATTTATCTAATGCATTCGCGATCGTCGATTGATTTTATGAGGGACACTCTGAAAATTATAACGCGATCTCACATTTGAAGGAATAATGCGGTAGAAATAGGACGTCGTCTTGCATAAGTAAAACTCTCCAGAAGCACTCACACTACAGCAGACATGGTGTCCATCCGAATAAGGATCGCGAGGAGGATGAATCCGACGCAGACCAACGAGAGGAACGAGATTTTTGCTAACCGCGCTACGTTTCTATAGAGACAAAGTGGAATGGTGATGCAGATAGTCGCCAACAGGATAACAACTTGTCGATGCGCCAAAATATTCGTCTCGTGCATACCCGTTACTCTTATCAGGACCTTTGTCACCGTGTCGCCGACGACGACATTATAAGAGACCATAGCTGAAAGATAAAGACGTTTTACACGCCCATTCCTTTGAACGGAGAACGAATGCGACGCCATTTTTAGAAAACGCGTTATGTACCTATAAACGGGTAGATAAACTGCAACGCCGTAAGAATATAGAACCCGGCGCGACCGAAACTCGCTCGCATCAGACCCTGGTAGCTCATCTCGCCGCAAATATGTCCGCTCCGTACCATGAGAATCAACGAGTAGTCGGTCAGTCCTGCCACCAAAATTAGTAGACCGATGCCGAGACCGAAGCCGGCTTGGTGTAGAGCATACGGTATTCCTGGAAGAAAATTAGCATCGATTTTTTCCACTCGTTACCATCTTCCACGGAAACGATCTGACAGCTTCATTGATGTTAAAACAATATATCGTGTGCGGATAAATTGAATTTCTCACGTCTTCTTTTCCGACAGTGATATTTGATTCGGAAACGTATTCAAATTGCATCATAGCTTCGTTTTTATTTACCAATAACACCGCTACCGATGATAGAATTAATGAAATTGAAACTTGCTAGCGGTAGACTGCTAAATTTGCCGGATTCCTCCTCCTCCTCCTCCTCCTACAACACACAAATTATCATATGAATGCGATGGAGCTATGCGTAATTAGTAGTTCATGAAGTAGAACTAATTGAAATTACTGCATATTCGCGTGAAATTTTGCGAACATACTTCTATATTTGTATTATAAAAATTAATGGCACATGCGAGACACATATTCATTGAAACGCCTCGTTACGGTTCATTTATAATTAGCTGTCAAATCGTCGAGCGAGCGTTACACCGCGTACGGTGTACGTAGTCAGCGGAATAATTTGGTGCGATACCAGCGAGCAAAAGGGCGACGCGATAAAAGCGAGTGCTGGCCGCAAAGCGAAACGATAGCGCACGTGCTAAGCCGCTTGTTAGGCCAATGATTGTGCAAATTGGCAAATATCGACAGAGCATCGTCCGTTGACTGTCGGAACAACAATGCTGAGAACGTCAATAGGTCAATTATCAAAGTTGCACGTTAATCTGTTACGTTTATCCTGGTCACAATAAATGTCTTTCGTTTATGAATTAGAATAAACGACTCTGTAATTAATCATTCGTCATTAATGAAGCCCAAAAGATTGTAATTTGCGACAGAATTCGAAGCGTAGAATTCTATATGCTAAAAAAAAATTTGACGAGTCAGAATTACACAAGTATAATTAATATACATATTAATATTCAAATTTCTGTATCAGATACGTGAGATTATAAAATAAGATCTGTCAAAAATTCTGTCGCGAGTTACAGAATGTTCAAAGCGAGTGTTGAGATATATATATATATTATAAGAATAAAAAACGAAAGTAATCAAGAGAAGAACTATACTTACCCCGACTAGTCGTCTCATGTCATCATAAGATTCCTCCGAACCAAGACTACCACCCTGTCGAAGTTTCGGAACGATGAATTAGTTGAGTAATAATTATATATTGCATCGACATATGCAGATCAGTATGACGGGTAAAACAATTTGCAATATTTTTTCATATCTTTTTGGCAAAAATGGCAAAAATGAATGTAATCTGTTTTGCAAACGAGTATATCGCCAAGTCCGAGCTGAGTCTGTGTCCGGGCACGCACACTTACTAACGAAACAAGCAAGCAACCCGTCATACTGGCTAACATGTTGATACAACATCCTGTACAGTATAATTACGAAACATAATTGATAATTTTCATATACACGCATCGACGAAATATTTAAAGATAACTTTCCTTTTTTTATTTGCTTGCATACTGTGCGTAGGTGCTCGAACATCCACACGAGCACTTTTATTGACAGTTTTAGGCGAATACGAGTTTTTTTATAGAAGAATACTATACTATTAAAAAACTAACTAAGAAAAATCACAAAAGCGAGTGTGCATCAAAGAAAATGTCATCGCAGATCTTTTTTATAATAGCTGATGAAAAAATGTCTTTTTTTTTATAGCTCGAGAAAAACGTTTATATATCCTTCGAGTCTGCAAACTATTATAAAGTATAAAAGTACTTAATTAATATTATCGTCAACAAACTATCAAAAAATCTAGTTCGGAAGATTTTTAATTAACGCGTGAGAGAAATTCAATTTATTATATTTCACGACTTATACGATCGAACAGCGAGAATTGAACGAAACGTAAAGCGATAAGAAACGAGTTTTTCTCCGTATGCTTACCGCGAATTAAGAGCGTAGTTTTTGGAATTAGAATTGATAAGAGACGGCGAAAGTGGAATAGGACTACGGCAACTTTCTCACGCTATTTACACTCGCTCGAAATACGTTCGCTGGAAATACATTGGATCCTTCTGCAGGCGTTCGCGTTAAATCATTCTGGAAGCTATGCGACAAGTAAACTCGACGTGTACCAGCAACCATCTACCTGGTGATACACGCAAGATTCGCTCGTTTCTCAAACATATCCACGCCTGACAACGCTTCTTAGAAAGACGAAAAATGCTAGTTAAACAGAAAAAAAATAAATAAACATACTTTCTCTCTCGTGCGATTAATCTACCACAAACATGTCGCTCTGCGAATACCGCAACAGTATCGCGCGGAAGCGGCAAGGAACCGAAAATCGCAACCAGGATGTCAGTCGGTTGACCACGTCTCGCTAGCAGGAGTTCTCAAAGCACTTTACTCACGTCCTCAAAATTCTTCTTCGCCGCCTCCAGGATGTAGCTCTTCTCGTTGACATCGTCAGATGCGGCGTGGGCCATCCTGGATCTTCACTGTCAAAGGTCACAAGTTGTACGAAGCTCACACGGTAAGAGGATGGCCTAACTAACGGGGAGAAATGACAAGTGCGAAAAAAACGTGCGGAACTTAAAGGGAGGAAACGAGAGAGAGAGAGATAGTGAGAAAGAGAGAGAGAAAGAGAGCGACTCGGGCAGGTCCGTGGGACGTCTGAAGTTCCGGCCTATCTTCTGCCCCTTCCTCTTCGGCTTTTCACACTACGTCCTTCCCCTCTGTGACTCTCTACTCACTCGCTGCTCCCATTCTCGTTCTCTCCCTCTGTTGAACGGGCACTCAGGCACGCGTGCGCATATATTTTCAATTTCACCAATTTCTCCTGTCTATATCTTGCTCTATCGTGAGGCCCGGCCGTTTTCCAATCCCTATTTCTCATATTCTTTCCCTCGATGCACCAGATACAATGGGTCACTAAAATGACGACCAACGATGATGTCCTTTTTCTCGCTCACATCCTCCTATCTCTCTCCCGTCAATGTACACCCACGTACGTGCGACCTATTCTCACCATCCCTTCTCTCACCTTCCATCCCTCTTCTCATTCATTATCTCGTCCTACCCTTGTTGCTCCCTTTTGCCTCTCTCCTTCTCCGACCAACCAACCGGTCGCGCGTCCCATTTTCCTTTCTATTTCACGTGCCTTCGCTCAAAGTCTCGAAGCGCGTACAACCGGGAGTTTATTGATTCCCGCGGTCGCATATACCTTCTAACCGACGATCTCGTTACCTCTCCACCATGCGTTCTGCGTACTGCATTCCGTTGCGTCAGTTGTATGAGAAATGCGTAAGCGCGCGCACTCCTCTAACTTGAATCGTTATGATACGCGCAATCTACATGTTTATGTTCTTGCCAGCATGTACCATATGCCACTAAACGTAAACTTACTAACTGCTTACCTGAAGAAAAAATTATCATTATTTTTTGGTTCGGTATAATAATTTTGCAATGAAAAATGTGTAAGAGATTTTAAAAATGTCGGCGAATCTTTCATAAAACTTTCCACAAGAAATTATATTTACATCTTTACATTACATTCACATATTCATATGTCCATTAGGCATATAAACTCCTGAAAAAGAGCTCTCATCAAAAAACTGTTGCGGGACATAATTGACTTGTAATTTCTACAGTTGCGTTTTCCACGAACATCGATCTCTTCTCTCAACGATTGTTGATGAACACTAATTAGTCAGAAACAGGACAAGGAAATCTGAAAGAGCTTCTTCAAGATGAAACGGAAGTTCATCGCTCGATTGACAAAATAGTTCGCTCGTGTAACCGCTGTCGACACCTAAGCATTTTGTGCACACAGTTCTATCTGAAGTTTTTTCGACACAAACTTCGCAAAAATTTACTGAATATCGTTATAATTTGTTGAATCTTCAAAATTAAACCGTTTTGTGTTTGTTCCTTCAAGTTCAAGCAGAGTGCGCGTCTTTGCCATTGAATATTTGATCGGCATACTGACTTAAATAGTGTCTTTACAATTTATTAGACCTAAAACAATGTCAAATGTATTCGCACTCAGGCGAAACAAGGTGATTATTTACAATATATAGATAATTATATATTAACGAAGCGATAAATTAACAAGAACAAATTTAAATCGTTTAATCATTGTTCTCTTGCAACATTGTTGATTAAGAGTAACAAAACTCAGCAAGTTTAATCACATGTATAAGCTATATCTCTGACACACGATCAATTCGATTGGATAGACACAGATATACACTATGTGTATATCGCACAACAATATTTCAATATGATTCGTAGAATTGAAGAGCTTTCAAATCGTTTTAAAATTCGTCGTTTTAAAAAGTGAAGACAATATGTAATAAAGCTATAGAAAGCTTTAGAAAGCTGTATAATGTAACTTTCTTGAAAATCCAAGTTCACAATAGTTTGAAAATAAGCTCTTCAAGTACGTATTCATGATTCATTTTTGATGATTGCTCAGTATTTACATCTCACTTCAAATTTTTTCCCTTTTTCCTATATTTGATATCAAAGAAATGTGAGCGCAAATTTTGCGTTCGATGTGACATGAAAAGTTTAAAATCCACATTCGCAGATAATAACTTGAATAACAAACGATTACGTAAAAAGTACCTTTCATATCGAAATGCAAATGAAATTCGACAAAAATCGTGAGTCATCGTCGAGGCGACTAGATTGTATCATTCGTGAGGAATACATCCTCAAGATTTTCCAGTTAAAAAACCTCCCATAGCGTTCAATGGCACGCACCACTTGCACGCTCCGGATGTTCCATTATTGTCGTGCAAATTTGCATCGCAAATCAAGGAAACTGATGACAACAAAGGACAAAAATGAAATGCGATCACGAAATTTTGTAAAAAATCTAATGGAAGGCGTATTTTCTTAAATGTATATCTATGACTGTGCCTTCTACGTCTCCACGGATATCGCTGATTAGAAGTGGCCGTGAATCACACGTCGGAAGTCAGTCACGATGCACTTTTCGTGTGTCGCAAATCGTCGGGTCCGATAAAGTGGATCGGACTCGCTGGATGGCCATATTGACTCACATATCCTCAACTACTTTCATCGGTAGTCAGCGGCGCGACGTCGACTTAAAAAACAACCGGAATTTTACTCCGCGTCAACGTCGCGTATCGCAGGCCGGCGATCGCACGATGTAACGTAAGTATATTCTCGTTGAGACTCTTGGATTCCGTGAGTCGCATCTCAGGAAAGCCTCGACGGATCTTGACGTGGTACCACCACCCAACCATTGTTTCCGGGAACGGCAGGTGCTATCGTCGGTGCACTGGCGTTCGTCAGCGCCCCGTTGATCCTTTGATCCTTCATGATCTGCAATTGCCGTGTCAGGTTGCGACACAACTTTACCAGGGACTCCTGCAAGTTATCGCGTTAATTGCAATATCTATTACGAGTCTACAACTCCTTACATTTAAGCAGTATTTAAGAGGTATTAGTATCTTTCTCATCATTATACACAATTTTGATTTCCAGGATAGAAAAAGAGCAAAAATAGTACTAAAGGAATTAAAAAGCAAAAAGAAACCTTTTCATCCTCCAGTTTGCGCAACTCCTGCTGCTGCTTGAGACTGTCGAGGCTCAAATTCTTCAGCATCTCGTTCTTATGTTGGCTCAACAATGCTATCTCCGTTTGGACCTTGAGATATTCCTGCGCAATCTGCTTGTGCTCCTCGAAGATTTCGCGCGAGCGTTCACAAGTGTAGTCTGGTGTGAGAGGTCTCAAATCGGCATCCAGAAGGCGACAAACGTTGCCCAAGTCTTCGCTCGTGGTGCTGCTACCTGCGACATCGAGTTGTAAGAATCAATTATGAGACGTTTAACAGTGCACGATGCTCCATGCTCTGCTGTAATGAAATTCGCATTGTTTCGCGGTGCAGTTGCAAAATGTACAATTCAAGGTGCAAGCACTGCCCTTATTTTTCCAACACGTCTCGAACAGTCGTCTCGTTTTTGCGAAGTTTACTGAATACTAAATAAATCTAACGAGTACTAACGCAATAGGACCCAGCAGCGTTTGAGGGTGTCGGTGCCGACGATCTCTGGGTAGTCGTCGCACATATCGAACACCGTAGTAGCTGCCGCTCGCGCGAGCCGTAGTTATTTCGACGAAGTAAGTCGCGATTATCCTTCGTATACTGATCCTGACTGCATAATTTCTCTCTCTCTCTCTCTCTCTCTCTTCCTTCGCGATCAGATTCGGCACTTGTTCATAAAAAAAAAACTTTTTCGCTCTTTCTCTCTCTTTCTTTTTCTCGGTGAGGTTTTTGGAGGTGGAAACGGCGGCAACAGTGATACCCAGGAATCACCTGACTAAGTTTTGAAAGTGCGAACGACTCTCACGGCGATATCGCTGGCTATTCAATGGAATGATCCGGGAATGGCCGTGTTATAGGAGATCAATTCCCGGTCGATCGATCGATGTCCTCGATAAAGAATCGAGCTCGTATTGCGCGCTTGGCGACCTAATCGGCGGGAGGTGCTCCTCCGTAGGGAGTCGGCTCTCTACTAAACAAACGTACGTCTATATTGGAGATGCTGACTCAGCCACACCTGCTTCTAAATACCCCCCACTCGCTGTACGAAGAGGAACGCCGCAGTATATACACGAGCCAAGAACAAAACGCGCTCTCCGCCTTGATTCATCCTCGAGAATCTCGTGCCTGATTTTTATTTCGTTTCATTTTGTTTTGTCGGTCGTCTTTTCCTCGTCTCTTTCATCTCCTGCCCCTCATCGTATAGCCTTATCTTCTCCTTCTCCTCCTTTTTCTTCTCCTTCTTCTTCTTCTTCCACCACCTCCTCTAATGTTCTTCCACTATTCCATCTCTTCTCTTCTTCGTTCTCCCTTCGCCATCGCCACCGTCGTCCTCTTCGTCGTCGCAACGTGCCAATCAAAAGCGAGTCACACGTCCTACCGATTAGTCGTCAGTTAAATTTAGTGCACGCGCACATCGCGCGGCTATTGCGGCTGCTGTACGGGCCCTTTGCCAGGGTACCGGCAAACTCCGTCTCGATCGACGAACCCTCGATGAATATAGCATGCCGAACTCATAACGTCCTTTCTTATTGCCATCTGCGATTGCGTCCCAATCAGTCACGTAATTTACTCGCCTAATAGATACTACACCCAAAAATACATCACTACCGAAAAAGATTATACTTTCGCTTCTCACACACTCACATGCGCACAACGATATACATACACGTTGAACTTTATGCGAATTTCATGCAAAAATCTTTGAGATTACAACAATAAAATAGCATAATATACGTAGACGAGAAAGACAAAGATATTCATTGCGTTATTAATCATTCGCTGATTCAGCGTGGTTGTATATGACAGAACAATCGGGACGCAAAATCATACAAGTAATAGTTGCGATCATTCCACATAGAAGCGCATTATGAGCAACGCAGCGCAAACGGTATCGCCGCGACGGAGGCGAGAGAGACGAAGATGCGGTCGAAGAAGGCGCCCGGTGAGTCAGCAGTGCTTAGTATTCTAGGCCGAAAATAATCTACTTCGTGTACCACAAAGCGCTGCTCTGTAAGCTCAAAACGCGTGCTCGCGTGTCAGCCCGCGCGAAGACATTGTGTCCATTAAAACGCTTCTACGTTATCCGACATATTAGTCATACGTTCAACATTTTTATAACCGCTGTCAAAATCTTCAGGTATTTCTTTCTCCTACTATTAATCGATCATCATCTAACAAGTCAGACGCGTTATCGTACGCTGATATCGCTGAGTACACATATTACGAGATATAGTGTTATGTGCAACATGTTTAAAACAATTACATATCCCGACATATTGGAAGAGTTGCGCGACAATCATGCGTTTATAGAAAACGTAAGTCTTCTATATATTTTAACTCGTCCTGTACTTAAACCGTTTCCATCCGGCGTAATGCGATTTCGGTAGCGTTCTGCTGACTTCCAATGGCCGTTTAAGGACATAAAATATAGATAACTCTTGTTCGCTGATATTCCTGGCAGTGTGCCTTCAGCGAAAGAGAGAGGGAGAGAGAGACAACACTTGCAGACAGCCAGTTTGGTGCCACAGCTCCTTGCGATCTTTTTTCGGCACCTGTTCTCAGAAAGGGTCGCGCGAGTATTTATTCGAATATATATTCCGCGAAAATTTTGTTATTCGCGAAGAAATAAAAATTCAGCCATTTCGTATGTGTAATATTTATACGCGGATTTTTTAGTATATATAAGATGAAAATGTGATAATTACCATTGCATGATAGTTTCTCTCGCGAAATAACGAAATATTATTGGTAAATTGACATCCAACAACATTCGTACATCTTCACATTCATTCTCAACATCACTGGAAAAATCAAATTTACGATGCACTTACTTTGTTGGATATTCTTCTTCGTTTTCGGCATCATTTTGTCTAATCCAGCCATTTTACGAATTTCCCAAGATGATTCGGAAGAACTCGGCAAGTCCCAAGCATTCTACGCACAGAGAAATAAATTTTAGTATCAGAAATCTAACGGCTTAAAGATACAACGATTATGCAGAATAGCTGGATGAGAAAGCACAATATTCGCGTATAATATTTACAGAAAAAATAAAATTATTCAATAACAGAGTTACCAACCGGGTCGCACTCCACATGCAATGGAGCAAAATTGTAGTTTTTGTGTTGTAACACAGCAAATTTTTCGTCACGCGCTGTCGGTGTCGCTGTGCTTTGCGAGATCGGTGCCTTAGTATAGTCTAAATTACTGTCCGTACTCCCAGGATAATGTTTATTCGGAACTGGACACTCGTTAGGTACTCGTTGAAATCCTAAATTATTTTGTCGGGGTAAGAAATTCGTTGACGCATCGAATGGCGCCGCATAACGTAAAGAATAGTGCAACGAATTTTCTCCATTGGAACATTCGTCCGTTTTTTCTATGGTCTTTGGAATTGTATGAATAGTACCGTTTGTAACAGAGCCATTCATTCGAGAGTCTAAAGTACTGGCCATATCTAATGTATCTTCCTTTGAGGTTTTATTTTCATCTATAACATCAGTTTCACTACCTGTAATGAGACATTCATTCATATATAGTGGAAAAACAATATATGCTTTGGAGCGACGCTTTATGCATTATACGATCACGCATGTATTAAGTATATATTATACATACTTAAAGAATACTCGACAGGTTCTAAATGGTGACTGAAAAATTCTGATAGCTCGGTCATTATCCTCACTACTTCGTCCATAGATGGTCTTTCTTCAGGTGCTTTCTGCCAACATCTATTATGAAAGTTAGCAATGTTAAATAGAGATAGACAAGAAAATTATATATCAATATTAATAAGATTTTTTTGTTGTAATTATATAGCTTCTAAGTAAATATTCTGCCATTAATATAATTAAGTAAATATTCTGCCATAAATATTGGTGTAATTTTATATATTAACATATATATGCTAATTGCATCACTTCTCTGTATAATTTTCTTACCTAGTCATAAGATCCTCAATGGGTTTTGGGCATCCTTCTATCAAAGGAGGCCTTTGTCCTACATGAACAGCCCACATTATCCTAAAGGCTGAAGCACCAATATCATCAAAGGGTTTTTTGCGTGTTAAGACTTCCCACAAAATGATACCCCAACTAAATACATCGCACTTCTCTGTATACCTAGATCCTTCAAACACTTCTGGTGCCATCCATGCGGCTGAGCCTTTATTATTAGTCATATATGTGTTTAAGTCACAGGCCGTGCCAAAATCGCAAATTTTAAGTATTTGACCACCCATAACTAATAATAGATTGGGTGGCTTTAGGTCTCTGTGAAAGAAAATTCATTAAGAATTGTTTCTTTTGTTTCTTCAATATAAAGAGAAGTGGTTATGGCATGATTTTTTTTACCTGTGTATCAATGGTTTTGGTTTCATATTATGAAGATATGCAACACCACGTGCACATTGGAGAGCCCAACTCATGGCATGACTAATAGTATAATGTGATTGAGGAGTACCATGTAATACTATAAACAAATGATTTTAGTACAATTTGTCATATAGTAACAAGACGTTGAGAATATTGTTCCTTACCATTATACAATGATCCACCTTCTGCATATTCCATCACTAAGCATACTGGGTCCTTGGTACATGCACCATACAACTTAACGATATTAGGATGGGCTACTCTTGATAACTGTCTAACTTCGACAGTGAAGGCCTTTCTCTCTCCTTCTGAATTTATGTGTTTCACAGCAACATACTGCCCTCTCCATTTTCCTTTCCATACAACTCCAAAGGAACCTTTGCCGACTACCTGTGAACGATGATAAATGTATATGAGAATATACCTCTAAATAGATGTTTGTATAGTTTAAAAACAATGATCACACATCAAAAACAAGTGTCACCTACCAGTGTGCAGTTTTTTAAAAGTATTTCGGTTTACTTGAGAATAATAGCTTTCATACATTTGAGGTTATCTTAGTGATGTATCAATTATGATTTTAAGAAAACTGACTAAATAAGTTCAGAATGTAACAATCAACAGTGAAGGGAATCTCAAAAGTCGAAATGGTTTATGAAAGTCGGTAAAACATAATCATCACCATATGAAAGGAAAACAGTACAAATATAAAGAGAACTACCTGCTCTTGTACAATTTCATTATAATCGATTTCCTCAACGAACTGCTGCTGATGGCCGATTATCTCTTTGCACGCCATCGCACATAGTCCACGTCACATGATTTTCAGGGCACATTTAATCAAAATTTGAAGGTTCCCACATGAATGTTTACTGAAATTGGCTTCAAACAGCCTCACAAATCGCCATCTTCCGAATCTGGTCTAAGGGCATTACGGCTAAACTTGTTGGGAAGGATAATGCGCCTTTACGTGTGATGTGTCCTCGGTACCTTCAAATTCAAGTTAAAGAGTTCATTCAATCTGTCCGTGAATCGTATTATTTATAAATAAGAATTCCTTCAATCTGCCGTTTAGCTGCACTATTTGAAAATAAAAACGCCCTTCTGATTCGTTGTGTTGTACTACTTGAAAGTAAAATATCTTTTGACCAGCTGACAAAACGCACCACTTAAAAATAAAAAGGCTTTGCGACTTGCTGTTGATTCCTATTTGAAGACAAAAAACCGTCTGATCCACCACTAAATCATTCTATTTGAAAACACAAAATACGTCTAACTTGTCGTTGAGTCGTATCACGATCTCGATTCTTCTCTGCGAATAGTGGCGACCTATAGCGGAGATTGTGGAACTATTAAAAATAATGTCTTGTTTTACATCGTACACTTGATACGCGTACTAAATAGTAACTTTCTATTAGATAATCTTAATATCGACAATGCATATCAACGGCGACGCATTCAATCAATATAATATGTTTTGTTGATGAGTATTATACCAGCTTAATATACTGTTGTTTATATATATCGTCGATATTAAGATTATCTAATAGAAAGTTACTATTCAGTACGCGTATCAAGTATGCACGATATAAACCAAGCCATTAAGTTTAGAGCCCGTATCAGACTATAGATTAGGATTGAGATTGAATTGAAATTTAGCCAATCAGAGCAAAATTTACTAAGCTCAAGTTTGGTGAACTTTGCTCTGATTCGCCAATTTTCAATTCAATTTCAATCTTAATCCATAATCTGATACGAGCTTAAACAACGCTAGTCGCTAGTAGTAGTCGTAACAGGTCTAACAGGTTTCTACACAAAGAAAAATACTCAAGATGATTTGCAAATTCAACAGTATTATACTAAGAATCTTTCAATACGTATCTCTTGTAAATAGTAATAATAGAATCAATTACTCTTTAATTAGTTATTTTTGACATTTCTCTCATATAATCAACCATTAATGAATTTTTCCTGTAATTTATTCTTTAGACTCAGATTCTTTTCTTTAACATTATTCAAATAACATGAGATATCCTTCATGCGCGTATTCAAGATATTTTAGGACACTTTCCAGGTGTTTAAATATATTATTTAGGATAATTTATTTCAGGATAGTATGTTTTGTGCTCCTAAGAAATGTTATAAATTTAGCTATAAATCTTAATAATAATCATTACATCAATGTCATTAGTAAATTTTATCTTTACAAAAACTAAGAAACAAGTTATATCTTTATAGCGTTTTCAAATACACAAGTTTTGATAAGCTCTCAAACACCATCTCACGCTTTTTTTCGAAACAACTTTACCGACTGACCTAATGGCAGTTCAAAGGCGCGATGCTAGGTGGCACCTGTAGAATAATTTAAAGTTGGAGGGCTTTATTAAAAATTGCAACGCTGGGTAGTGCTAGTAGCATAATTCAGTGACGGTTGGATCCGACGTAAGCAACTTAGAAATAAGTTCTTTTTACAAAACAGTCATTTTTTTAATATATATTACGAAATCTGTTCTTTCAGTTTCCTTTGCGGCACGATCTACAGAAATTTGACGCGGCTCAAGACTAAAGAGATTTATCGAGAGAAAGACATCTCACATGAAAACAGGTACGTTTTAACCTTATTAAGTTTGAACGTTAATAACGAAAAATGGCAAATACGTGATTAAACAGAATATTGATATGAAATTATCTAAATACATCAGTATCTTTGAATGTGTGCTTGTGATGGTAATACTCCAATTAGTAACATTTTGCCCAGGATAATTATTTAATGAGAGGGATAATTTGTTTCAATTTATGTGAAACTTGTATAGGTTATACCGGGCGTAGTATATAAATGCAGCACTTAATTTTCGACCAGATCTATTCGTTTAATATCTACAAAGCAGCCGCAAAAGGAAAAGTTTGATGGAAAGTGATAGTTTCACGAAGACATGGGGAAAAGCGAGTTTTGTAGAGGTATTCTTATTTAAATATATATTTCTCACATCATCCAGTATGTTCATAGAATCCTTTCATGCTACTTGTAACTTGCAGGGTATCAAACGAGATTAAGGCTACGTTCGGGGAAATACTATTTAACGCTTTGAGCACGCTCTGTCCTTATTCAACTTTCAATAAGTAACAAGGACAGAGCATGCTGATAACGCTAAATAGCATCTTCTCCAATACAGCCTGAGTATAACGATATGGAGAATCGGTTTGGAAACCAGTTTCAATCAGGAAATATCGCTTTCATCGCGTATCCGGAGTCAACGTCGTTGCGTTGCGGACAGCGGCGAGTCGATGCGGAATCGTCGCTCGCGAAACGTTATATCCGTAATGCATAATTCTTAGTGAGTAGATACATACACGCGCGTATCTATGCGTACGTAACGGACGCGAATTCGTATGCGAATGCGGCAACGCACGCCGAAGGAAAGCGAGGAAACGAAGCTCGGCCGGACCGAACTTAAGTCCAGCGAACGAGCGCGCGTGTAATTGTGAGTTAAGTATGCGGCTAGGCTCTTCGTATCGTATCGAGCTAGAACACGTCGCTTGGCCTTTACGCTGACCCGTGCTTTCACCCGGTAGCATCGTCTCATCCCGATTCACCTCGTCCCATAGCCCGGTCTCATCGATTCGTCTTTACCAGTCACTTACAGCGCATCGTGATGTAATACACACAAATAGAAAGAGATAAAGAGAAAGAGAGATAGAGCGAGCATTCACGAAAAACCGAGTCGAATCTTATCGCGAGATCTTGTCGTGACTTAGACCGCACGATTGTCGTCGTACGTGTCACAGATCTCACAATGGTCGTAGGGAAACAAGAAGAAGAGGTAAAAGAGACTCCTTCGCGACGAAGTCGCGCTGAATAAAATACTCTCCCGTGAGCAACGACGGGAGAGATCTCGAGCGAGTTGAAGCGTTGCGAATGAAGTGCGTCGCTCGAGATCGAGAGATCTCGCGACAATTGGTGACTCGGTCGCGAAATTAAATGTAATGCGAGTCACGAAGATCGTCAAGATTGTTAACGCGCGGCGTCCAACTGCACGTCATTGTTTTACGCGCTTTCGAAACGTACGTCTAGGATGCATTCAGCTGTGTTGGCGTAATACGCGTCTGACGATACGATTGCGCGACGTTAGCTACGTTATTAGGGTGCACCAACGTTGCTCGTACGTATAAAGTAGGTAACCGAATTTCTCCGTGATAATTTGAGAAGCTCACTTCGATTAAAATACTTAATATTTCGCGAGAGATCGACGAGACGAATCGACGAATCCCGCACCAAATCGCGCGAGCTCTCGTCTCGCCATTAATACATCCCCCGTGCTGTACGATTCGGCCTCGAAGCCGCATCTCTCGCCGAATACAAGCGAAAACGAAGAAACTGTACACTCTAATCCCGGCACCTTTCACCGTGCGCATGTCATCATGGTCCATCATATTCGGGTTCGCTTGCTCGCTCGCTCGAACGAATTGCAGTCTAACGCTTGTGAGAGTTCTCGCCGTTAGCCGCGATCCCGCGAGCTATAATATTGTCCACGACGCGTTCATCGCTGGCGCATAGCCAGCCGAACGGTAACTATGGTCTTACGTAAGGAATGCACGATTGCGGGAAAAGCTACAGTTCTCTCTCCCCACAAACATCGTCATAATCGCATTTTTTAGCAGTGCCTGAAAATGTCGGTGAATTATGCCCCGTATTCCCGCGCAATAAACCGTGATTGATTAGCAATCTCGCCAGTTCTCGTTTTGTAGAAGGATGAAGAAGAAAGCGCGACAGAGTTCGAACAGGATTTCGGAGAACGCGACTCTCGATCAATGGCTAGTTATTAGCGGTTGTTACGGCAAACGCTACCATGGACAGTAACTAATTCGAATTATTTATTGAACACGAAACTGGCAATTACAGCAATATTCCGCAATAGCATTGCAGGACGATAAATACGAGTAAAGTTTCAGAACCGTTCCCGAGCGGCGATGCGAGTGAAAGGTATCGCGATGTGAGCAGACCAAAAATGCCCACTCGAAAAGGAACGCAAAATCCATCGCGTCGACCTCGGCGAACGCCACCATCGTCGGAGACGCTGCAAGATCCTAGATCCGTCGGATGTTGCCGCCTCGTCGGAGATCCGCGTGCGGAATTGCGCAGTCACGTGGAACAGTATCGAGAAACTCTCAGGACAGTGAAAGTGATCTTTCGACCTCCGCTGGCAAGTACGAGCGATGTTCTAATAAATTAGTTGAATGCACACGGCGACTTATCGCGCGCATTCTCGACGCGAAAGATCCGCGAGGAAGAATCAGCGCTCCACGCTGATTTCTTCCTCGTGCATCTTCCGTGTGATGAAGGCGACGCTTTGCTAGATACTCTCGCAAATATTGAAATCGATTTTCTATGCATCGTACTATCGCACGTATTGCTGTTACTCGGGCAGTGTTCAGGCAAGATTTAAATGTCGAAAATTGATTTTGAATTCAATTATTTAAGTGAACATGTATCATGTAAAATATGTCTGATTAAGACATTAAGATAAACATTTGAAATGTGAGCACGCGGACACAATAGCAACGACTCGCGTCTTATATGCGTCGTCACTCAAGCGTGAAGCACATTAGCATTTTTAACGTTTACGTTACGCCGTCGTTACGTTGTTTCCACGCTCGATCGCGCGTTGCTATTATCGCGATTGTCGATATCGCACTCTCATCGAGCGCTATTAACAGCATTGAATTAATCAAGATCAAAGAGCCGGTCTTTCGAACAGACATCAACACCGAGTTCCACTCTCCAAGTCGATTATATCAGTGAGTACACTTTGATCTAATTCAATGCGACACGTTCGACAACGGCAACCACCACGACGCGATAACGAAGGAAAAAAACAAACACTACAGGATCTTAGCCGATCTAAGAGACAAGAGGGAGACATTCGGCCATGCGGGAGAAGGATAGTGAACGCTTTCACACTCGGACTTTGCCGTCTGCGGCCGTATGATATCACGATCGAGAGAGAGACAATGTCCGAATAACGGCTGGATCGGAGCCGTCCGATTTTTGAAGGAGGCCGCCGTCTGACCTTTCGAAAGTGTTTTTTCTCCTTCCTTCTCCCGCTTGCTCCCTGCCATCTCTTCTTCGTTTAAGTAGAAAAAAAGGAGCGAGATTCTCGTGAAAGTTGCCTCCTGGCTACTACGAAGTGCTGTCACGCCGCCACAGCTATCTCCTCTTCTTCCTCGTCGCCAATCTTTTCCCCAACTACCCTTCGACCTCGTCTTCGTTCTACTCCGCCTGTTGTATCCCTCTTATTCGCGAAGCGAAGCTCTTCCTGCATTGCGCGTGCAAAGGTCCTTCCTGCTCCGCACGGGGTCATAGACGTTCTCGTCAAGGCCGTCGAAAGTCCTGTTCCTCCTTTTTTTCGCGAGAAATATGCGAGAGGTTTTATTCACAAGTGATATTCACGTTATTCCATTATACATGCTTGTTTAGCTCGCAATTAGAAACCCTTAATTATTCAGAGTATCACCGGTGTCTCTGCGGACATCCTCATCGAGGGAAAAGTCGAGTCGAGCGATCATGGCGTTATTAGCAATTTTCCTCAATGTTTCCGTGCATATCGAGCCAGTTATGCGCGAAATAAAAAAGGTGGCCGACAAAAGAGAGGTATTTAGAATTTACAAAGCCTCACGACCGTATAGACTTGATTTATTCGCGGATTCCGCGGTGCCGTCGTGAATCCGAAGCGATTTGAATCCTCCCGTTCCCATCCCGTACCCGTGTCACGTGTACGTGAGCCGTGAGAGAGCACACACAACTCTCGCGAGCGTGCACCGCGGCGAGCACGGCACTTCCCTTTCTTCCTTTTCATTCGTTTTCTCGTCTCTCCAGTTAAACTCTCGTGTCAATGAGCGGAGCCTCGCTTTCGCTCGTCTCATCTTTCCCCCCGGGCGATTTCAAGTAGCAACAGCTGTTCCGTGCCGCGATGCACGCGACGTGCAAGCTGCACACACTCGTACGTTCACCCGTACGTGTATGTGGTGTCGTCGTCGTTTTGCTGAACGACAGATAGATAGACGAAGCACCTTTTCTCTCCTTTCGACTATCGTCTTGTCGATCTCCACATACAAATGCGTCGTGATGATAAGTTATCGAATCGAGAGGAAAACGAGAAGAAGAGAGTAGCGTGTACGTACAGCGCAGATTACGCTGAAATTGTCGATGAACACTTCGTCGACAATCTTATCGCCGACTCTGTGCATCAATCAGTCGACTACACATGAAATTAATTGGTTGAAAAGTTTTTCTTCATTCATCTTATTCTATATTATGTACATTATTTGCATGTCCAATTTAGTGGAATTTTGTTTTTTTGTGTAGCGATGAAAAGGTAAAGAAACGTCGGTGGAATTTTTAACGCAACAAGCACAAAAGAATTCACTCCGTGGATCTTGTACGAAGAAAAGGACATAGAGGACTCCTGTGTTTACGCCGTAAAAGTCAATCGATTACTCCTTTAACGAGTCATTACGTTGGATCTATGTTCTTCGTCTTCGTACCTAACAATTCTAGTTTTCATGTTCTCCATGTAAGTATGCATTATTTTATACATTTTCATTATCAAGGAAGAAACATAAAACGCAGTGAGAAACATAAAACAAACTTGGCGATTGGACGTCATTTATCTGTTCTCTTCTTCTTCCTTCCTTCCTTAGGTGTCGGGTTCTTACGCTACTTCATGGATTTTGTCGTGGTAGCTTGCAACACAACTGCTCAAGAGAGAGACCCTACGTTAGAGGTAGGAAAACGAGCAGTAGGGAGGGAAACCGGACGAAATCCGGTGACGAGCGTCGTTCTCGCCTTGATTAACGGTTGTTTAGGAGCAGTGAAAGTTTCTCCGCGCTCGCGCACTCGGGTTCGGGATGCGCTACCTTTTCGGAAGGAGATAAATGTGACGTTCCTTCACGTCTCCTCGCTCGCGTTCCCTCTTTCCTCGACGAGAATCGACGGGAGAATCGCCATTGTCGCGCAATACTCGCGTTCTCATGCGGAAACGCGCTGAGAAAGGAAGTCAGCGGCGAAGGAATTAATCCCTCGCGCCAACTTGCTTCGCCCTGTCCTGTCCAAGCTTGAAGCTGACCGAGCTGAGAGCCGAATGACCTCCATCCAGGACGAGGCTCAGCAGGATCTCCGTTGCGTTCACCCTCGTACCTGAAGTCTCCTCGACGGCGCCGCGATTGTGCAATGTGCGGAAGAGTATCGGGGTTAAACGTTACGTTAGGCGCGGGACTAGCGTGAAACTAATCGTCCGTACAAAATCGCGTGATGCCATATTAAACGGCGACGCCGAGATTTTCCACGGGGCCGTCGCGAATCTTCAGGAAGAGAAAGAGCGGCGTCGTGACTCGTGGTCTTTTTAATCCGTTCTCACGAATATATCCGTGATCCCGGAAAGACTCGAGAAACTCTCGACAAGTCAGCGTAGGTCGGATTGATTGAACTTTTTCAACATTGGAATTGTTTCCCACCAACGTTTCAAATATATCGAATTCAAAGCATGCGATTCAGAAAGGCGTTCGACGATGAGTCGAAGAAAGAACAACGGAGACATGTTTTTATGTAAAAATACATAAAAAAGCTTTATTTCGCCACCGTTTTCTTGCAAAAAAATAAGTATAAAAAACATCTCTCCTTCGTGGTCGTCGTAATCATCATCATTATCGTCATCATCGTCATTATCGTCGTCATCATCATCATTATCATCATCGTAATAGTCGTCATTGTGATCATCGATACCATCATCGTTCTCACCATCATTATCATCAGCCTCGTCGTCGTTGCAGTCGTCATCGTATTCAACATCATCATCATCGCTGCCTTCGTCGTCGTCGTCGCCGTCGCGTTCTTCCTCTTCTTCGTCTTTTCACGGCGATCGTCGCGCGTATAACACAGTGATACGTCAACACGACAAAATTCGTCGTCGCTGATTATTATGTTAGAGGTATGTGAGCGTTGTGTGCGTGTGTGTAGTGGGTGAACGGAGGAGGGGGATGGAGGGGCCGCGGGGGTAGTGAATTGACTAGTATGGCCCGGACGCGCCGGGTGGCCCGTAATTCGTGCTGGGTCCGCTGGGTCCGGTGCCGATTCCATCGAGTCCACCTCCGATACCGGTGCCGCCGATGCCGCCTCCGTGGCCTCCGCCGATACCGCCTCCGATACCACCTCCGATACCACCTCCGATTCCACCACCAATTCCACCACCGATTCCACCTCCGTGACCTCCGCCGATACCGATGCCACCGCCGCCGCCGCCGCCGCCGGTAACTTCCTTCTGCAATGTGTAAAATATACATTTAATTTCACGATATCTCAGAGTTGTAAGGACGCGTCTGGAATTTCCGACTTTCTACTCTCGGCTTGCGTCGCGCCACTTGTCGAAGTGGAACGTTCGCGATTCCAATCGTTTTCGTCTCCCTCACCTGCGTCTTGTATTTGATGAAATAGACTTCCGGCTTGCTGGGCTGCGTGGGTGTGATGGTGGGCAGATTGATCTCGGGCGCTTCCTCGGGCTTCTTGACCAACACGTAGATGAGTGTTTTCTGCTCGTCCTGTTGCGGTAACGCCGGGATCACAGGAGCAGTCGGAGTTGGCGGAGTCGGCGCCTTGATGAAGATGATCTTGTAATGCTTCTGCGGTGGAGCTGGTGGCGCGATCGGCCTGATCGGCCTATCCTCGGGCGCCTCTGGGGGTGGCACGTGCACATAGATGTGTTTCTGAATCAAGGATCCACCACCGAACCCGCCGCCGAATCCACCACCGGAACCGCCGCCGAATCCGCCACCCGAGCCGCCGCCGAATCCGCCACCCGAGCCGCCGCCGAATCCACCGCCGAATCCGCCGCCGGAACCGCCGCCGAATCCTCCGCCGTGTCCTCCGCCGAGACCTCCACCGAGACCTCCGAGTCCACCGCCAATACCACCTCCGTGACCGCCGCCGATGCCGATGCCACCGATGCCACCGCCGATACCGCCGATGCCGCCTCCGCCAGGAGCACCGTAGCTAGTGCTCGGCTGGCTATAAGAATATCCGGCTTCCGGCCGCGCCATCGCCACTGTGGCGAGCGCCAGGATCTGCGATTACGAATAGATTACAATAGACAGTCGCTTGAACTCGTTGCGTGGGAAGGAAAAAACTCGTGGAAACTCGCGATACTTGAACGCAGGAATCTGCTCCAGCAAGTTTGAGGTTTGTTTTATCATACTCTACGTGTTGTAAACTGAAGTTCACGGTCGCAATTTTACACGTACTTCATTATTTTATTTGCTCCGACTGTAAATCATCATATTTGACAAACAAACGATGAAATTATAAAAGTAGTTGATATAAGGCAACTTGATATAAGGTCAACAAGTGTCAACAAGGGTATCTCCTAAGAGCTTCTTATATTTTTCAAGAGAGACAAGTGGCCCGCGCACGCTCTCTCAAGGAAATAAATCGTCCGCTCTTGTTCTCACTTCCCACGCGCCTTCGAATAATATAATAAGAGAAATTTTATCCCGAGGACAATGCGAGCGTACTTTCATCTAACTCTTCCTCGGCGCTCGAAGTAATGTAAAGAAAAAAGGAAACGAAAGAAGGCGTTCTTCCGTTTCTTTTTCTCTCTTTCGCTCGTGCCCTCGAAAGGTGAACCGAAAACGTGTCGCGCACGCGAGGGTGAATCCGCGAAAACGCGGAAGACGCTGGTCGTCCCTTCCTCGATCATCAGTCACGCGCATCCCTCGGCGTTACGTAAACGGCGGAGGAGGAATTCCGCGCGCTCGATATATACATGCATTCAATTCCTTTTCATTTTGTTCGCGTGCCGCGCGGAAACTAGAGAAGTGGCACAATCACTGAACCGGTTGCCCCGGCTGGTCACTATCACGGGGTACATTGACACCGCACACAATGCCCTCTGTACACCCTCCCCTCCCGTTTACTTTCTCCGTCTTCCCCTCCCGACCTCGTGGAAGACACGAGATCACGATCTCGAGCGAGCGTATGGCGAATTTTTGGTTTCTCTTCGTTTCTCCCACGTCCCACGCGGGATTCATCCTTCGACAAATTTCATGTAATTTCCATGCTGCGACTTTCGTTATTATCGCGAAGAGATGCAAAGAAAGAAAGGCAGGAAGTGGGGAAGAGAGAAAGAGAAAATTGGCAAAAAGAGCCAAGGAGCACATAGGAGCAAACCTGAATAAACGATAACGTAAAATGACGACGAGGAGGAAGAAGCTGGAGGAAAAGAAGGAAGAGAAGAAAGAAGGGAGAGAAAGGAGAGGAAGGTAACTGGAGAAACGAAACCGTGGACGCTACTTACCATGAATGCCCTCATGGTTGCTGCTGTTCCTTGATTTGAGGACTGATGCTCCGTGGATGTCTTGAAGCCTCCTTTTATACGGGCCAGCTTGGGCCCCACTCGAGCCTCGACCCATCACCTATGAGATGCGACGGAGCTATTGCAAATCTCTCTCTCCTTCTCTCTCCCTCTCTCACTTCTCGGTGCTTCTTACACGATACGAATCCATCGCGCAAATTTGTCTCTGTACTTTCCTTGAAACTCAACGATTCGATTCGGATAGGATCGGTTACAGTCATCCATGTCGTCGTCACGTAACGAGGATATTCAGTTGACAAACGAGCGTGAGAAATGTGTGCCGCGAGGATACGTTACGTGTATCATACAGGATTTATCTCCTCTGCAGCTTTTAACGCGTATCGCGACTATTTTGTCGACAAATGCGTGCTTCAGGCAATCTGTAATTCGCGATGTAACTCGAGGCAGAATCCTGCGTCTGCAAGATATTCCAAGAACTATACTAAATTACGTGTACACGTCTATAAATTTTCGAGTGTCTTACATGCCTTACACAACATGTAAGGTTGCGACTGAAATCCCGTCTGAAATTTTCATCGCAAATCAAATTTTATGGATCATTCAAAGCGGACGTAAAGGCCGATAGATTAAAAAAAGATATTCTCGAAATTAAGTTCGTATTATATAAAATGCGATAGATATTGACTCCATTGCCGAATTTTATAAGTCTGTGAACGGTGAATTTTAACGACACCGTGTAGTCGTTATAAAACTTTCGTACAGAAAACGTAGATATTTAGTAGATATTTAAACAGATTATTCACGTGCGAAATACGATCTGCAAATTATAATGCGCCTATCTTTGGCAAAAATTTCAGTCCTCTGCCTGTACGTAATTTCGCGCACATGTCCACCGCCTACGAGGATGTCGCTTTCTTTTAATTTCGAACTCGGGCAAGCGGGATTAAATCGATAAGCCGTCACGGAGCCTGATATATGAATAATAGTCATATCTACAATATTAGACAGAAACCTTAAAATAGAGATATCTATCGTTTTTTTACAAACATTGTTAACGAAACCGCCCTCTTATTTTCTCTCTCTATATTTCTTTCTTTATCTAGCCTTCTAACGTGATTTATATTGTTCTATACGTCAATACGTATATACAACAATACGTATATTTAGTTAGACAAATAATAAATAAATCAAGCCGCTTGCTAAAGTCGTATTTTCTCATTTAGAAAAATTATGCGATGCTGAAAGGTAAACTAAAGCGCGAGAGTAAGATCGGAAGTCGCGGAATTGCAGGAGTCATTAATGACTGGGATATTAAACGTCGAGTTATTCAATACCATGGAAAAAATCGATGTGATTCTACGCGGCTGCGTATCGACCGGTTAACGCGTGTACAGCGCGTGCATCTTTCAAAAGAGTCGTCTCGACGCCGCGTTATAGAAAGTGTAACCGGCACATGCATTTAACGGCTACCTGGACGCACACAAAATGTACTGCCGGGCCAATTTTGTTCGATCATTATGTTGCGTTACGTGTCATTGATAGCTGTTTAAAAGATTCTTTAGTGGGTAGTAAAAAGACACCTGTGTCTGCACGTCTCATTCTATTTAGGGATAAACTTACGCGGAAAGGGAGGAGAGAATACCGACGTGTGTGCAAGTCCTCGCAACGCGTAGCAACATCATCCTCTGTTTTTAATTTTTTAATTCAAATCTAATTTTCTAATTTTATAACTGTTCGCAGGAAGATGGGAACGTAAAAATACACTTTTGCGCATCGTCCCTGCCTGTACTTCGACCTATGTGTCTTGCGACACGTACACATAGGCTGAGAACGATTCCGAAATTCAATATGCTAATTGCTAAATCGTCACGAATGTAACTGATCGCCATGAAAATTTGTCAAGCTTCAAACCGAAACTCTCATCACGCAGATGCCTCAGGTAAATGTTCCTCAAACACGCCTTCTTAAATGTACTTTTTTTCTTAACCGCAAACTCTTCGCGATTGACTAAGTAATTCACGGTAACCAAATGCCTCCCGCTACGGGAACTTAAAACAATGGAATTGGCCACTTCCGCGACGCGAGGTAACGAGAAACAGCCAGGAAGAGAAAAGAACTTAAAAAATTTCGGATTGCGTTCCTCGGAAGCGCCTTCACGTTCGCAGATATGCATACTACGTATCGACGAAGGAGGAAGAAAGATTGGAGACTTCTTCTTCTTGACATGCAAAGTACGTCATTGTGGAAAATATCGCGTGGAATTTTGAAAATTGCTCAACGAGAGCGCGTCCCGTCGCAATGATACACACAGCAAGTTTACCCACGACAAAAGTAGATCACGAGCAAACGAGTTCTTCAGTTCGGACGCACCATGCGAACGAAAAGTTTAACCTTGCTAGGTGATAGTATCCTCTCCTCTCACGCAAGTGCGTGCCTTGGACTACGCGTACGTGTGAGTAGATATAGATGAAAGGAGGCTATTTTAGAGGACGATCTCAGAGAGTGATATAATAATGAAATCGATACGAAACGTGTAGGACCTACATAGCTGTGTAGAACGCTCCCGTTCGAGTTCAAGTTCAAGAAGAATTGGGCAGGAATTGAATAAAATTTCCAAAAAGGCTCGATCTCTCAGAAACATCGCGCAACATTCTCTCACGATTTCGTTTCACTTATAAATAATTAATATCAGCCAAAAGTTTACTGGTCGCGGATGCGAACTCTGACGCCGAGACTAAAGGCAGCAACGTCGTGAATCATTAGCATTGAACTTGACCAAGATCGAACTCGTTTAACGCGAAGCTATTCGAAATTACCTATGTAATAATTACATTAAGTTAACTGCATAGCGATCTTAGAACAGGTTGAAGTGAAGACGATAAGAGATCTGGTGTAAACGACGAGACAAGGAGAGATCTCTCGATCATGTTGTACGAGAGACTTGGGTGTCGACGTAAATTTCTAACGGATACTTGTTAACGACGAGAGACGTTTCGCACATAGATATTTCGACGGGAGAATCTAATGTTCGGCCGGCGCGAATTATCGTCGGCCTTCGTTGCGAAACCGAAAGTCTCTTCCTTCTCCGCGTGGAAATCTGCCAGCAGTGTCTCTCCGCCGCGAGAGCGAGAGCAAAAATAAAGAGAAAGAAAGAAAGAGAGAGAGAGAGAGAGAGAGAGAGAGAGAGACAGGAATGGACCTCGAAATCCATTTGACCCGAATATCCGACGAAGAAGCTTCTCTCGTTTATTTTTCTTCTTCTTTTCTCGGTCGAGAGGAATTAAACTTTCCCGGCAGAAGAAGCAACAGCGGCAGCGGTGAATCTGCCCTTTGTTTGTCGATTCCGGTTCGTCGTTTCGTCGTCTCCTTCTTTTCGCTGCGGATCCAGATCCTTATCAATCGTTCGGGATCATCCGATCGACCACAACGGGCATCGAGACCGAGGACGAACACTGGAGAGAGTTGTTGGTGTCAATTATCGAATAACATGTTCCGGAAGACGTGAATCTGCGCAAAGAGACGAATGTCAGATAACGCGATTACTTATTATATTAATTGAATTATAACAAATTTTTAGGATTAAATTATGATAGATTTTTTCTTGACTCCTCGATGTAGACATCTTAATTCATGATGTCGGAAGCGAGTAAATGCATGCCTAAGATACCTGCAAAGTACGTTGAAATAAAAAGATACATCCAGAAAATAGTACTTGTAATCGATTAAACACACTTCTAAAATATTCTGAATATTTTCCTTTTGTTCTAACAATCAATAAATAACCATAAAATTAAAAAAATAATAAAGAAATATAAATTAAAAAGAAAAATTAAATATCACGTTAATTTTACGATTATTTACTGCTTATTGGAATAAAAGGAAAATGTTTGGAATATTTTAGAGGTGTGCTTAATCGATTGCAAGTGTCATTGTTTGAATTTGTTTTTATTTTGGCATACTTTGTAGGAATTTTGGGCATGCATTTCCTTGCTTCTGACGTCATCAATCAAGAGTTCCGCAGCGAGGGACCAGAAACCTTAAAAACACATAACTCGACAGAGATTTGATGACTTATTATAAATCGACAGATTTAACCGGCTATTTCTCGTGTAGCTTTTTAACAGAGTTTGTAAAATCTGAAATTTGTTTTCTAAAAATATGAATGAAGAATGCCCCCTAAGTAAGCCGTTGGAATATAATCGAGATCGTTTTTTGTCGTTTACACACATTCCGATACAATTAATTGGCGATACGTATGGAAATTTATGGAAAGATAACGCCGACCGACTGATGTTTTCAGTGCGACCGTAAAACCAACAGTGTGAAATGCAAACGTGACGTAATTTGCGTCGCGTTATATCGCGGACAAATTAGAAACGTGCATCGCGTTTGTCGCGCAAACACGTGAAACACCCGTCGTCGTCGTGTTCCTCTTTCCGTGACCGTTGCACAACGCAACAACCGTATACACGTAACTTTGTACTACATATTATACGCTTACATCTCTTGCAATATGATAATAGCAGGATATTTTCATAAATTCTATGCGTGCGGAGGCAAAACGCTACACAGCCAAACCATCTCAGTCGCACACTCGAGGCAGTGAAATCTTCTGAGATCAGCGGATAGCGTCCGCTTAGAAACAATATGTTCGTGTGTACCTTCAGCCTCGCGCAAAAGTAACCGGCTTTGCGTAATGAACGAATCAGCGCCGAATGAATATGACGTAACGGCGGATTAATATGGGAATCGATAGTTAAGTTTTCCGATCGACAGTTAAGCGGTGCCGTACAATCGGCGAGCGGGTTTTTTCTCGCGTCACGGTGCGCTGGATATAAATTAACATTGTGCAATATTTATTGCGAGACGTAATCACGAACGCCAGAAACTCGCAGGAGAACTCGCAGGAGAACTCGCAGGAGAACTCGCCGGAGTTAGCTTTAAAGCGACGGTAAAAATGAAATAGGGTGAAGCCGCGCTCGATCGTGCCGCGATGCGACTGTATAGCGTCTACGTTCTCGCGTTCGTGTAACAGCAATATCGACACAACGGACGGAGGCGCGGAGGTTTCGGTCCTCAGATAGAGACGGTCGAGTTCGTTACATGAAATAATAGTTTCTCGCGAGATACAATTCTAGATAAACTGTGACGCGCGACATCCAACAAATGAGTTATGTACAAATAACGTTTCGCGCAAGACTCTATTCGCGGCAAACTTTCCTTCACTTTAACGTAAACGTCGCCTCGAGGAGACGCGAGATGCTCAATCTTTTATACATTCGTAGATTGCTCGCCGAAATGTTAGTGGTGTCAATATTCGAGCATTTGGTTTATCTTAAAAATGAAAGATAAAATCAGCCGATGCGCGAAATCAGTTGATTGATATTACTATGTTCTAGATATTTTGGACAGTGTCTGAGTATCTAAGCGGTACCCGCAAATTTAAGTATCGAATCTACGAGATACTTGCTTGCCACACGGAGAGTATATTATAGTTGTTTTCTCATATAAATTCTTTTCAATTTTATTATATGTTTTTTAGTCCAGAAATAAATTATCAGCAAGATCTTTCTTGCTAAGAAACGTAATAAATTTTGTTAGAAGCATAGCAAATGTCTTAATAGCCCATTTCCTAAAATATAAATAGTACACATGAAAGAAAAAGATAATGAATTACTGCAGAATGTCGATATGTTCCTCAATTACAAAATCCTAAAGTAATTCCTACTATAAAATTGTCTCCGTGTGAGAAATTATCTGGTTTATATTGGCAGCACTAAGTACAAAATAGAAGAGGATGCTTCGCGGATGCCTCTTCGCTCGATTGCGAACCATTCGCAGCGGGCAGTCTCTTGGCTGTTCGCTGACCAGAGAAGAATCCTCCGTACCTTTCTACCTTCGAGCGGTCGACGCCGCGCGGTCGATGTGGCGTCACGCTCCTCGGGACGTCCGGTCGAATCGCGGGACCAAGCGAATCGAGATATGATTTTCCCATTCACCTCGTGCCTCACGCAGTTAATTACATGCCCCTTCGCTCTTACTCGGCTACGTCCGTCTTGCCTAGCAGAAGCGAACCGAGGACATCGCACCGCCGTTCTTGATTCGCTTGCACTCTCTGTTCCCCGACTCTCGTTCCACCTGTCGCATCTTTCACCGTGTGTGAACATTTCACGCGTTGATATCGATACGACGATGCGTTCTCATACGCAACATGCGAAGCTTCTTCGTCTTCCCCGATCGTTCCTTTGATCCGCTCCGAGACTCACTGATCTGACGTCGATTTCCGCATGGATAATCGTTCTGTAATTATAATCCCACACAGAAATACAATAGACGCCGGGTATAACGAGTATCCTTTACACTTTCACCTCTTTCCAATATCGCTGTCGTTAATACGCGAACGTTGCCTGGACGCTTATCCATGCCGACGTTGTAATCGACGTCGTCAGGACCCGGCTTTTCCAACAAGCCGATTATGGTATGCGCATTACGCGTGTTCAACATAACTTTGCCCGTCAGATCATTTTGTAACACGCTCGACACGGTGATCATCGAAACGTCGTTTCGCGATGAGATTCCTGCGTGAATATCGTCCGTCTCTCCCAAGCGTACATTCTCTAAAACTTCGGCAAGCTTAGTTTAGCTTAGCGAGATGAAAACACCTCGATCCCACCTCTTGGGAACTCGATACCGTGGAGCCGTGTTACTGTCGATTAATCGGTGCAATCATCGCGTAATTCTCGCTTCTGCTGATGTAATCACTCGTTGAAACGGCACGCCGACGTGACTCGTCCTTTAATGAACGAAGTAATTGGTGCGCGACGTCAAGTTTGCGCGATGCCAATTACTAAGATCAAATTCCAGAAATATGCTTTTTTTACGCGCATGACATAACCATTGATGCGCATGAATATACCATTTAAAGTAAATTACATCGTTCATATATTTTTCTAACAACACAGATTCTTCGGCCAATCTCTGGGATTGATTTTCTTTCAGCGAGAGTATTAAAACAACAAAACGCTGTGGTAACGGATTTATATATAATATACATAAAGACAAGGCGGGATCTCACGGAAAATGGTTGCGTAACAATGTCGGTACCAAACTGCGCTACGTAGGTAGATAAATAAACCATAAGAGAACACGGTACCGAAGCATTGTGTACTTTCCAGGAAGTATCCAAGGCGGAAGGGGTTTGTGCGGTCGCCGAGGTCAAGAAAATCGATATATACGCTCGGCACGAGAAGCTGTTGGCTGCTGCTGCTGTTGCATCGCGACTCCACATCTTCATTCCGATACAAACGGCTACACAATTTCTTCCGACGCGAAGATATCCGTTCTGATCCATCATCTGACCGTATCTCTCTATATTTATTTCATCAGTTAAATTCTCAGATTCGTCTTTTTAAACGGATATTACCTAGATGTGCAAGAAGAAATTTAAAATGTAAAAAAAAACTTAAGAAACGCAAATACGTTTAAAAATAATATTATAAAATATCTAGTTTCGCGCGCACATATACATATTTATAAACTAGCATACGTATTTATATACTAGCATAAAATTCCATAGAAACACATAGAAATACATACGCTTTTATATTATTGATACATTTGCATCAACTAGAGCTAAATATATTGTACTTATATTATAAATATATATGTAAATATATTCGAAAGATATATATATGTAGATTTTCGGAAAGATTGAAATTCATGTTGAATGAAATTACAGAAGCAGTTATCTCTGATCTCCCGTGAATGATGTAACGATAGCGATTGGCACCGGGAAGTGAGGAAGAGATTCATCAATAATAGGCGAACCGACGACGAGTAGTGAAGACCTGTGGGAAGCGCGGTGCCAAGCATCATTGGCACTATAGGAGGAATGCTTCTATAGCCGAAGAAAGTTAAGAATTTTCACCTCCTAGAGAAAGCACACCGCATGACGCATGTAGATATTACGCCACGTATAGAGAATCCCCCTTTACCTCGGCCTTCGATCCGTTGTCGTTAACGCGGCACGACACCTTCTCTTGCTAGGTCGTCTCTTCCATCGACGGAAAACTGAGCTGTTGAAACTTCTTTCTTCCTATACTTCGTTCTGTTTTGCATCCTCTTTCATTTCTATCGATTGATGGCTATCATCTCTACTCTACACTTTCGCGCTATCCGTCCTTCAATCTGTCCTTCCAAGAGACATAATAGCTTCATGTCTAAAGATGACGAAACTGGTATCCCTGACACAAAATGCAAATTCGGTTATATATTTCTTTGAAGAAAGCGATAACATTTCTTTCTATCTTCTTCACTCAATCAAAAATTTAATACATGTACGTTTGTTTGTGTGCGTGTGTATTCCGTTGCCATTCGCTTACAACACTAATGTAATTTAAAATTGAAATTCGCTCAAAAATTAAAAATTAAATAGCATTACTTTTATATAAAGTTTAGATGTGAAGAAATATCAATAGTAAATCCAGAGAACAAATAACTTCAGCCACTCGTGGATGTGTTTAACTTAAAACGCGGCGTTTTTCAAAACTTTTAATTTTTATGTCTCTTTTACATGTATAAATTACACGAGGATCCGCGGAAACGATCCACACGGTAATGCGTAGTAACGTAAATCGCGATAGTACCATCGCATCGCCTCAAGTACGAGGCACCCAAGAAGAGTCGCACGACTCTTATGCAATACGGGTTGCAGGAGCAACGATTACGCAGTAAGCAAGCAAATTTCACACTTGGATAACCAACAACCGAAATGCGCGGTGAAATATTTTAAAAACATTTTGTGGAGCCGTGAAGAAGTTACATGCCAATTAAGCTGAAATAATTAATATAAATAACTATCTTCTGAGAAAGATAGAGTAATAATTGCAGAACTATATATTTCATTATCAATTTTATTTACATGAAATATGTCTTAATTTAATTATATACAAACATATATGTAAGGATTTTATTCATAATTTAAATCCTGAATGAATAGCTACTATACCACAGGTCAGATTCGTATATGTTACATTTCTAAATCCTGCTTCTTCGATCAAATCCTAGAAACATAAAAAACAATCAGTTGAGCATAGAAAGTGCAACTAAAAATAAAAATTATCATATTTTTTATACATAACTATGTGAATAATAAATTTAATTATCATAGTATAATTATATTCATAATGTAAATAATTAAAAAGCTAATATTTTTGCAATATATGTAGCAATTCATAATTGTATAGTTTTATATATATATATATATATATATATATATATATATATATATATATATATATATATATATGAGATAGTAAAATAAAGTAATACACTGTACTTTTAAATCCTCTTGTTTTGGGAACTTTCTTATGCTTTCTACAAGATACTGATAAGCTTTCCATTGTCCCGCGAATAGATGCCCCATTACAGGTATTATTTGAAAAGAATACTGATCATACAACCTAAAATAGATATTAGACAAAATTTCACTATAGCTTAATTTATATCTTTAAGTTTTTTATTATTTTAAAGTACATACCATTGTAAAGCTTCATTATTAACATGACTAAATTCCAAACACAAGAATCTTCCACCTGGTTGTAACACTCTATATGCCTCGGATAATACCTATAATGCATATATTTTAGTAGATTTAACACAAATATGTATTATTTAAATATATCTACCTTATCAATATATGTTACATTCCTTATACCAAATGCTATAGTATAAGCAGTAAAAGAATCCTCAGGAAAAGAAAGATTTTCTGCATCTTCTTGTTTCCATGTAATACTGCAATTACTGTCTTGTGATAAACCTAGCTCATTTGCTCGTTTTTGTCCCACATTTAGCATATTTTGGTTTATATCACATACAGTTACATGACTGGGTATATTATGTGGATTTGGTGTATTTTTCAGAAAATTGATATACCGAAATGTAATATCACCTGTGCCACCAGCAGAATCCAAGAGATGAGTACCATGAGTTGGTCCTAATTCCTGTACAAAGATATCTTTCCAAATGCGATGGATACCCATACTCATCATATCGTTCATTATATCATAAGAATTGGCTACATTTTGAAATACAGTATGCACTAAAAAGAATATTGTTAAAATAAATAATATTCAATAATTTGCTTTATATAAATATAAATTAAATATTATATAAATATATATAAATATAAATTAAATATTATTTAAAATAAGACGTAAATATATAATCATTTATATACGTGTTAGTTATTACACAATAAATAAAGAAAATATTAATGTCATCAAAGAGAATTTAATGAATCATTTTTCCACAAAAGATTATCAAATAATTTATTAATAAATTTCTTATATTGGTAATTATCCAGTTTAGCGACTTCATCTCCGATTTCGATGAAAGTAGGCTCAATCAAACTTTTTCCTCTGACAAAATCGTCGCTCTCTACTGCGAAGCGAGAAATTAATTGTTAAAGATACTAGATATGATAGTTAAGAAACCCGTCACGAGAAAGATATCGAACGATAAGTGGGGGGCTGCGCTCCCCAAAAACTAACCTAACCCAACTTATCGTCGTTCGAAATCTTTCCCGTGTTACACAAATATGTCAAATATATTAAAAATATTCTTAAGTATTTTCATGAAGTTGTTGCATACTGCGTTACACTAATACAGTAAGTGCAACTCTAACTAACAGACTTTACGTTGCAATGACGGGTTTCTTAACCTATCATACCTAGCATCTTTAACAATTAATTTCTCGCTTCGCAGTAAAAAGCGACAATTTTGTCAAAGGAAAAAGTTGTTTAACAAAAACGCGCGATTGAGCCTACTTTCATCAAAATCGGAGGTGAAGTTGCTAAACTGCATAAATACCCTTATATTATTAGTATGAAAAAGATGAAGAGTAAAAAAGTGATAAAAGTAATAAAACCTTTACCTTCTTTTGCTTTCTCAGCTTCCTTAATTGTTTGAAAACCAAAATGTGTCGTCTTTTCATCATCTTCTAACGATTCGCTTGATATTTTCGAACAATTACGCTTCATTTTCGTTATCTGCTGACTCAATATTTGATTTCTTCTTATTAAATTTCTGCAAATGTCTATCCCTCTCATGTTGCACATAAATAAGCGTTTTAAAAATCAGTAAAAAATAAAACAAAAACAGCTGATTTATTTGGACACCAATCAAAAGCAGCGGTTATAAATTAGATATGATGCGCGTCCAAAGCGAAAATGCTGCAACGTAGATAGTGTCATCACTGAAATTGATTCTTAACTTTTCGTCCTTTACTTAATAAACCTACCACTAGGTGGCACGCCAAGTACAACGTACACGTCTAGTACAATTATTCTTGATTCTCGAAACTTTAATATTTAATAAAAGAAGTTGTTTTTTTAAATATCTCAAAGAATTCTATTTTAAATAAAAATTTCGTAACTAAAATGAATATATATGGGAGTAAAAATTACATTTAGGTTATTGCATAATATACATACAATAGAACAACTTTTATCATTAACTTAGTATTATAAGAATATTACATATAACGTATATTTATATAATTTTAATGCCATTCAGAAAATTGTATATATATCTTAACAATATTATATATACTATTTATACATATTCTATATATAATTTTAATGCTCATAATTTGCAAAAAATGCACACAGTAAATTATGTGTGTATATATCGCAAATTGTCAATAGAACTAATTCATTATCGACTTAAATATGAAAAATAAAATTCAGTTGGTTGGTGTATATGACCAGATAAAAGTAAAATTTCAAGCTTCCTACTTCTTTTTCTCGTTCAAATGAAGATAAATATACAAATTTTAATAATCTAAGCCTATCATTTACTACATACAATATTGTAATAATTTATATGTGCAGATAGATTGATGAAGTAGGTAAAATACGTTTTAATTAAATTCATATAAATTATCTCTGCGTATATGTATAGAGTTCATTATATTATTCTACCTCACGAATTGATAATTCAACGTTATCCGACGGCACAATGTTTAATTAAATAAAACAGAATTCGGATCTTCATTATCTAGTTGCTTCACGTGCCTCAAAACGTCTTTCTTCGTGATTACACCTAGAAGTCGCCTGCAAGAGACATACATATTTTAATATATCAGTATAAAAAAGTACACTTCAATTTAAATTACATACCCATTATGTGTTACTAGAGTTTGACGTAATCCCAATTTTCTAAACATGTCAACTACAGTTTCCATAGGAGTTTGGTCTGTAATTGTGATAGGAGCCATATCTAAAATCTTTTTTAACTTTAAAGGCGGAGGCGAATGGCTCTGGATATTATTTCCATTAGTAAATATAACCAATGATTGCCTGGTGATTTCTTCGATCATCCTCTTGGCATTAGCAATAGCGAGATTGAGATCCCGCCGTAAAACAAAACCAACGAGATATTGAGATTCTTTAGAAACTATAACAGGAAATCCATTATGCTCAGTTTCCTTAAGCAAGTTCTCTACGTCTTCAACTGTCATGGAGTCTTGGGTAAGAACATGAAGAGCCTCATTTCGTCTATAGTTATAAATTGATAAAAATATTATACACGTATTTTTATTGTATATGCTTATCATAATAATTATACTAATATTTATACATATTAAATATATGTGAAAAAAACAGCAAAAATTCATTTTGCTCACTTGGGTTGCATGACATCCGCTGCCAAAGTTGTATGTTGAAATTCATCTTTACTGTCCAGAAATGGGTAACCATTTAAACCAATATGCGCATCGTAAATGCCTTGTTTTCCGAGGGCATCGCCAACCCATTTACTCGCCATGGCTGCGGCCATCAAAGGTACGATGTATCGTACGCCACCTGTTAGTTCAAACATAATGACAACCAGAGAGACTGTCATTCTAGTCACACCTCCTAAAACGGCAGCAGCCCCGACCATTGCGTATAATCCCGGTGTAATACAATCGACACCTGTAGAACATTCTTCACTGAACATCCATATGTGAGGATAATTATAAGCAAGCTGTTCCATTCCTATGCCCACGATACGGCCCATGATCGCTCCCAGACACAAGGATGGAATAAATAAGCCGCACGGGACTTTCATGCCGAACGTGAATATAGTCATGATGAGTTTCAGTATTAATGCCAGTACAAGTAACCATATAGCTTTATAAACTCCTGGCCCGGCCGCGGCAATCTCAATCGCAGATTTCACAGCAGTAAAGTTTCTGTTGTAGTCACTATTGAAACAAACAATATTTCTTTCAATAATTTATCTATTCACACATACGATACATACTTGTTATATATTGTGCAGTATACTTACGTATACTGATTAAAATTAATGTTCACAGTTATATTATACTACACATATTTACGCTATCGATCATATTATAACATAAAAAAGATTATTGCTTTTTGTTATTTACTGACCATAACATATCCGCATTGGACACTCCACATTGGCTGAATAATAAATAAATAAGTTGACTGGTACTCATCCTTGTGTATGGATTAGGATATCCAATTACCGCTGTTACTACTGTCACAATTAATACTTCAGTAACAGGATATTGCCCCAATTTCGAAGTTTTACGATATCGACACCAAAATAAGTTTGCTTTGATAAATAATGTCGCTATTACGCCCTGTAAGAAATTTGCTTATTTAAAAAAAAATACTTATTCTTTACAAATTCAATAACTTATCATTATAACGAAATTTACTTACCCCGATTATACCGAGCATTACAAAAGGAATTAATTCAAAGAATATCCAAGGTTTATTATATTCCACATAAAACAATACTGAATGTTCATTTCCAAATGGGTTGATAGAACGTAATACAAAGGCAGCTATCAGGGCACAGAAGAACGACCGCCATAGTGTTTTTAATGGGAAATAATAGCTGACCTGAGATAAAACAAATATTTATAATTTCTAAATGTAATTAAAAAATATATAAACTATAATATCATATCTTTCATTAACAACTCTTATCCATAAAATATTGGGAACACTTCGACATAAAATTGCTATGTTATTTAATTATCATTAAATTATACCTCTTCTAAACTGAATAAAACACCACCGATTGGAGCACCGAAGGCGACAGAAACTCCTGCTGCAGCCGCGGCGGACAGAATTTCTCTCTTCTTCGCTTCATTCCTACCATACTTTGGGAATAGATAAGAAAATATATTTCCTATACAGCATGCAATATGTACCATGGGACCTTCTTTTCCCAAACTTAAACCCGCAGATACAGATAGAATCAAGCCTACTGATTTGATAATCAACGTCCATTTGCCTAGATATCCGCGGATGATAAAACCACTTAAAATGGTTTTTATCTAGAAAAGAAAAATATATTCAAGGACGTGTACAGAGAGAAAATATAGAGTAAATGAATTAATACATTATATATACGATAAGTTTACCTCGGGTATACCAGAACCACAAGCGTAAGGTGCAAACATTCGCACTAGAGATGCAGAAAGTGATGCGAATAAAAGGGCCCATGCTATGTAAAACAAATATGAGATTGTATAAGGCCCTGCACCCTCTTTTGATTGATTGAATACTTCGGGCCACGTCCACCACTATAAGGAGAATATTTTCTCGTTAAACAAATCGAGAAGAACAATATAATTTAAGAAAAATTTAAGAACACGTAGCTTTCAGAGAAGTATATAAAAAAATCAAAATATACAGACTGTACCATCGAAAAATTATATTTCGTTTACCTGCGAACAGTTTCCACCGTCGAACGTAGTCTCATTATAACTCCAACAACATTGCTCTTTATTTAGCCAGAAGGCTTGCGGACAGATACCGAATTTGAGATCTGTCATCCAGGAAGCGCCAATATCTATCACACCGGCCGCCACACCCGTAAACAATCCGACCAGTAAAACACATAGCCATCCAGACCACGCATCGTGAGCTCCCTTAATTAAGCCCCAGATAGAATCATGTTTTTTCTTAACAATATATCGATGTCGCATACGATCTCGCGCAATATCTCGTTGCCAATCGATAGTATGAAAATCATCATACTGTCCGATACCGGGTATATCGTCAGAATCGACTGAAACTGATAAAACAAATTACAAAATTCTTTATAATGAGAATAAATTCAATATATGTATAGAGATGTGTGCCAGTGTATCAAAACTTATTGATATAGTGCATTTTTGTAGCTTTATGAAATTTTACTGATACATAAGCATTCAAAAATATATGATGATCATGTGGACGATGTACATACAGTACAAGGAAAATGTGAATATAAGAGAATAATATTATAAAGAATTGTTAATGTAAAAATGTTTCCCAGTAAGACTTAATAATCCATTTAAGATTTAATATGTATGCAAATATGCAAGTTGAAAGAAATTTTAAAACAATAAAACAGAAAAATATTTTAGCTATTACTTCTTTCTCTTTTTTGTTCTTATTTATACATGTATAGTTAACCATTAAATTACACTTATATATATATATATATATATATATATATATATATATATATAACTTTTTAAAATAAAAATTCATATCATGTATAAATTATTTATTATTAAAGATAAATTTCTTTCCAATGCTAGTTCTAGATAGTCAAGAAACAAATATGTACGTATTATTATAATCTGCTGAAGAGACAAAGAAATCAGGTGTATAAAAGTAAAGCTAGCCCATTCTTAATAAAACATGGTAAATGCTATCAAACAAATAACCTTATTTGATATGTAATTAGATTCAATATGTTTACCATAATTTTGTTGTCTCTATGTACTTCTCTTTTCATAGATTAATTAAATTGGCATTACTTTTGTGTTAACTTACACATTTTGCCACTATGATATGCCGTGATTGTTAAGAAATTTGTTTCAATGGTTTAACTGGTATCACTCAGGATATAGACATCAGATGGGTAGATCAACAGACATCCCTGAAGTTTTTTCAGCAGAAAGAGGTAATGTATGATGATATTTCTAAGCTAAAGTATTTTACCGATAAAAGACTACCAAATTTGATTGAAGTTATGCAAATGGAATTATGATTTGTATAAATTCTTGTATATTTCTTTATAACATTTGCTAAAAAAGGGATGAAGACTATACATAATATCATTTGGTATCAAGTAATGTGCATGTAAAATTACTTCATAGTAAAAAAACTTACTATGGGAAGATGCATCATCAATCCGAACACAATCTGACAAGATGTTGTTATCTGAATGATGAGATGTGTGATGATTAATGTCCAACATGTCGTCGTCACTGCTTAAGTTTGTCTCACGTTTTACAGACCCAGTTCGTAGTCGTACATCTTCTGTATTGGTAGTATCACCATACTTTATATTCTGAAAATTTTTAATTTTAATTTATCAACTATATAGCCACAGGACATGTATATTTTTTTTAATTTATTGTTATATGTAAACACTTATGATATATCAATGTCAAATTAGAGCAACAATGATGTATAAAACAAGAAAATACAGACTAATATTAATTCATACCTTAGCATCAACTGAATGATATGTTGTGATAGCATTTGAACTTGAATGAGGGATTGCAGAATTCAAGGATGCTGTACCCTTCAGTGGAAACTTCTCCATTGCATCGTGATAATCTTACACAAGTGAAATATTATTTTATGGTATTTAAGATGATATGAGCATGTTATATCAAGAATTTACTACACCAGAGAAACTAAGAACTGAGAACTACAATATGCTACACAGTACTGAATATATTATTCAAGGCATATCATTAATATCTCATTTAATCGGCTTGGTTATAATCCTCTTTAAGCATGCTAATAGATGTGTTACATGATATAATTAGAATGACATATTTATGAAGCCGATAATACTTTATTCTATATTACAAGAATATGCTGCATAGTTACATATATAATATAGAAAATTTATTATAAATATATTGTTTCTTCTTTTGTTTATTTAAATAATTGGCTTTATTATTTGCATCTTCTTGCACAGAGAAAAATTTATTAAAATGGTAATTACATATTGCATATACCAGACTGACAATGTGTAGACAAATTTATAAATAATTCGCTCAGATAACTTTACAAAGCAAATGGAGCACAACCTAATAAAATACAAGTATGATCAGTACCATATGAAAACTTCCCATTTTCCAAATAAATACTGCACATCTTTCTTGCTGTGAGCAAAGTTAGGAAACATGTTGACGTAGTAAAGTGGAAAATTGCATATGTATTTCGTAACTTATTTCTATATCTTCTTTTGTCAGATAATACTTTATCACTTGCGTTAGGTTACCTTTGTAATTTACGTGATACGTATTAGAACGCTCGTGAACTCACCATTTTTAAGGAAAAATGATCTTGTTTATCACTGATAAGAGCTGATCACCATGTCATGTGTGTGTACGCAGTGTCCTTCAGGCGTAGATTTAATTATATCAGATTAATCTGACAGTTTCGCGAAAATATGATTTTATCGAACTAAACTGCACTGGATGTGGACGAACGAATCCCTTCGAACGTATACTGGAAGGGACACAGCTGCTTTTTCTCCATTATGAGAAATTCACACATTAATTTCGCAAACGCGTTCCGTCTGCAAATATACCTACATGTTTTGACAGCCAATAAGAAAATTTATTTCCTAGGAACTTCAATGGATGACATTTTTATTTCTAGAGAACAGATCTTTCTATTGGATACTGAACATTGTGCACAGCACATCGAGAGCAGTATGAATCTGCCTTTAGCAGTTTAAAGAGCTTCAATATTCTGCTTCTGCGCTTTACATCATTCTCAAAGATCAAGACCAAAACGCGGTGTTCCAGGTTTATGGTATGTACAAGTATACCTTTTCAAACACGAAGTTCTACGACCAAGCATTATCAACAACAACAACTTTTCAAACATGCGATCGTATAATTTGCCTTGACAATATTATATTTTGACTTTTATAAAATGCGAATGTTTTTCCATATCATTTGTATATGTAAGCAAGGAAAGAATAAATTGTTCATTACTTGCATTATATGCTCTCAATTTATGTAAAACTATGTATTCAAGAAAAAAAACAGATACTATATTTTCTCTATGTAAAAATATGTGATAAATAAGGTCATCTTTTGCAATATCTTTATTGCAATAATATGTGTTTAAGATGTTAGATTTGTATCAAATGTTGTGTCTATGCAAGATTTTTCAAGTTTAATTATATTTATGATGCATATATTTACATTTAGATATATCATATTTTCTTTTTATATCATTTAATTTTAAGAAATCTTAATAAAATAAACTTACTGAACTGATAAGCTAAAATTGTTCTTAAACTATTAAAAATAACTGAACGTTCTGGAATATTATATTTTTATTGCATATATGTGTGACTTTATTAGATTTTTATTAGTTTTCAGGATTAAGGTTTGTGGCGAGGATTTTTCTGTAAAGCAGAATAAATATGTTCTTAACTATTTTTTACATGATAGCCACATTCATGAAAGCACGGGCAACATCACTTTTAAAGAAATATTTCAATACAATTTTTGAAGGAGAGAATGAATCTTCTATTTTACTCTATTCTAAGTTGCCTAAGTATATATCCTCAATAACTGAAGGTAAATATTACATATATATATATATATATATATATATATATATATTTATTTATTTATTTATTTATTTATTTATTCATATGCAATAGATTTTGATTGATTTTATCAAATTGTACAAATTGCTGATAATATTTTACTTAACAATATAGACTATGATTAGTTAAACTAATATTATAGTCCAACATAGAAAGTTTTATATAGTTTTATATGTACAGATGTAATAGAAAACCTGTATAATTTTTTATGTAATTCAAGATGTACCAAAGGAAGGGATGCAAAATATATCCAATGATAATATTCTAACTCCTTTAAAGTATAAAAAATATTTTACTAAAGCACCTAAATTTGAGAAATTACTGTTTCAAGAAGGAGATATAAAATTATATTCTGTATGTCCTCAGGTATGTTATAATATAATTTAAATATCATGTCATATATATCTATGAATGTAGGATGTTATTTCTAACAATGATTGGCTAATTAAAACATGACTAATATTTTATAAGCAACAAATTGGCATATCAAGCTGGCTGGCCTATTCCTGTGAGAAGTTATTGTTTCCCTTTTATGAATGTAATAACCGTCAAATTTTAAGTGCATCTGATAACATTCACGTTCTCGTCGAAGCTGCTTTTGGAACACGCGGAGTTCAGGCCTCAACAATTGCTGCAAAAGTATAATGCTAAAATTTTTATTTATTAATCATACAATGATTAATATATCTTTTTATATATCATACAATTATATAAGCAACATGACTATTATTTTCTGAATAATCCTATTTACCATGGCACATTATTTCATAGCTTGAAGATTATGGTCTAATTATGGCATGGACAGCAAATCCAGATAGTATTGATTTTATTTTAAAGACAGATATTGATCATATTACAAACTTTATGATCGCGATCGTGGGTGAACAATATTATATGAATAATAGAGTATCCTTCACATGTATACAATGTATGAATTGTTATTGCATTCAAAAATATTATATTATTATTAATATATAAATATATTTTTCAACAAACTTTATCTTTTTGTTTCATTTTTTTAGCTGTAGCAGTATCAGGGAAACCATGTACTTATGACATAGAAGACTTGAATTCATCATCAACTGCGAGTGAGTTCTGTTAATTTACTTCTATCATAATCAGGATTAAACAGAACTTACTATCCTTTACTAGATTTTATAACATACAGACTTTATAACAGACTTTATAACTGCTAATATATCATATCTTTTATGTGCAGATGCAATAAGTACAACACAGATAGATTTGGATACTTATGTTGAAAAACTAATTGCATTAAGTACAGCAGCTGAAGAAGCTGATAGGAAACAAAAATCTCAGAAAATTGTTGGCTACAGTGTACATCCACAAAATCAAGAGACAGACGCCAAAATATCATCACCGAATATTCCCGTAGAACCTGTACAAAAATCCATACATTTTAATGATATTGAAAATGGTAAGTCAACTTTACATGTAATGCAAGATGCTTTCAATTATAAAAAAAGAAATATGAAAGTATATTTTTATTTTTTTTTATTATGTACAGGTACTGAAACATTACAAACATCTCATTTAAGATCGTTTACTGATATAAAAAAGCATGATTTAGAATCTACAGTAACCCCAGTTAATATAAGTACTACATCAAAAGAAGCATGTACTGCCAGTAATGTGACAAAAAAATCTGGTGATTCGGCAATATTTCAGTCATATGACGCTGTAAAGAAAAAAGACAATATATTATTAAGTACCAATAAAGAAATTAAAGATACGCACCAAAGCAAATCTACTATAGAAACAAGGAATATCAAAACTCCTTTTACGTAAGTAATGTATCTGTACTTTAATCTTCATGTTTTTAGAATAAGAAAGAAGCAATAATTATGAATCATTCTTATTTAATACCGCAGATTGAAAAAAGATGAGAAATGTGGTGGAATGCTTAAACCACCAAATGTAGTCATTTATGCAGATAGTCCAGATGCAATCAACAATGTAAAGACTGTGTTAGAAAAAGCATTAGATACAGATAGGTATACTACTTTTATTTATAAATTTAAAAGGAATCGTGTAATATATGAGGCATTGTTGAACAATCTCCTTTTGTTAAATTTTTCTCCTACAAATTATTAACTATGACTGATCGATTTCTGGTTTTTCAGATATATTATCTATGCATTGTCGAGAGAAACTGCTTGCTCCAACGTTTGGGTAGATCAGGTTGCTTTAGTTGTTATTTGCGGAAATGTCGATTCAGAGATCAAAACTCAGCTTGTTGAATATGTTATACATGGAGGTAAACTTCTGGCATTGTGTTCTGACATGCTTCATACTTTGCTGCCATCGTTCAAAACTGCAGAGGTGCGTGAAAGTGAACTTGTTCATTTTTCCTATGGTAAATGGAAGCGTGTGCGTATGATGCATCATATATTTTGTTATCACGCATCCCCCGTACGAGCTCGTTTCTCACAAGATCAAGAAGATATAAGGTATTATTTTTTTAGATCTTAATAAAAATAATGGTTTTATTATAAGACGAATATATATATATATATATATATATATATATATATATATATATATATATATATATATATATAAACGAACAGAAATAAATATAAGTAACTAAGACACCACTTTACAGAACACCTGGACTGAATACTCCATCATCGACCAGTGTTAAAGATAAAAAAGGAAATTTATATTCGTTTAATGTAAAAGTATTAGGCACAGAGGAAACGTGGCACAATCCAAGTATACTACTCGCAACTTTGGCGAGCAGCGGTGGTAAAGTGGTGTTTTCTCAAATTCATTTGGAAGTGGATCCAACGCAATACGAATATGAGGAGGATAAATTCAAAGCGCTCAAGGAAAATAACGTTGCTCGTTTGGAAATAATCAGTGATTTGCTAAGTACACATCTAGAAATGGAAACAAAAAATCATGTGGCTGAAACAGCTGCAATATACACTCCGGCATATTTCTTAGGAAGATATGAGGTATGTAGATATAATTATTATTATGCACTCTAACAATAAATGACTACTATGTAATAATTATTCGAAGGCTGTTATTTATCATAAACGTTAAAAAATATTGTTATATTTGTAGGAGAAGATAGAAGTACTTAAAAAACTGAAATCTAAAATGCAACCATATGATTTATTGAAAATGTCGCAATTAAGCATACAGTTTTGCTCAAAGTTCAATGAATTGCAAAGAATTGCTCCATCAGCTTCATGCCTTCCTATTTTGATACATGGTTGCCCAGATAATTTTTCTACTACAAAATACTTTGAGGTAAACTTTCGTTTTCTACAGATATCCGAAACAGCGGTAATTACGTAAATTTAAAGACATGTATGTAAATTTTATATAGTAAGTTATGATAGAATAATATCATGTATAGTATTTAGAGTATAATTTTATAAAAATTGAACTTTAGATGCTCGATACGAAGAAACTGGGTCGCTTAGTGATTTATGCAGATGTCTTAACATCGTCTATGCATGTAACTGACTGTACTTTGCTGGAACATGGGCTGGCAGTTATTCCACGACAGCAAACTAAAGGCCTAGGTAAAAATATTTTTTTTTTTTTTTTTTATTTTCTACTATATACACGCGCGCATATACACACGCACAAGAAACTTATAAGAACTATTACTTTTAGGTCGAGGTCGAAATATGTGGCTTAGTCCAATTGGTTGCGCCATGTTTACGTTACAAATGCATTTTGAACTGAATTCAGTCATAGGAAGTCGTATCTCAATACTTCAGCATTATATTGCTGTGGCGATCGTACATGCTGTAAGATCAAAATCAGGATACGAGGTATTCTACTCTCTTATCGCTACTGTAATATATGATCTCTATAAAAAAATATCTAAGACTTCTGTATATACTATCTTTATGAAATTGATAATGATTAACTATCTATATTATAAGTAATAACTATTGATACAGTTGGATATATTTATTCGTTTATTTTAGGATATTAATATCAGACTAAAATGGCCTAATGATATATATATCGGTAATTCGACAAAGATCGGCGGCCTGTTAGTAAAAACAAAGATAGATGATAGAAATTGTATTTGCGATATCGGTATGTAACGATAAAGAGTACAAATTTGCCAAGTAATTTGATTTGTTTTTAAATATAATATATTTCAGGTTCTGGTATAAATCTCTTTAACAGTAAGCCAACATTGTGCATTAATACTGCAATTGAAGACTATAATCAGAAGTATGGTACAAATTTGCAAATGTTTTCGTACGAAGAATTCATAGCACAAGTATTTAATTGCATTGAATACTTGATAGATAGAATTATACATCAAGAAGATATAAAGTTCTTCTACGAACTTTATTATAAATATTGGTTACATGAGTGAGCAATCATATTTTAAAAAATTTAATCTTACTATTCCTATGACATATTTATACTTAAATAACGTACATTTCAGGAATTCCAATGTAACAGTGGTAAAACGAAACGGAGAATCTGAGAATGTTGTGATTAAGGGTATCGATGATTTCGGATATCTATTGGTAGAAGATGGTAAAGGTAACAAATTTTCTCTTCATCCGGATGGAAATACGTTCGATCTTCTCAAGGGACTAATAATACCGAAATAGAGTCCACAGTGACATTTGTGATCTGTTATTAACATCGTGTTATCATCAATATTAATTATATCATACTTATTAATCGTTGTTGAAAATGATTCTTTATCAGTGCTGGATAAAATATATTCACGAGAGTATTTTCTAAATATTGTTTTAAATTTACTAATTAAATTTATATCTGCTGACATGTGCATATATATATTTTTTTATTAAATATAATTTATATTAGTGTATTTTTTATTCAAATTCAAATTTTTCAAATATGCATGTGTTTAAATATTCTGATTAAGTTTATATTTACTTGTTAACGTACATATATATTTAAATATAATTTACCCTAACAGCACAGATGTCCAGGGGACATCCTGAGAAAGTCCTGAGAACATTTGTTCATTCTCAGGATGTTCTTAGGACGTCCTCAGGAGATCTTATGCTGTTTGGGTATATATTTATGTATATTCTTAATAAATAAAGACAATAATATATATTTTTATAATATATATATATATATATTTTTTTTATCAATATTTTCACGAATATATTTTATCAAGCACTATGGTCTACATGTAATAGATACTTAAGGTTCAAAGTCTTAAGATCTGATAACAAATTAAAGATACATGTAATCTGTTTTGTATATAAACAGGCAAAAAATTATTACAACATTATATATGTACAAACATAATTTCTCATGTTGTTAATTTACATTATTAAAATAATTATTACCTACTGGGTATAAAAAATCGATTATTTTTTATGTGAAAATCTCATTTTATATTTACATTTTAATTTATACATGTTAAATTTTTTTTTATATGTATACTTAATATATTGAAAGTAAATAGTGTCTGTTCAGTGGTTAAGAAGTAACACATTACTTGTAACACTATTATTATTACACATTATTTATTTCCGTAAAAATAATTTTTGTTCTTTACTGATAACTAATGCTATTACTTTTATTGAATAAATGCAATGTATATAATTGTTACTTTTATCATTACTCGTGCACGTAAATAGAATATATGTATATGAAATATGTAGTAAGCAAATCTTAAAAACTTGGTAAAAAAGATAACGGAAATTATAACGGAATAATAACAATAACATGTTAGTTTGCAAAAATAACTCTCTCTCTCTTTCCAACCTATTGTTTATTTAAATTTTTTCTAAAGTCCGTAACAGATTGGATTGAAAATTGCAATCGGATCAATCAGTTAATCTAAATTTTAGTTCTACTTTATTTGATTGGTCCGATTGCATCCTCGATCCATAGTCTGATACGAGCATAAAGGTGCGTTCGGAGAGCTTGCTATTAGCGCTATTCAGCGCTACCGTGTTATTCTAAATTCGAAAAGTGCAAACAACACGAATAAACCTCTCATTAGATTACTGCTGACAAACGTGACATATCACTCGCGTAGTATTTATGCACTGCTCCAAATAAAATATAAGTGACAGTTACAAAGGAAGAAAATGATCAAAATAACACAGGATATTAATTTTGAAAATTATACACTTATTTTACCGTCGATTGCAGTTGGAAATGTCGGACAATTATCCGTCGATTTGTTAATCTCGAACCTTAACCTTCAAAGAATTGGTCAAGTGTTTAGCACAGCTTTTGTACCCATCGTCGGTGCGAATGCTTATGAAGAGCATTCAAAGCAGCCTATTACGGCGATTGACATTTACGCAGGAATCAAAGAACGTCTTATCGTCATACAAATTCGCTCACCGTATGTGAATTCTTTAACACAATTTTTCACCGAACTGAAACAATTCATCATTCAGAAAAAAATAGCTAAAGTAATGTATTAATTATTATTTTAAAAGTGATTCCATATAATTAATTCTTTTCACAAAATTTATATTATTTATTTTCTAGGTAATAATTCTAGCTAGCAGCTACGATTATGAAAAAAGAGAAATTGTCCTACAACATCTTAAATTAAGATATATTGCTTCTCCTGATATACATTCAAAAAATGGCAAATTGTTTCATACTCTCAAATGGATAGAGCATAAACCAAAGGATATACCTGGTACAAGTAGAAAGGAAAACTTACATATACCAGGAGGTGGATTTGCTAGAAGTATTTTTGACTATCTTTCCAATGCCAACATTCCTTGTGCTGTTTTGTTCAAATTTTGTTCTGAGGGAGATAACATCACAGATGCAATAGCTTTAATATACTATTTAAATCAATGGATACAAGTATTGGAATCAAATAGTGATAACAGTAATAATGACACTACCCATTTAAAATATCCACCATCATGGAAACATTTATTTGGAAAGCCACTTCAACATGATATATATTAAATGTGTTGTATGTATCATATTTTATCAATCTTTTTTATTAACATTTTTACTATGTAAAAATAATATAGTCTCTAATATAGTCTTTGGTATAATATATGAAACAGAATATAAATTTACAATAGTTTTATTCATACAAAAGTTTTAACTGTGATACACTTGCATGCATATGGAAAAGTTTAGCAATTATAAATGTAGATATTTAAATATAGATGATTTTCATATAGCTTGTCAAGTGCTTTATACAACAAAAATATATAGTTGAGTATACAAATTATATATTTTTTAAATAAAAAACTTGTTTTTATGGAGAAATGTTTTTCTTATTGCCATAAATTTAAATTTACTAGTAACAAAATACTTTCTCACGACAAAAGTTTATACTTTGCAGAAAATGCCATATAAGATACAAGGGCAACCAAGAAAGCAGCTAAGAGTTCAGAGTTTACCCAAGGCCCAAGATATACTCCTGGATTATTAAGAACAACAACCACTAATGGTTTAACGCTGTCAGGATCTTCTCCATTCCTTATGGCTTTACGAACAGCAGCATATTTCTCTTCATCATATAATTTTATGTTATAATCACCAGATCTTGCTTTCTTGATATCTTCTGTCCAGGATACCTACAAGAATACACACAAAAATGAACAAAATATACAAATTTATTAAATATGTTATTCTAATTGTAATTATAATCAAATATTCTATGCAGTATTGTTACCTGATATTTATTGTCAGCACTCAGTCTAACTGCCGGTAACGCTTTGCCTTCAACTTCTGCATACAGACTAATTCCCTTCACTCCATTGCTGCACTTTAACACAAATTGTGTAGTGAAAGCAACGTTTGTAAGAACCGTTGCATCTTCCGTTACATATGCCGAAGCTACAACTTCAGGCCTTTGACAGGTCTCTGCGAAACTTATAGAAATCACACTAGCTAATGCGTACACGAAAATAATTTTATTCATCTTGTAAGTTATGTCTTTCGAGCAACTCTATTGTAACTGTCCGTAACTGTTTAGACTCGAAAGTGCACCACAACCTCCAACGTACTCACTCTAAAGTTCCAACCGGTCAATTGACTCCATGTAGCGAGCCACGTCAATAAGATTGGCGTACCTCGTGTTTTCGTCGTGTATCATGGAAGTTTTGTTGTTGGCCTGGTTTACATCGTGCATTGATAGCATACTAAGGTTGCTTTCCAACAAGAGACACAAGTCGACACAAACATCATTCTATCTTTGTTCCACATTTAGGGTGCTTTCCAGTTGCGTACACTGTGTTACACAAAACCAGTTTATTGGTTGCATATTATCTTACAAGATATTTTAGATAATATGTAACCAATAAACTGATTTTGTGTACGTGTGTGTCAAGTGTGTTAAGCAATTAGAAAGCACCCAAAGTGTGCAATAAGATTTAAGACTTTTACTTGTCAGTCGGGGTGTTGTTGCGCTCTATAATATTGGAACCGAGAAATGGATGCACGCGCAACAAAAAAGTGACAAAATAAGAAAAAACTATAGCCCCTCTATTCTCGCTCTCTTTCTAGATGTTGGCTTCACTCTATTAGACGACAGACATAAAGCATTCGGAGTCCATGTATACTATAAGTGCATTCAGGGAGCTCGCTATTGGCTTGGTTTACATCGTACATAGGCGTACTAAATAGTAACTTTCTATTAGATAATCTTAATATCGACGATATATATAAACAACGGTATATTAAACTGGTATAATACTTATCAACAAAACTTATTGTATTGATAAAATGCGTCGCTGTTGATATGCATTGTCGATATAGATTATTAAGATTATTTAATAGAAAGTTACTATTTAGTACGCGTATCAAGTATATGATGTAAACCAGACCATTAGCGCTATTCAGCGCTACCATGTCATTGGCATTTGTTCAGTAGAACAAGTGATCAGTAAGCGCTCAGTGAGCTCTTGCATCTGATTGGAGTATAGTTGGAGATCTAAAAGAATATGCCAAATCATATACAAGAGCTCCCTGAGCGCTTACTGATCACTTGTTCTACTGAACGCGGCCATTCTATCCTTGTTATTTGTCTAAGGAGCGATAAAGATAGAAGAACGCAGTAGCGTTGGTACGTGCTCCGCGAACGCGCCCTATGTCCATGGGTAACATATAAACAAATGCGTTTATGTACTATCACGTGTATGAAAAAAAATTAATAAGGATAAACGGATAATTTCCCTCATTGCTAAGAAGATGAAGCAATTATCAGAAGAAAGAACAAAATTAGTATTTGAGAAGCTAACTAAATAGTAAGCGATTTCGTTGAATTAGGTTAAATTAGGTTAGGTCAATTCAAAATTTATCAAGTATTAAATTACTTTACATACTAATTGATTATACATTAAGATGATAAGCCGGACAGATATTTAATAATGTAATAAATTTTTATTATTACAGCATTGGAAGTAATGTGAAAAATTTAATAGATCGACCAGATGGCATATACTGCTTTCGAGAGAAAAAGGATAGAGTCTATTATGTTTCAGAGAAGATTTTGTTATTTGCAAATACTGTAGGATCTGAACATCTATTAAGTCTAGGCACCTGCTTTGGCAAATTCACAAAATCAGGAAAGTTTCAACTTCATGTTACAGCTTTACATTATTTAGCACCTTATGCTCAAGTAAGTCTTCAGTTCTAAATATATTCAATTAATATTTTCATTACATCTACAAGATACATATTAAATTCTCATAACAAACTGGCATCATATATTTTTAATATATTTTGTTTGTATATCATATAAAATATATATTCAAATATATATATATTTAAGATGTCACATAATCTACAGTACTAGTTTTTAAATCTAGCAAAATATATAGTAAATATATGTTACTGTAAATCGCTTATTTTAGCATAAAATTTGGCTGAAACCTTCAGCAGAGCAACAATTCTTATATGGCCACCATGTTATGAAATCAGGTCTTGCTCGTATAACAGAAGGTACTTCTCAGTATCAGAGTGTTGTTGTATTTTCCATGAATAATTTGCCATTGGTAAGTAATATTTAAGTTTAAACTTTTACTCTGATATCAGATATTTTTAATATAATCTGTAATTAAATATCTTATCTCAGCTTTTCTGTATATTTTTTACATTAAATTTTTCAGGGATTTGGTGTAGCTGCAAAAGGTACAGTTAATTGCAAACATGCAGATCCTATGGCGACAGTTTGCTTCCATCAAGCAGACATTGGAGAATATATTCGTTCCGAAGATACATTGCTATAATGAAAATTTGTTTTAACTTTAAAGAATATGCATATAGATATCAAATTGTTGTACAATAAACTTAATTTTTTGTAAGTTTAATATAAGTTTATATTTGCGAATTATGATCTTACAATTGAATATATTGTTATAGTTCCTGTGGTTTGTCCCGCCTATTGCAAAACTAATTTTAAAAAATGTCAGTAGACTCTGCCTGCAAAAACACTTTTCATCAGCTTAACGTAACTTCCTGTTCTCTCCCCGTTATAACGTGCGTAATCTTCGCGTATTCATTGACGATCTAAACGTCTCGTTGATTTAAATGAAGCTTATATCACATGATGCGTTTTCTCCTGTATGTAGAGCGGTTATCAATTTTTAGGAATAAATAGCAAGTTCCTAGTAAATTTACTAACCAGAGAGCTACTTCATTTACGTGCGAACACGAAAAAATATGCCGTGTGTCACAGGCTTAAGGTTTACTTACATACCTCGAAAGAAAATCAATTTACGTGAAAGTCTTGATTGCGTGACGGAATATATATGCTATAATACTTGTTGATCGTTCGCACACAGTATTACAGTAGAATAATTTAGGTGAGTTAAATTTAATAGATATTCCTTATATTATATATACACAATATATCAAGTTTCTCTTAAAATAAGAAAGATAAGATATTGCTCACGATAAAGTTAATCGGGATTATATTATTGCGTTATCGAAATATGAATATCAAGGTAACAGCTGTTATCTTTGTGACTTCTACATTTTTGTAACTTCGTGTACACAATATGAATCATGTGCTCAGTCATCTAATGATTGCATACTTCATTTACTGACATATTTTTTTTATTGCACGAAACTCGCGTATATATATTGAGTATTTGTGTTGTATTTAAACTTATAAAAATTAATTTCTATTGTTTTAACGAGTGTGTTAAACATAATATTTGCGTTAAATTATTATTATTTACGAGCGACAATCATACACGAATTTTGTTTTTTCCACTTTTTATATAAATATTACTCTTACTCCATCTATTTAATTGCTGTCAGGTCTGTTGACCTGTTGCTTTGAGAATTTAATTTAAATATATTCAAAGGGAAAGAGAAAACTATTAAAGGATTTATCTTATTTGCTCATTAGAATATATTTATGTGAAGTGCATTAGTGATGTCACATTATCCATATGAATATGTAAGATGTTTAGGTATGTCTGACAGTAGAAATAAGCCTAGTAGAATATGCAATATGTTGCAGAATAAAGATTCAAGATCTCGAATAAAATTGAACTTTATATATATACATATATAAGTATTTTTTATTCAGTTTAGTGAATAAGATATTATTATTATCTATAAATCATAAAAACCTACAAGAAATTTTTTCTATAATTTTAATACAAACAGAAAATTAATTCAGTGTGCATACTTTGCCTTATACACATGTCTTATGATATATTCTGTATATTAGTATTAGTATTAGTATTAGTATTTATATTAGTATTAGTATTATTTATTTAATGTATGGCTGAGTACACCTAGCGTTAAGTGACCCTACGCCATTGCTCAATCGATAAAAGAGAATTCAGAATACGGGCCTTGGTCTGTCTTTTCAGCTGCATGCTGAATTGATACAATAAGTTAAAGTGAGACAAGTATATCTTTTCTCACTCTAATAGCTCTTGTACATAGAACGCGGTAACATTTGTCGCGTGACAGAAGTATTTACCTATAATTAGTTATTACATACTTATGTCATATATCATATATATATAGCATAGTTTATCAATATTTTCAATATATGTAGTAAAACGTATGAAATATTTTCAGATATGGAGCAAACAGAATCACCTCAAACACAGTCTCAATCTCAGTCTTTACATGGTTTTATTCCTCTTCTGAGTTTAACTGAAGCACTTGGTGCGCTTCTTGTAATTTTAGTAGTTGTGTGGACAACTTATTTTAGGGGTGGTTTCTCCTGGAGATCTGATCCAGCACTTGAATTTAATTGGCATCCTTTATTAATGACTATTGCCCTTGTATTTCTGTATGCTAATGGTATAGTAAATTTAACAATCAATGTTTCTTTTTGTTCTTATATTTGTGTATGTAATTTATAAGTTTGTCCTTCTTTCATAGCAATGCTCATCTATAGGACACAACGCAATCTTCGCAAGAGACGACTAAAACTATTTCATGCAGGACAAATGTTTCTTATCATATTTTTGACAATATTTGCTTTAATAGCAGTTTTTGACAGTCATAATCTAGCTTCTTCTCCTATGCCAAATATGTACTCACTGCACAGCTGGGTAGGATTAACAACCGTGATATTATTCTGCTGCCAGGTAAGAATTTATTTGTATTATATAATGATTCTGAAAAAAATGCTAATTTCTCATATTTATAGTGGGTTGCTGGGTTTGTCACGTTCCTCTTTCCTGGGTTACATGTTTCATTGCGAGCTTCTTATATGCCAATTCACGTGTACTTCGGCGTTGCAGGCTTTATCGGTGCGATTGCATCGTGTTTAATGGGACTCAATGAAAAGGCAATTTTCGCTTTGCAGTGAGTAACAATTCGTAAATATAACGAGCTAACAGATATGGAAGTATATTTACTTAATGCTCTTGGAATATTTCAGAAATGAATATTCAGCTTTTAGTGGAGAAGGAGTATTGATAAATATTATAGGATTACTATTCATATCATTTGGAGGCTTATCAGTATATTTAGTAACGCAGTCGCGTTATAAACGTTTACCAATGCCTGAAGATGAAGTTTTATTATCTGGAACTATATAGTGTGTTGAGCTCAGTTTGGGGGGATTGCATATTGAAGATTGAAACTTCACGCTTATTAAATGTGATTGTAACTTGCTTCTCAGTACAACATCTTCAGCTTGAAATCTCAATTCCAATGGAAAGTACTTAAAAGTTTCAAGTATTGCATATTTCATGTGTAATATCATTTGTGTAATGTGTAATTTCATGTGAAATAAGGCTGATATGAAGGCTGATTAATAGAATTTTCAAATTTTGTTACCACAAAACGAACAAGTAAACAATTTTTTTTTTAATAATTAATGATAATAAGGATTTTAAGAAATATATAATCATATATATTATACTGTATAAATATTTTATTTGACAGATGAAATATGTATATTTTATGTTTACAACAAGAAAAAGTCATTTTTCCAGACTTTTGGTGCTATATGTTAAAATATCTTGTATAAATTAATTTCTTACGTAAATATATGTTTATATACATGTGTACATTTGAACTACCTATATTTTTTAAATAATTTAATGAATAAAAATGTAATATATGTGTGTAATACAACAATATAATAATTGCAAGCAAATCATATTTATGTAGGTTTCTTGTTGTTTCTCCGGATAAGCAAATAATCGACAATTATAATATATTAACGTTCATATATTGTTTACTTTTGCGAGTTGTGTGTGTACATATTATATTTATTTAAAAATTCGTGCATTATGTTAACTTAAGCCAATGGCACACGATGCTTGTTTCGTACTAGTCTACTTGCTGGATGGAAATACTCTTGGGCCCATATTCTGAATCCTCTTTTATTTGTAAAAGTGCCTCTAAAAGAAGCTTAGGAGCCACCTGATTGGCTGAGAAGCTACATTTAAGTCACTTTTATCGATAAAAGACTTCAGACTTTAATATATGGCTGAGTACACCTAGCGTTAAGTGACCCTACGCCATTGCTCAATCGATAAAAGAGAATTCAGAATACGGGCCTTGGTCTGCTTTTCAGCTGCATGCTGAATTGATACAATAAGTTAAAGTGAGACAAGTATATCTTTTCTCACTCTAATAGCTCTTGTACATAGAACGCGGTAACATTTGTCGCGTGACAGAAGTCGTGTGACAGTCAATCAATATGCTACTTTCCGTAATAACCTTCTAACTCTTATGGAAAAACAACATATTGATTGGCTGTCGCGCGGATTTCCGCCGCGCGGCAAGCATTACCGCGTCCTGTGTGCAGGAACCATTATTGTACCAGTTCAGCAGTGCAGCTGAAAAGAAAAGACCAATAAGATCCGACTAAATACTGGCTATTGTGCGCAGTGCTGCCCCCCACTGCTGAGATAGACGAACTAATTGCGACGTCTGTATTGTGCTGCTCTACCTACATCAAACTACACCATCTCTACTGCACGGTTTACACTAGATACAATTTCGCGTCAGCTGCGTTTCAAAACACGTCAAGAAAGAACGTTTGAACCATCTTGGTACATTTTCTAGCTAGTTCACGATCACGTGAAGGAGCGACGAGATTATACGCGTCGCTATAGCATCAACTGCATATATGTCGAGCGATCTCGATCATTGTGGACCATATATTTGGTAGATCACGATGGAACACACCCATCTCGCGCGTATGCAATCATAAATCGTTATCGCCGATACGTATGGATACGTAAATTTTGTTTCAAGCGATTGACTCATTTTGCGTAGTGTCAAAACAGTTTGTATGCAGTTATCAGCTGTGCGGTCGTTATCAGTGGCTCGACAAACTTGACAGGTCGGCAACGACATAAAATCTCAGCTGAGCTGAGAGGATTTCTCGTCTTTTCAAAAGGAATTTGTTGCGACGCGCGCTCGGCAGTATAGTAAGCCACAATAAATCAATCAATGGTTAACCAAATCCCTGTGCCTCAGGCGAAATATGAATTACTAACTGATATACGACAGTGAGTATGTTGATTATTTGTAAGAAAAATTGTTACCTGTTTGTACGTCGAAACATACGAGTGTGCTGCCTGTGTGCATAAATGTGCGTGTGCTTCTGGGATATCGTATCGACGTTTCGTGCACACGCGAGAAAGAGAGACAGGAAATTTAGTATCGATTTCTCGTATTACAGCAAGTGCACATACGTCATCGCATTGGCTTTTGAATTTCCTCTCGTCACGAAAGGTCATTACAATCAATCAAACATCGCTTATCAGCGATTTGCATAGACGCAATTCCATCGATCGATATCTTGTGCACACGTACACTTGATCACATTGCTCAGGGTTTAAACGTTCGAATGGCCGAATTTTTAAGCCTTGATAGTTGATAACAAAAAATTGAATGTTTCTTCAGACCGCGCTGGCGAACGCAAGTTCTTTGCCTTATTTTGACATTCCTGATCGTCGGAGTTCTCTTCGTTACACGCGCTTGGTTCGGTATACTCGTACTACGGGCTCCGAAGGCTGATAGATTCGTCGAAGATCAGATCGACAATGCCAAGATTACTGCGTGGCTACGTCGGGCTCGGATGTACGCCGAGTCGACGAAGGAGAATCAGAATGCGGACAGGAACACAAGTGTCAACACATCGGAGCAATACCACCGCAATTCAACCAGGTGAGGAGACTTGTCTTTAAGTGTGCGATTTTATATTTTTCAGACAGAGCACAAACTACTGAAAGATGTCCAAAAGATATTCAAAAGAAATAGAATATCTTTAAGGCATCTTTTAATAGGTCGTGCTGTCTAGGCTTACACTTGTTGGTATGCTTTGTACTGAAATTAATACTGTTAATTTCGACTATCTGGATACTCAGATATTTAGTTAATTTCAGTTATTATCTAGTTATTATTAATTTTTAATTTTTCTCATGATAACCGAACAAATAAATGCATTACTGCCTTATAATTTATTGAAAAAATTAGAGATATTCTACATATTTTTTTTAATACAAATAATATCACGATATATAGATCATTTTATATTATATCACAATATATCAACTCAACAGTTTCATGCTTACTTGAACCAAAAGAAGACAGTTTTGTTATGCATCTATATATGTCTATATTATTATGTATCTTCTGCACATATAAGCAATTAGGGGCTAAAGTTAATTTAATATAATAATTTAATATTTCTAGTTTGATTTTTTAACAATAACAAATAATGAGCAAATGCATAGTGTGCTCGTAATTTAATATTTATTGTCTTGTTACTCAAGTAATATCCACGAGTATATGTACCCGGATATAGAAAGACAGCACTAACTGTGTTCTCCCAGATAGCACAGAGAATTGAAAAAGAATTCTGTTGTTTAAATTCTGAAAAATTCTTTTTGCATCTGAAAATGAACTCAGAATTAGTGACATACGACTGAATTCTTTTTGAATTCTTTGTGCTATTTGGGCTCTCTACTCTATGTTCAGTCAGATCATCGTATGCTACTATACAATACCGGGGGACCTGAACACGTCGGGGGAGCTCAGTCCGTCGTACATTGACCCTCATATTTGTACGCATATTATCGTGGGTTTTGCGAGCGTGGTGAACAGCACACTGGATATAGGAGACAACGAGTGGGTGTACAAGCGAATGGTCGATTTGAAAAATCGCGAACCTAAATTGAAGGTCATGGTCAGCGCCGGCGGAAACAATGAGCTCCATGATGGCTTTCCCGAGATGGTGAAGAATCACGCGAATAGGAAGAAGTATGACTGTTCCGCTATTTTTCAACACTGCCCATATATAAAAATTAAAGTTGTCCAAGTGACACTAAGAGAGATTTTTCTGCTTTCAGATTTATACAGTCAGTATTAAATGTAACCAAAACCTTCCAATTGGATGGCTTTGATGTCGACTGGGAATTCCCAGCGTGGTTAGGAGCTGACGATCGTGAGAAGATACACTTCATGCAACTATTGCAGGAATTACGAAAAGAATTCGATCGCAGCGGACAAAAATTAATTCTAACGATAGCGGTGGCAGCACCACAAGCGATTATAGACCAAAGTTACTTTGTTCCCGAGATCGCAGAGTATGTATTAGAAGTAGAAATTACTAGTTGTAAAATGCTTCGAACGATTGTCATGAATTGTTGGTTCTTTCAGACACGTCGACTTTATAAACCTGATGTCATATGATTATCATTTCTATGTTTGGTATTTCCCAGTGACGGATTTGAATGCTCCTTTATTCCCCCGTTGCACAGAAACGGGCTATTTGTCCACTTTAAACGTGAATTTCTCTGCTCAATACTGGATAGCGAAGGGAATGCCACGGGAGAAGATCGTCGTTGGTATACCAAATTATGGTCACTCTTATAAGTTGGATAATCCATTGAATCATGATCTACAAGCTCCAGCTAATGGATTCGGGGAGCTTGGCATAAAGGGCTTCGTGTCTTATCCTATAGTCTGTCAATTTTTGAAATCTGGAGCTGTGAAAGTCTTTAATCAAGAAAGTCGTGTGCCATATGCGTTTAAAGATAAAGAATGGATATCTTATGATGATAAGCAAAGTATTTATTACAAAGTAACGTATTATATTTTACTAGTACAATAATCAATGTATATATTAATCAAATTTGTAAGATTTATGTTTATCATATGTTAACATTAAAATATTTGCATTTCAGAGCATGTGGATTCACGCTAATGGCTTTAAGGGAGCTATGATTTTATCTTTAAATGTTGACGATTGGAATGGTACTTGTGTCACAAACGAAACGTTCCCATTGACACGTACAGTCTCGAAGACATTTCAGGAGTTGGACAAGCAACAAGTGTCGATAGGATTGTAATTTCTTAAGTACACGCAATGCCGTTGGAGGATTCCCACCTAGTTACAATCAAGAGCTTAAAGCGTTTTGCATTGAAACAATGCATTCCACTGCATTCCTACTAAATATACTAATCGATGATATATTTATGCTCCACCTGAGTTGCTCAAAGATTTTCTTGTACAAATCAGTTGCTAAGGTATTCCAAGCACATAGTATTATATGCTGTAGAGCATAGCACTTGTACCTGGTTATGTCGAATCACAAAGATATTTATATTATATATATATACATATACATATACGCGCGTCGAATTCTATATTATGCGTAAGTGTACGCATATCCTGTTTCCTATGTTATCGTTTTCATATATTTCGTGTATATATATATATATATACACACACACACACACACATATATATATAATATATATATATATATTTCATATATATATATATATATAATAATGTTTGAAATAATACCATGAATTAGAGAATATCAAAAGCAGCCGTTATAAATTACAACTGATTTAAATTTAAAACGTGCCATATAACATAAGATTATAATCATGTATAACAAGACCTATCATCTGTTTCTGAATAAAGGGTTTCAAATTCGTGAATGGTCTACGCATGTTTGTTTTACTTAGTATTTAGTTTCGTTTAAGTTGCATAGAATTGTAAAATATAATATAAAGATATATAAAAATGTCTAATTATTTCGTACAAAATTTAAAATCAAAAGTCAATTTTCACTTATGCTTCATAACAAAAGACGCATATACTTTATTATATGGATCTACATAGTTATTCATATTTTGCATTTTTACTGTTTGACTATCATAATATTTTCAAAAATTATAAAATTATATTACATTTTAGTATTAAAATAACAAAGAATAACAATAAGAAAAAGACTTAACTAATCTAATTTATAACAGGGTATGTGAAAGGATTATAAAACAGTATTGGGATAAATTAACATCCTTATTATAACATGTACGTTAGCGCGTTTTGATAATTTATTGCATGTACATGATAGATATTTTAACGATTTCACGATTGATTCGTAAAGATGCCGGAGAATCCACTATCAATGTCACTTCATTAATAATGATTTCTGTGATGCTATTACTTATAAAACACATTTAAAGTGAGAAAAACACAATTCCTTTCGTATTATAATTCAAATACGGCGTAATTTTCTTGAGGGTTGTATATAACAGTCCTTAACGGCAGTAGCAGCACTGCCCAGAGCCTCATCTCAGGATTTACCACCAAAACCACCCATTAAATTTCCCAACCCACCTGCAGCTCCTTGTTGTAACTGTTTCATTATATTTTGTAATCCTGACATACCACCTAAAGTGATTATGGGACATAAGTAGCTCACACAAAAATATACGAGTATTTCCGACACCTTAGTTTAATTTATATAAATTTACTTACCCATTTGATGTAATACACGTGGATCCATCATTTTGGCCATTTGATGATTCAGTTTTGCCATTTGTGTAGGATTGACGTTTTTCGTCATGTCACCTGCTTTGAATAAACCTTTAATGCCACCCATTCTCTTGACAACTGCTGCGAATTTCGTATATTGTGTTATTAAATCTTTAACTTCTCTTTCTGTTACGCCAGAACCTCTTGCTACTCTCATTATTCTTCCAGGTTGTTTGCTGAATAACTTAGCTCCGTCTCTACTGTCTAATTCTAAAATAAATATATAAGACAATAAGTGATGCTACAAGTTAAATGAATTATCACAAAAACAAAAGAAAAAAAATATTTTAAATAGTAACTAACCTGTGTCGTTCATACTGTCCATAATCGTCATGAGTCGCTTTAATCTTGCCATTGATTCTTGCTCTGTACCTTTTGACATAAAATCTTGGCTAAATCCAGGAATCATACCCTAAATATAAAATAACATTATAATGTAAATTGTAAAGTATTAATAAATTACATAAGTCACAGATGCATCACTAATATTTACCATTAACTGTGAAAATGGTCCCATCTTCATGATATTTTGAAACTGTTCGTACATGTCTCGTAAAGTAAATTGACCATGTTTTATTTTTTCGAGTAGTTCTTCATTATCGTCTAGATTCAATTCATTCACTTTGTCGATGAGACCCTCGATATCACCCATACCTAGCAATTTGCTAATAAACGGTTTTGTTTTAAATGGTTCTAAATCGTCTATGTGTTCTCCCGTGCCGACAAATATTACGGGACTTTGTGTTGCTGCAACACTGAGGAAAATTATATTGCAATAGAACAAAGTTATATGAAGTTAGTACTAGATTTATAATAGACAAAATTATTTAGTAACTCTACTAACAGCAGAAATGTCTAAATTATTCAAAAAACGACTTACGCAGAAAGTGCTCCACCACCTTTAGCATGACCATCTAGTTTTGTAATTATGATAGAACCGACGTTTACACGTTCTTTAAAAGCTTTCGCTTGTGCCTCACATGCTTGACCTATCGATGCATCCATTACGAAGATTATATTATCTGGTTGCTACAACACAGCAAAACATAGCATAAAGAATTATTTTTTATATGTTAATGTAAGTTACGTAAATAAATCCTTATAATAGTTTGGTTAAAAAGGGAGAAATTTTGCTGTTTAAAATTAAAATATATTGCAATTTTACCACAGCATTGGCGACTTGCAACATTTCCTCAAATAATGACTCCTCCTGTTTATGTCTTCCACTTGTATCTACAATGATTATTTCGTATCCTTCTTTCTTAAACATGTCAACACCATCCTGTGCAATTGTTACAGGATCCACTTCAGTGTAACTAAAATTTGGATTTTTTAATATATCAAAAAGTGATAAAGTAATACATAACAATTAATGTAATAGTAGTAGTAATTATAGTATAAATTTCCTCAAAGACAATGATTTACAAACAATTAATTATTTACCTGCCATAAAATGGTATTCTGGCTTTTGTGGCATTTTGTTTTATCTGATCATATGCACCAGCACGAAATGTATCAGCACACACTAAACATGCCTTCCAGTTTTTCTTAAGATAATGATACGCAAGCTTGGTGCAAGTAGTTGTTTTGCCAGAACCTTGTAAACCGACGAACATAATCACATTAGGACGGCCTTTTACTGGTTGGTATGCTTTAACACCAGGATCAATCAACTAAAAAGATCATCATCATAAATTTTTTCATTTATCTACATATCATTTCTCTAAATATAACACCTGATAAACAAACCTTTACAAGTTCCTTAAAGACAGCACTCTGTATCATCCTCCTTTTATTAAGACCACCAGCCATATCCTCAAAATCGATAACCTGACGTACATTTTCTCGTAATTTCTTCACTAATCTAATATTTACATCAGCTTCGAGTAATGCTGCACAGATCTCCTTCAGCATAGAATTTAAAACCTGTTGGAATAAAAATACTTGTCAAAATAAGAACAAGTAATAGCAAATATATAATGAAGATATAACCAGTTTTAACACAAATTTAAAGGAAGTAGTAATAACAATATAACACCATATGTCATGATTTAAGACAAACTATAAGTTCGTTACATGAAAGCTACAACACAAATATAAGTTTGACATGTGCAAAGAGGTTATTACAGATACGTATATGACAGCAGAAAAATCTCAAAAGATGCAAAGTATGTGAAAGTTAAATAAAGGAAAATCACTTGGAATTAGAATATAACAGAAAATATGGAGATATGACATCTCGTGATCTGTTGTTTACAAGCAGCCTTTGATAATTATACCACACGTAAATATCGATAGATAAATTTACCTCCTCATTGATGACGGTCGCATTGCTGAGCGACCGAAGGGCCGACGTGATTTTACGTCCAAGGTCCGCTAAAACCATTTTTCCACGTTTCCTCGTTCACTGTCTTGATATAAAATATTTCTCGATTAGTTGGTTAGAATATTAACATATAAAATATGTTATGATACCCCGACTTGGCCAACATGGCATGACGACACATCCGGTCTCAAGCAAGCGTTTATGCGAAAAACACTAAATTTTTCGACGTTATATTCAGTCGAAAGCAAAAATCTATGGTAACGATTCCCTCTCTGCACGTTGACTCGTCAAAAAGAGCTCAATCGACTTGTTTATATATCACACTGACAAAACCTCTGATATAGCCAACAGCCATATCGATTGAAACGTGCACGTATACTCGCTGAGATACGCGCCATTATGTCTGAAGTTAGACACTTTCACCGTCAGGTCTGAAATTAGGCACTTCCGGAATGCGAGTTTCGACCTGGAAGTGACTGGACCAATATCGAAGATACGAATGAGAAAATCGAAAATTCTATTACTATTCTATTACAAGAAATTTAGGCTGCGTTCCGAAATTCTATAATATACGTGACATGAATTATAGATTTTCAGTACTCGCAGTGAATTTCGGAACGCATCCTTAAACAACGCAAAAACTCCGGAAAAGCTGGTAACGTCGCGATCGTCATATACCATGAACATAGCCATTTTCAGATATTCGTCTTTATGTATTTGGCGTGAATTCTTGCAATATATATAATTTCTCTCACGTTTTTTTTAATAATTTATATTTCTAGTAGTCAAACAATTCGAACAATACAAATTTTGAGATTGGAACTTGAATTGTTCCGATCTATCGAGTCTGGAGAGTGTGTATACATACACACACTATATATTCGAATAATAATTAAACTATAAAATTAGACGATTCATTATGGAGGGAGAAAAACAATCGTTGCTTATTTTGTTTGTAACAAATACTATTTTTGTTTAAATTTTTCACTCACACATAGTAAGTTAAATCCAGCAGGAATGAAACTAAGTAATCTCGGTCGAATTAGTGAGCTCTATACATATTGAAGTGAGCCATCATAGGTTGGTGATAAGGCTGTCTTTGTCTGAGGTTAAGTATAAAGTGAGACAGCCTTACCACTAAACCTATAAAGGCTCATTCCAGTATGTATAGAGCTCACTGGGTTGAATGTGCTGTTGTAGTTTTAGCTATTTAAAACAGTTTTGCAATTTTCTTGTAACTTACTCAACAAGAAACATACTCTTCAAACTTCAATAACTACACATTTCATAAAAAACAGACAATATAATGAATTACATAAACATAATTGATTTAGATTATAATATAATTAATTTTTATTTGTCATTACTATATATATATGTATATATATATATATATATATATATCTCAATTAGTCGCAGCAGAATATGTTAAAGTCTTAGGTTTGTTCACATCTTGCTTGTGTATTATCTATGTTATCTGCGATGCACCCGTACAAAGTATATATAAGAAAAATTTAAAATTTACGAATTTTAATTATTTCAAAAAGGAAAAAAAACACAACATTAATCAATTTAGAAATTTATATGTTACACATTCTATTTTTCTTTGCAATGCTCTTATTATGTATAATTATTTGTTCTGACACTTACGCCGCTTCTCTGTTTTAAAGTAACGCAACATAGCAATAATGTATATACATAATATATCTTATATACTGAAAATGAGGTACAGGACACTGACTTCTGAGAAATAAACACCGGTTATTGAATTTATTTCCTTTTTTTAACGAATTTCTTTTCTTTTTTAACGCATACCTAGGTAATCGTGGCAGTTGACACGTGTATATGAATCTGTTCCCGACGAGATATCAGCATACACGCAATTTCAATTTTTTGGTGCTAAAGTGCCGTTTCCAGGTGCTACTGACATTTCACCTCCTTGTGTGCTGTCGCGTTGAGGGCTCTGGCGAACAATCGAATAATTTGTAAAAATAAGCAGTATACTTTATACAGTTAATATAACTGGAGAGCATATCAGGACAAATGCAATCACTTAGATATTTTCCCCATTTGCAATTTACCTTCACATGAATTTGTTGTTTCAACATTGCTGCTCTTAAGATCAACATACGAGTACGCCTCTGATATTCTTTTCCAACGCTCATCGACTTCTCAAAAGTAGTGCTACGCTGGTCGACATCTTTCGCGTATAAAATCTGTAATAATCGCGTATATCCATAATGATCATATCCTTTATTAATTTGAGTATTATCATATTCATAAAATTTATAACAAAAAATATAGCACAACAAAATCCTATGTATAGATCAATTCTACAAGCATTTTTCACCTTATTATGAGAATCTATGCGAGCTTGAATTTGTCCATCGAGAATAAGCTGCATGAGCTCGTCTTCCAATTCGGACACAGTTCTATTGAATGCCGTTGCCATTCGTCTCATGTCCGCACTTAAATAAGGACTAAAGTATTGTATTAAGGCCCTATTTCGGATTTGTGTATACAACAGATTCACATGAGGTGCTATGTACATATCCAAGAGGATATTATCCTTGATCTCATCGAGTAACTTCAAACAGGACGCGTATTTCGACTCGTAAAATTTGAAAATTATATCCCTCAGTTGTGGTTCTAATTCTAAGAATAATTTGAAGGAACTACTGAATATAACTTGTTTTTGCAATTCATGTCTGTCAAATGTAGCTAAAGCACAAAGTCCACCATAGAGAGCTACATTTCCAGGAGACAATAACTCGGGACAGTCGCAATGATCTAAAGATGCTTGTAGGAAGTGTCTCGCGGCCATTTTATATTTTCTTGTCGCCAGCTCTGCTAAACCTGCTGCCACTTTTAATTTTGTAATTATCGCCTGATTGTTGTCTTTACCATGAACATCTGGAAAGTCTGGTGTACTTTCAGCCTTGGTGACATAACTAAGTACATGAGACCAGTTTTGTAGATAAACTGAAACTTTGATTACATTGAGACACATATTCACAACGTGTTTGCCACTGGTACAATAATCTCGCGCTCTAGAGTAACACTTTAAGGCATGAACAAGATCACCGCAATTTAAATAATGGTCTCCCAAATCATCGTGACCTCTTCTTATGCTCTCCTTGATTGAGTTACTCTTGTAATTTTTCAGATCAGTATCAAACTTTTCTAATTTCAGAGCAGCCTTCTTAGATCGAGTTTCCACCCAAGTTTGATCCATTGTCAACAGATCCTGAGAAGTTGACTGTGCTGCTACATCTGGCAAACCAGGAGTACCGACGGCTTGTAGAAGCTTTTTATGCAGTATCACATATAATGAGACATTATATGTGGTCATCACATAAGTAATTGCCATTTTCAATGCTTCTATTCGTAATGATGGGCAATGATCAGCGATATATATAAGTCTGTATAATTTTGCAAGTCCAGTGTAGCTATTGGCATATACTTCCAAATCCTAAAGAAGATAGGAAATATAATATATAGCTAATTAGTAGAATTTAAACTATCCAAATGTGTCCTCAAGAAAGATTAATGAAACCTCTTGAATAATTCATGCAAATCAACATGATATCTGACATATTGCATGTATTTTACTTGCGTACGTACCAGTGTCGGGTTTTCTACTATATACGGTTCTTCCTCAGCGTTATCATTATCCTCTGTAGGAGCATCAACCTGCATTGGCTCCACGACATTTTGCTACAAAATGGGATACATATCATATCAACATAGCGGCTCGTCTGTTCCTTGTCGTATTTAAATTGAAATAGATCGAAAAGACGAACGAGGAAAAACGAGCGTGATAGTCGCGGATAACCCTATAATTTAAATCGCTCGTTCTCGGGGAAAAATCGTTTCCCAGACTTGAATCAGATAATTACCTGAACGTCGTGAACTTGCAACGGCATTATTAGCCTTGTCCGCTTTTATATAAATCGTAAATCGTGTGGTTATCGGGATAAATAAAAAGATTATTGCTCGGTTTTGCGTACCATATATAAATTAAATATAATACACATACACGAGATTGCAAAACTGTGTTAAAACAAAGAAACAGAGAGTGGCAAACGTCACAGCAAAATAGAACGATGATGTTACGACCTCTCACGACAGATATTCGAACCATTTTATGGCGGATTAAACAAGATGCGACCCTTGGCATTTTCGACTGAAGCGAGTTTGTAGATTGGTTTCTGACTAATTAATAACAACTTAAACAGTTGTAGATTGATATAAAAAATAGATTTTCGAGATGAAAGTTCAAATCGCCTAAATTTTTTGGGCCCAAAGATGCATTTGACCAATTTTAACTGTTAAAATGCAAAATAATATAAATATAGAGTAAAGAAAGGTTGTTTTTTTATTTGCGATAAATACTATTTTTGCCTGAATTTTTCTTGAATTTTTGTAATCAGATAAATTAATCATTCCTAGCAAATATGAAATAATAACCAGACAGCACAAATGTCCAAAATCGAATCTTAAGACGTTTTTAGGACGTCTTTAAGACATATTTAAGACAATATCTTATAAACTTGTCTTAAATATGTCTTAAAGATGTCTTAAAGACGTCTTATGACCCGATTTTGGACATTGTGCTGTCTGGGAATAATATATCAATATTATAATTCCCCACTCTACAATATAACTGTTATGTACAACATGGTCATATTGTACTTATATTGTTGAATAGGAAATTATAACATTACTGTAATGTTACTCTTATTTGATGTTTACTGAGTAATTCTCTTTGAACTATCATAATCTCAAGCTCATCTATTGCTTTGCACAATTTGGTCGCGCAATTCGCTCGGACCTGTCGTTTAAATTGAAAAACTCGTATATCTTGCTTCTGTTAATAATACAATCCTTCCAATCTGTAGTAGGTCACACAAACCAGATGGAATTAGCGCGTGTGTTATGTTCTGGCGAAACCGCCGAAACGCGACGCACAATGCAACGGGGTTGCCGCGCGCGCCGTTCAATATTTACATCGACGAGATGGATATATTACCGGATTAGATGACCCCTATGGCTTTTTAATTATATAAGCCTCGGTGCGCCGGGACATCTGCCCTATAGAAATAGCGGGGCCCCCCGTTATCCTCGGTCCCCGGTGCCCGGCAAGAAATCCGTCCCCTCGCTACAGAGTATCAATTACATTGTTATTACTGGAGTAGCCAAAGATGCGGTCACAGATAATACGCTGGTATAAGAGCATGCAGACAATGGGACAGGTACATACGGCCTGTTAACCGATGCGTGAGCCCCCCGTGCGAGCAACGTGATAGCCATCGCGCGTGCAACTATGCGTCTAATTTGGATTTTGGCCGCAAAGAAGAGACGCCTCGCGAAAAGAGGGCTACTATACCAGACAATCCCGGCTGTACGAGAGAACATGCATGTACGTAAGCATGTATAGATATATATAACGAAGGGTTCGTTCTCCGGAAGGTTTAGTGAAACGTTCGGAATGAGCGAGGCACGAAGCTCGCGGATTTCGAGAGCCACGGATTTCAGTATAGCTCGTATACTGTCGATAGGTGACTGTGCTGAGCGCGCGACAGCGGCGGCGGGGACCTTCGATTCGATTGCGAATCTTCAGGAAGTCGAGCGCGAGCAGGCCGTCCGGCAGAATGCACGACGGAAACGACGGAGACCCTCCACGGAACTTGCAGCCGAACATGATCATTGTAACCGAGAAATAAATGAGAAAAGCGCGCCAAGACACAGGGGAGAAAAATCAGAAGAAGTCGGTGATCGCGTTGCTCTGGACGGAGAAACGTGCCCGAACACTTCTGACGCTGCAAGGCAACGAAATAACAATTATGTACAGAGAACTGATTTAACATGGCTCCAATATACCCGCTACAGACCACCGAAGTTACCCAGGAGATCCTATGTCGAGAAACGAAGGAAGCGGCGAGCGGGTGATCATCCTCGCATTCCGTTCTCTTCGGCTCAACTGCAGGTGTTGGAGGATAGGTACAGAAGGGGAGCTTATCTATCCAGGAACGACGTCATCGAGATATCCGCGATATTGAGACTGCCGCAGAGCAAAGTACGTAAAATAATGATAATAGCTTTCAGTAACGGCATTCTATATTGTTCTCACAATATTTGTCGATATAACGGAAACTATTATAAAACATTTAAAGAGTAGCATCTTAATTTGTTATTGTTAAAAACATAGCAAGAGCAATTGACACAGTCAGTTTTTTTATGTACTTAGGTAAAAATTTGGTTTCAAAATCGTCGAGCAAGGCAACGACGCGAATCACTGAACTCCACCGTAGTGACATGATAATGCAACATGCTGTACATTTTGTAACAGATTTTAAAATCTTAATACAGAAGAATTTTACTACAAGTTAATGTACTCAGGGAGTCGAATCAGAATTATTTTAAAGTGGCTTGACCGCATCGAGATTTTGTATCCTCAACGTGTGTGTATGAATAAACTTTTTATGATTATTTATTACTTTGGCGTGTTACGTTTATTTTACATTCAATTGCACGAAGGATAACGTATATTTGATGAGAAATATATAACAAATCACGCTATCCGTATAGCAACTGGAAAACTATCACATTTGGAGGAAAGAAATTCCATTGTGAATTAGTATATACCGAAAATAAAACAGATTTATTTGCTCGCGGTGGTGAAAAACTTTAGTCCATGATAGCATTTTTGCATCTCATTGCAAATTAACAATACGCAAAATATAAAAAAATTGTCGAGATAAATCGACACGATTCACATCATATACTTTTGTCAAGCATCTCGCGCAGCCCAGCAAATAAGATGACGTCAAATGACGTATCATTAACGTCTCTAACGTCATTAAGACATAATTTAACGTCATCTTGTTTGCTGGGAGTAAACAGAAATAGAGACTTTCAAATTTTTATTTCGAAAGTTATGAAGAAATTTTCAGGACCGATTTTTCAATGATAGTTTTCTTAGATTAGATTAGAAACTTAGATTTTAACTTAAATTCTGTTTAAACAAAACAAACACATTGTTAGAATAAAGTTTAAATTTGTATCCAAGTTTAAACTGCTATTGAAAAATCGCCTCTTAAAGTTTCGAGATTGTTGAACGTCTATTATTCATTGATGTGTGTGTGGTTAATAGAAACAAAAATGAAATCAGCTAGAAGACATATAATGTTCAAATCGTAATAAAATAGAAATAATGATAAACATAGGTGCAAACGATAGAGAGATAAACAATAATTAACGACAAAAATAATGTAAAAAAAAGTTATATAAGTTTACATACTTGGTGAACATTTCTACAAATTGCATGTGAAGAAAAAACTTGCTGTAACATTGCAATTTAATTATCATTACGAACTCTTTTGTGTTAATAGAATAACATGATAATTATTTTGTCGCATTTTAAAAGAGAATAAATAGAGACAACTCAGATACAGAAAAGTACAGAGAATTCAAAAAGAATTCAGTCATATGTTATCAATCTTGAGTTCATTTTTGGGTGCGAAAAGAATTCTTTTCATTGAACTAAACTCTGAAGAATTCTTTTTGCATCTGAAAATGAACTCAGAATTGATGACATACGACTGAATTCTTTTTGAATTTTTTTTAATTCTCTGTGTTATCTGGGAATTTACATTTTGACGAGTACAAACTATAGTTTCTTGTACGATGAGTTTCTTTCATGTTATTGTGTTAAGTTTCCAATAAAAAAATTGTCTTGCCTTTCATAATCAAGAATGAGAAATTTGTCTCGACATCGAAATAAAACAGTAAATCGACAGACATCTTTCGTCATTGAAGACTATGAATTCGTCGCTAAATGAGAAATGTGCAAGTCGCCCAGACGAGTCACGTGCGCGTTTCTTCTTACGAACGGTTCGCATGAAGCTCCGAGACAATTGTCGAGGTTAGATTGCCCGTCCAAATCGCATTCTTGCGATATCTCCGGAGACAAATCTCGCGAAATTACAATTTATCTAACAAAACAAAGAGACCGTGAATTGCGCGACCGATCGAGGCGCAAGCGCGTCTTTAATCCGGTGGAAACCGGCACACGGTTTGGTAGATTACAGTTTCCCGAGTGCAAAGATAGAGGGAGGAGGTAGTGAACAAACGATGAAGCGGTGAGGGGTACGGCGGGGGAATATCAAAGGTTTGCGTTCGTCAAAAGCGGCGGCCTCGCTCCGAACGTTCCGACTGATTTCCGTCGCGTCAGCTGTTCCCCTCCGCCGGTGCTGAGCAGAAGGAAGTGGAAGCGCGCAACGAGGCGCATAGAAATCTCACCGACACCCAGCGCGAACACGCAGGCAACACGTCTCGCGAATGTCTGCATGCCCGAAAATGCAACAGCAAGCGAACGGCGACGGTGCCGTGGCTTCGCCGAGGAAGAAACAGCGTACGTCTAACATAGCAACGAATGACCTGATATCGAAGGTCACGGTGGTGCTCGGCGCGCAATGGGGTGACGAGGGCAAGGGAAAGGTCGTGGATATGTTAGCGATGGACGCTGACGTCGTCTGCAGGTGTCAGGTACGTTTGTCTCTCTTTCTCTCTCTTTTGTTTCTGTATTCATTTCGTTATTTATGTACCTAACTTCGCGTTACCAATTTCCCGCCTTCCGACTTTCCCGAACTCGATAGTTGACAAATGACATTATATATCGTTCGAAATGTTGACGATCGCAATAGATTTTATGTTTATTTTAAGCTTCGAATTCTCGCCTAAGAGGACGAATTATATTTCATTCTTTGGCGTGTTATCCTTCGACAGCATGTCCAGGTGGGAGTAAGGTTAGCCGCACAAGTCATGCTTTCGAAGGTCCAAAGAGAGTTATTTTGATATCTCGACATATTCTTTACCTTACGTCCGAGCGAACGATTTATCCAAGTATTACGCAAAATACGTATGCTAATCCTCCTGTTGTTTTTTTACCGTTTTATTTTTAGAAGTAACCGCATGTCACCTGACTCGCGAGTATTACAAACACATCTGTGGCGATATAACCTGTATCTTTCAGCGGCTGATATTACATAATTGCGACGGCCATAAATGAAGTTTATTTCTGAGGAAATGTCACGCGAAATTATCGTCACGCGTATCTTTCTATAAATCGAAAGTCTTGGATCATATTTAATCTTCGTCGCGCGGTCAATTTCTACCACGTCATCGATAGAAATGAATTTTATCTTCCTCACTGCAATCCGTTCTTTTTAGATTTTGCAGATAGACCATACCTCGTAACTAATGATAATTAATGTTCCATAATTGATTACTCGATACATTAATAAGTTATAGTCAAATATGTTAACTGTAAAAGAATCAGACTTAACATAGTATTAGTCTCTGTGTATGTATATACATTCTTTTTATCTCTTAGTTATCTCTGATAGTATACACAGGCAGTAAATGTATTACATATCTAATAATACTCGTACTGAAACTATAATATCATTGCTTATACTTTGAAAAGTTTTTATATATGTCTTGATTTATAATTCAATAATTAAATCTCAATGGAATCTCTCCTGTTATAAGTAATGGTGAGCCCTGTTTCTTCAAGTATTAATGTAATTTCACAGGGAGGAAATAATGCAGGGCATACTGTAGTTGTAGAAGGTGCCGAATTCGACTTTCACCTTCTGCCTAGTGGAATAATCAATCCCAGATGCAAATCCGTAATAGGTAATGACTTTTTCAAATCAACAAGTAAAATTTAATCAGATTTTTATCCCGGTTTGTATTAGAATGAGTAATATGTCTCTGTGATTACTTATCTCAATGATTAATAGAATGGATTATAGAATAACACAGAGTACCAAAACAGAGTATGCACAAAATCATCAATGTGCAAAATAAATCATTATTCCACTTGTTTATGTTACAAGGTGATTCTCTGTGTCTCCTGATGTGTATAGTCTTATATTAAGCTGTTACCTGAGAGAGTCAATTTTGTTAGATTATATATTGTACAGTTAATATTTATTTATTTGGATTTATTTCTGTTCACAGGTAATGGAGTAGTGATTCATTTACCTGGTTTGTTTGAAGAACTGGAAAAGAATGAAGCTAAAGGACTTAAGGATTGGGAGGACAGGCTTGTGATATCAGATCGGGCACATATAGTGTTTGATTTTCATCAACAGGTTGATGGATTACAAGAATTAGAAAAAGGCACGCAGTCACTGGGAACTACCAAAAAAGGGATAGGACCGACTTATTCGAGCAAAGCTGCTAGAAATGGACTCAGAATCGGAGACCTTCTTGGAGACTTTGACAAGTTCTCCCAAAAGTTCAATACCTTGGTTACGTCATATCAAAAGATGTTTCCTGCACTACATGTCGATATTAAAGCTGAATTGGAGCGTTATAAGCAGTACGTATATATAACAATTGTCTCATATATATAAAATTATTTTCATATAATTATTTTTTATAAAACTTCTCTTCACATAGATATTCTGAACGTATAAGACCGTACGTAAAGGAAACTGTCCAATATTTACACCAAGCTTTAAAGGATGGTAAAAAGGTTTTGGTGGAAGGTGCAAATGCAGCAATGTTGGACATTGACTTTGGAACTTATCCGTATGTCACAAGTTCAAACTGCAGTATAGGTGGAGTGTTAACAGGTCTTGGTTTACCTCCTAACACAATTGGCGAGATAATTGGTGTCGTGAAAGCCTACACCACCAGAGTTGGTGATGGACCATTTCCCACAGAATTGTTAGATTCTACTGGAGAATTACTACAGAAGAGAGGCCATGAAGTTGGCGTAACCACAAAACGAAAAAGACGTTGTGGATGGCTCGATTTACCGTTGCTAAAATTTACAGCACTAGTTAATGGGTATGTAATATTACAGTTTTAATCGAAACTAAATTTATTCGTTTTTAACAAATGATTAATCATTATCTTTATTCATATTCTTTTTTCAGATACACATCCATATGTTTAACAAAATTGGATATTCTGGACACCTTACCGGAAATAAAAATATGTGTTGGATATCGATTAAATGGAAAGGATATAGATTATTTTCCAAGCAGCACTTCGGAATTAGCGAAAGTCGAAGTTGTATACGAAAAAGTTGATGGTTGGCAATCTACCACCGAAGGTGTACGATCTTTAGACAAACTGCCTCCGAATGCACATAAATATATACGCATCATAGAAGAATACTTAAATGTAGCAGGTATAAAAATGTATTTCAATCTTACAGTAGATAATCTTATAGTAAATAATGAAGTAAAGCATATTTTTCTTGAAATAATTGGACAAAAGGAAAAAGTATATATTATAAATTAGAGTATATTACACATTACTTGAGTTCAACAAGCAATGCACTTTCCAACCGATTTCCGCCTTGTGTTGTTCTCCTTGCTTTGTTGCCCCGCGAGCAGCCCATGAATTGTTTGAGCATCGAGTGACTCGTAGACTGCGCGCAGGATAACAACAAAAAGTGAACAATGCAAAGCGGAACCACTCGAAAATCGACGGAAAAGTACATCACTTGCCGAGCTCTGCTTTATACATATTAATATATTTAAAAATATATTATACTTTGTATCTCAAAACTCTTTTGCAACAAGATTTTGTTTTATTTACACAAAGTTATTCTAAAAATGGGTATGAAAATGCTTTCTTTATCTACTATATATTCTCCACATGTATAAATCTATGATAGAATTAAATATAAGAGAATTTTTTATTACAGTCAAGTGGATCGGCGTAGGAGCAGGTCGAGAGAGTGTAATTGCCCTCTGACGATATACAGTTCACAAAATGTTACTTAAAAAGCACATGATATTAAATGTATTATTAATTTTAATTTTATTTGTAACGTTTGCAATGCAAAGCTGATAAGCGCACACAAAGAGAAAGATTTTAACAATAAGTTTATAGTGAATGTAGTATTATTGTTGGATTTAAGTAACACACTAAATGTACACACGTAATATTGTACAATGTGAATGTTTAGTCATTTTGTAGTCAGTATCAGCGCTAACAAGTAAGCCGAAGAATTATCAGAAATGTTCGTTATGTGTTATCTATTTTAAATAGTTCTGTTTATAGATATATACATACAAATATGTGTATATATTAAGATATACTTGTGTTATTTATCAATGAATGCCTTCAATTTTATCATTTTATATGTTTAGTTCATTGTACTATGTTCTAGAAAATAATTTGCCAAATGCTAAATTTTTAATAATATATGTCTACTGATAGAGAAAATGTGCTGCCACATTGTTGAAAAAGTTAATATCTGCAAAGTAAAGATTAATATATCTCGAAGTTTTCGTTTCTCTTATTCTATTGGCAGTGCAGAAATATACATAGGCGTAATTAAGCGCAAAGTGCCGTTGAACATACCCATACATACAAGTATATCCTAGATGTAGAATGCAGGTCGAAATCGAAAATTATGACAATTATAAGTAAAATCAGAATGTCTATATTGTCGTACTTTCTTAAGTTAGCAAGAGCCAAGAGCAAATTTTGATTTGACTTGGTCTTGTACAGCAAGAGTACGAAATATCGTATCGTGTTGTATACGTGATATTAAGGGTGAGTTTCACCAACTCCGGTTATGGTCACAATCTGACTGACTGTATCAGTTCCAACCGATGAGCATGAGTACTTTGTCATTCTTATCCATTAGAATTTTTAGTTCGAATCCTGATATCGTTAATCAGATTTTGACCGTAACCCGAGTTGATGAAACTCACCCTGACACCGCTCAGGCCGGTATCCTATTAGGCGGAAATTCTTAGCGGAACGGAACGCGCGCACCATTCAGTTACTCCATTCTATTCATGAAAAGAATGGAGTAACTGTGATTGGTGCGCGCGTTCTGTTCCGCTTAATGGGATACCAGCCTCACGCGGACGCAATAGCTGCAAGTTAGTGCAGCTGGGCTAGACTTTCCGTAATATCTGCAATTTTTTTCTTCGAAGTCGTCCTCTTGGATAATTATTAAGGATAGACGAAGTCGGATTTTGCAATTGGATCCTTACAAATATATAATGAATTAAAATAGACTCGTATATACTGCACTTTCCATGCAATGCTTATTCAAATAAATTATCTTTTTTATTCGATCTTTAAAAAAAAACTACGTTTTTACAGACGATTCTCTTTATTACAATTATAACGTGATACTCCGTATTTTAGTTAGAAAACAAGAAATGTCTTTGCTTGTTTCGTGAATGTCCTGTCAGACCTACATAAGACGATTTTTGGCGATCGTATATGTATCAAGATTGATATTGGTGGAGCTTAATTGTGGTACATGTACCACAAACATGACATCAAAACGCATTGGTTCTTTTTCATATGCGCGAATTCGAAACTATTTAAAATAATTTTCGCGATTAAACAGGCGAGAACCGACGGCAGCGTGTTGAGCCCGGAATCGCTATCACCTAGCACAAAGCTACGGCAGAGTCTATGAGATAAGTCTTTAAATTCAAGAAATGCTTTTACATCGTATTTGTTCATTATAATGAACGGAGTTTTTAATAATAATGATGAAATACCTGTAGTGGAAATATATAATCATTTATTTCGTGCAGAGTGCAAAAAGAAGAGAAGTAATTGCATATTAAAGGAAAGACAACATCATAGTCGTAAATTATATTCAGAGATATGAGTACATTTGTATACCGAATTTTTTTCCCATTTTAGGATGAAACATTTAACGTTTCAACATTTATTGCAAGTGATAATGCAACAACAGGAAATGCAAAAAGTAAGTAACTATGACCTGATAACATGAATAATTTACTATTATAAACTACAATTTTAATGTAATTGCAGATATTTACTTTGGTCCAGTATTTCAATTAATTTCAATACAATTCAATTTTAATATTAAATCTATAAATGTACAATTTAAGTCTATAAATGTCCAAAATTGGTAGTCCCAATTTGCGATTATATGTTCAACTGTGAATAAAATATCAAGGATAAATTGAACATGAATAAATGTAAAACATATTTCTTCATGTCATATTTAGCGCGCATTGGCAACCTATCTGGGTTGCGTTCTTTTTGAGGAAAATTTTACTCAATAACTATAGTTCATGTTATGTATACTATAGAGTATCGAGTAAAATTTCTTCAAAAAGGACGTTTTGGAACGCAACTCTGGCGTGCGTACGAAAACTCTATCCGAGTGCACTCGCTGCGTTGGAGAAAGATCAGGAGTGAGATTAGGTGTCTAGTAAGCGCTACAAATGTTTTGTAATGTTTTTATATCTTTCTCTTTTTTCATTCGAATCGAGAAATAGAACAAGAAAAAGAAACGCTATGCAGCATTTGAAGCGCCCAAAGAGAGAGAAGAAGCACCCGGGTGAAGTTTTTGAACGCGCCTCTGACAGTATCCTACTTCGTAGCTTGGTATAGCATGGTATGAACCAGGGGTTCCATTCTCTAACTAGTTGCGTATACGTAAGTTTTACTGCACAGGTTTAATTATTCAATAAAATAGCTGCGCAGTAAAACTTACGTATACGCAACTAGTTAGAGAATCGAGCCCCAGGTAGATATTAAAACGGTTAGTCACGCCTCTACCACAAGTTACTAAACACGCTAAAACGTTCTAGTACACTTTGGTACATTTTGATACTAAACGATCGCCAAAAATCGCTTATGCAGGATTCACACCGCGTCCGATGTTCGACGTACGATATCCAATAGGAGAACAGCTTTCTAATATAGAATTCAATTCTCCATTGGAAAGCTATTCTTTTATTGGATATCGGTTGTCGTACATCGGATATCAGATGCGGTGTGAATCCTGCATTATAGTAACAGGAAAAGTTTGGAGGATCAACGAAATTCAATTAGCGTGAAAGTAAGTAAAAGTAACCTACATATGTGTAAATATTGGGTGAATGGTCTTTCACGCGGACTTTCCGTCAACCAAAAAGAAGAAGGAGTACATTGTGTATATAACCTCAAATACTTGTTTTAATTTTTTGTGGTTATGAACTGTCATGGGAAAGATTCCATCTAAGTACTAACCGTGCCCAACGTAGCTTGACTTCAAGCAATCAGACGTGATCAGACGAGAACTGGTGCTTTTAACATGATTATGTCCGTTGACATTGGAAAGATTCCAATACAATGAAAATATATAAGTCCGTCTTTCAAGCTTTCATGCTAAAAGTATCAGTTTATGGTTTGTTTTAGTTGTGTTGCTGAATTGGTGCAATTAGAGTCAGACAAAATATAATTGTTCAGCAATGCTGCTAAAAAACCGACTATATATTCCTTCAGCATGTAATGAATTATAAAAATATAACGAGTATACAAAATGACTTTAGTCAAAAAGCAATAAAGTATTAATGGCTGCATTCAGCAAAAATCTTATGAACAATTACAAAGCTAGCATAGGACAAAGCATTTTTTCATCTAAACATAATCATTGACTGTCTGAAAGTTCCCATGGAAACAAAAATAGGACATTAAAAAAGAAAAAAAAATGCAAAGCAGAAAGTATTGTTGTCCAAAAACTACTGATAGCTGTAAAAATACAATATAAAATTTGAATGATACATCTAAAAAAATGTGGATTTTATACAACATTACAGTACATATAAAATGTATATTAATGTCATTTCACATTTAAAATATACATTTGTTTCAATATTATTTATGTGTGATTAAAGGAAATAATATAGTAAAATATTACATAATGTTTATAAATTATAATAAACTTTATTGGGCTGAAACACATTAAGATAAAACTTTGTATAATAATATTTTTATAATAATTTATAACAATTTTGTATAACAATAACATTTTTAAAATTATTACATGATATAAGTACATAATATTATAATAAATAAGATAATAGTATTAACCTTTAGGCTGCGGCATTTTTTCATTAAAAAAGTATTTTTTTCTAAAAAATTTTTCTATATAAGTAACACATTGCGCAGAATTTTGAGATTTATGCAGAGCCACAAAAGTGGCTTTCCCGGCAGGAAACGCACGATCAAATATAAAAAATTTTTATTTTCTAAAAAATAGTGTATTTGGGGATTTTGGTATCGCTGATTCTAATTTTGAGCATAGATTTATGAGATTTCGAGTTCTAAATGCAATATTGACAATATAAATAAATATAAATAAATAAATATAAACATATAGATTCATATAATCTTTTTTGTTTGGTTTTTAATGTTTAATTTTTGTATTTTTTTTACTTTTTTGCTTGATTTATAATTTTTTTATTTTTAAATTTTTGTTTTTTTATTTTTTATATTTTTCAGTATTTATATTTTTTTATACATTTATGATTTTTTTTATGTTGACTTTTTTCGTAAATGATAAATTTTTTTTTAAATGATAATTTTCAAAGCAGGGTGTTATGCATAATGGAGCATTACAATTAGTGCATATGTTTCAGCGCCGTAAATGTAAACAAGCGCGAACAAGCATAAAGTGGCAACCGGAAAAACACGCATTGCGTAGGCTACATACACACATATATTTTTAATACATTTAATATTTAAAATACTAAAAACAATAGTATTTTAACCCAAACTCGAAAGTCACAAAAGTGGCTATCCTAGCAGTCTAAAGGTTAACAACATATTTTTAGAAAGGAAATTCTGGATGTTTAGTGACACCTTTAAAAAACCCAAAATCACAAATTCGGCCAAATTCTTCTGTGTCAAGATTGTTTAATTTAATCATATCTTCATGTTGAAGTTCCCAGTCGAATAGTTCTATGTTCTGTTCAATTCTTTTAGGATTTATACTTTTTGGGATGGCTATTATACCTTTCTGAATAATATGTCTGAGTAATATTTGAGCAGGAGTTTTCTCGTACTTTTCTGCTATTTCTAACACAACACAATTTTTCAATGGATCTGGCACAATGTTTCCTTTTCCTATTTGATTGACAAATCCACGTGAGCCCAAAGGTGCATATGCTGTTACTGTAATATTATTGTCTTGACAAAATTCCACCTGTTGCAAAAAGAATTCAGAAGTATATTTTCATGTTTACAGCTTTATATTTAAAAATATATCACTATATTAATTATGAGAAGATATTCGTATAAATAATATATATAGAATTTACCAAATTCCTCTGTTGGAAATATACATGCAATTCAATTTGCAAATTTGAGATAGGCAATTTGGCATTAGCCAAAATCTTATTTATCTGAGAAATGTTAAAGTTTGACAATCCAATTGCTTTGGTACGCCCTTCTAGCACTTGTTTCTCCATTGCTGACCATACTTTTAAGTGATCTGTGCTGGTATCAATTATTATTTCTCCTTCTTCATTATAAGAATATAATTCTCCTTCAGCACTTTTAAACGTAAACGGAACATGTACCAAATATAAATCCAAATAGGTCAATTGCAAGTTACAAAGTGATTTTTTTATCCATTTTTCTATGTCTTCTGATCTGATACCACAAGGTGGGACCTTATATAATATATCATCAATATATTAACACTATTAACGTTATTACTATATTAACATATAAAAGTTGCACAACATACCTTTGTTACAATAAAAAGCTCAGATCGACTGATTTTACCTGAATCCAACCATTTTTTCAGAACATTACCAATAGCACGCTCGTTTTCATATACAGTAGCTGTATCTATATGCCTATATCCTGCTTCCAAAGCTATATCTATAGCTGTTTCAACCTCCTCTTCACTTGCCTTTTTTCATTATAATTTATTATTATGTATTATTTTAAGTTAAAATGATAAAATACTATAACGTATTTTAATAATTTCAATTAAAACAAAATATGTAAATCGTTATTTTGTGAACTTACATTCCAAGTTCCAAACCCCAAAATGGGTATTGTTTGCCCAGTTGGCAGAGGTACATTTAAGTTTAACGCCATATATGAAGTATTTTGTAGGAATGCAAAAGCAAGACTGCAGTAGACTGAGAAGCAATGCCGGTAATAATACCTCTGATCCCACCACGCTCTCGTTTCAACTTTCACTCATATCCTTCAATTTTATCTCGAGTTATTTAAGCAGTACGGCAACTTTCAATGGATAAATTTTCAATTTATATTTTTTATATAATCGTATGTATTAAAATGTAACTACGACTAATAAATTATTTACGCGGGTTGGACGTTTGGCTCTTTTTTTTTTGCGCATCTCGCGATTTCCGCGGGCAAGTGGTTTTCATGTATTTCGATATGAAAAAAATAATTTTATATTTATATTCATAAAAATGTGCCCAATTTATTTCTGATAAAAAAGAAATCTTTTTTAAAAGATTTTTTGAAAAAATTATCCTGCTGGAGAGTTAATGCAGAACTTGGCAAGGACGCGTGCAGTAACTTTATTTTACCGCGGATAAAACAATTGCTTTGTTTTTTCTAACTGCACTGCTGAACTAGTGCAGCTAAAAAGAATAGATCATAGGTAAATAGTGATGGAAATAGGATGCACTTCGGATGCAAGTAATCTCCGAATAATAAACAACAGTTTATTGGGAAAATACCAACGCTGTGCTAGGTACTAATAAAAACTGAACTAGTGCAATAATAGATCTGTTCTTTTCTTCTGCACTAATACCATAAGTTAAATTAAATATATCTTCTTTCACTCTAACTTATTACATCAATACAAAGGTACAGAGAAAAAATTAATAGTGTATATTTAAAGTTTGTTTTCCATTGTTGAATTAGTGTACACTTTCAGAATTTAAAAAAGATAGATATACAAATAAAACTTGATGGAAGATGAGAGAAAACTAGTACAGCCAGTTCAGCAATAGAAAACAGATCCTTAGTGTGGTCTAGCTACTTATTTTACAGTAATATTTTAATTTAATTATTTTATTTTTCAAATTTTTAAATTTTTAAACGATGAAATGGTTGCGTTCAGCAAAAAAACAGCTTTGTAAGCGCTTTGCTCTTGCGCTGCCAGCAACGTATGACTTCTACTGAATGCACTTTTCGAAACTATACATGCTTTCCAACATGTTACGCTTATTCAGCGCTTTTATTATGCTGGGAAACATGGCGACTGCTGAGTATCATGTATGAAAAGCATAAAGCGCTAGGTGATGTTCAACCGAAAATCTTACAACAGTTGCAAAGTTGCTTTTTCTGCTAAATGCAGCCAATGTCAATGTCACAGCTATTAGATACGTTAAAACGTATACCTAAAAACGATATGTTTGTTTTTGATCGCTTTTATCAGTTAAGAAATAGTCGTAGTTACGTTTAAAAGTCTGCACTAGTCTGTGAATCGATCATGCTTCAAAGTTTGTTATTTTAATAGTCGTGAAACAAGTCCATTGATCACTTGGATTACGTTTTACGTTAATAAACGAATAAAATCACTCAATTGACTTTGTATAACGTGTTAATTGAACCAAACTAGAACTCCTTATTCCTTCAAATCCTTCTATCTATTCTAAAAAAAGAGAGAGGTCTCCTCCAAGGCTCTCTCGTCATCACTGAACGCGACGTTCGCTACGCTAATTGACTCAGTCAAGCCGGCACAAACCGAGCCTCAATAAATCCGTTGCCTTGCAATTACGCGAGCATTTCAAAATAATACGGTCTATAGTCTCAAAGGCACCAAAATCACATATCGGTTTATTAATGATATTTTTTTCATATAGATGTTGCGCTACTTGCGTATGTAAATCGCAATCGTTAAAATAAATCTATCTAAATGTACGAAATCTCGAAACCAAGGTGTAAAGTCTTCCTTAATCTTTAGACTGCCGGGAAAGCCACTTTTGTGGCTCTTGAATTTAAAATACTACTATTTTTAGTGATATTTTAAATACTAAATATATTAAACATATATGTGTATATGTAACTTACGCAATGCATGTCTGTCCAGTGCCCGCTTTGCGTTTGTTGCGCTTCGCCCTTGTACGTATTTATGTCGCCAAAATATATACTAATTGTAATGCTCCATTATGTATAACACCCCGCTTTAAAAATTATCATTTGAAAGAAATTTTATCATAATTACGGAAAAAAGTCAATATAAAAAAATCATAAAATGTATAAAAAAATATAAATATTGAAAAATATAAAAAAAAAAATAAAATAAAAATTATAAATCAAGCAAAAAAGTAAAAAAAATACAAAAATTAAACATTAACCCTTTGGGGACGGAGCCGCTCGACGGGCTATAAGGAAGATAAGACTTCATCGCTAATGGCCCCTAATGTCTTTGAATGAAAACGTGACTCTTTTACTATACCTATGCGTATCTTATCGCTCAGAACGACAGACGTCGCGAGCCTTGCAGCTACGAACTAATTTGGGCGGCTATATGCCGACACGCGTCCGGAACGGTAAAACGGCTTGGGCGGCTATATGCCGACACTCGTCCCCAAAGGGTTAAAAACCAAACAAAAAAGATTATATAAATCTATATGTTTATATTTATTTATTTATATTTATTTATATTGTCAATATTGCGTTCAGAACTCGAAATTTCATAAATTTATGCTCAAAATTGGAATCAGCGATACCAAAAACCTCGAAATACACTATTTTTGAGAAAATAAAAATTTTTTATATTTGATCGTGTATTCTTTGCCGGAAAAGCCACTTTTGTGACTCTGCATAAATCTCAAAATTCTGCGCTATGTGTATGTTACTTATATAGAAAAATTTTTGAGAAAAAAAACACTTTTTTAATGAAAAAATGTCGGCAACCTAAAAGTTAAAAGAGAGAAAATGCATATTTAACATTATGTATAAGTTTCATTACTATTCATTGTTAATTTTTCAGATAATATTCAAATTTGTGTAATGTATGTTTGCATTAATTGTGGGACTGAATGCAACGAGCTCTTCAGGAGATACTGTCCTAGTGTTCTTAAAGTTTTAAAATGCGTAAGTAAAACACAACTCTTAGATGCATACCACAGAAATCATTGACATCATAAATATATTTCATCATATACACATTTTAGGAAGAATGCGGCTTATCAGCTGATAAATACATCGAATATGATCCGGTTATAGTTTTCGTAGATCTAATTCTGATTGAAAAACCAGCTTACAGACATCTTCTGTACAACAGCGATTTTAAATCGTACTGGAAATTAAGTATTATATTATGGCTAGCTGAATCGTCCAGAGCTTGGTCTTCCTGCGAGACGAACAAGACGGAATTAACTATATCGGAAATGGACCTGACTCATAACGACACGTTACAAGATCGCTGTAATTTTTATAATTTGCTATTGCACACCGCGTTAGCCTTCACGGGGTTCGTTTGTGCAGTCATCGTTGTGACTGAATTAAAATGGTTTATTATTCATGAAAAACCATATAAATACAGCGTAAGAGATTTAAGTCGTGCTCTAATAGCCGGAGGTTGTGGTAAACTGCTCGGTTTATTGGGAATTGTGTGGAGGCATATTGCTTCTGGTCCGTACTACTTTCTTATTCAAGGTTACACTGTTTTATGTCTCTTGACCGCATATTCAGGTAAGAATTGATTTTAGAGACTGTAGATGTAAGACGTTCAATAAGTTTATTGCAACTTTAAAACTCATAATTTATATATTTATAATTCATCTTTGTTCGATAATTATTTAATAATACATACAGTGTATCCTGTTGCCCTGTTGCAGTTGTATGTAAGACTGGAAAGGGAGGATCTTTGATTGGGTTAATCACTGGATTTCTGTTGTATGGTTACATATGTACTTCCGCCTCTAAATTGCACATAGTTATCCCCAATATCACACTAATATAAATGTATGTCCGACAAAACCATACTGTTTTTGATCAGTTTCAAGCATCTTTAACGGGAAGAACGCTCCAACCCAAGACTAGTCTGTCAAAACCGCAAGAAAATAAATTACATACACTATTATCTTCCAACCAGGCGACGGAGCACACCATTCTACGATGACCCTGCAAACATAATCGCACGATTATTTGATAAAATACATTTATAAAAGAATATTTTAAATCAGTTATGTTTTATAATTTATATTGTATATAATAATTACAAGATCAATCTTTTGTATGAAATGAAAAAAATATATTTAAAAATCGAGCTGTAAATAATGTATTCAAGTGAAACATCAATATTAATTTAAGCAATTGAAGAAACAGGTGTTTGTATTATGAGAAAGTAATATTTTTTACCTGTCTGCTAGTTCTAGGTAATCTTGCCAGACGTTGACCGCTTAAGTCGAATAAACGTATTTGTCTATTGTCATGTGGTATTGCCACTATCCCGGTACTAGAAACTGACAATCTATTAGCTGCACTATCTCCACGTATTGTCGCTAACGGACTGCGTATATTACGCAGTTCCCACACTTTTACGCTTCTATCATCTGATCCAGATACAATTTTATCTTCCCGCGTAAAGACAGCAGACGTTACTGTTCTATAAAAAAGAGAGACATGTGCCAATTATTAATCTTAGTCGTTTGGTGTTGCATAAAGAAGATACTGAAATATTAAGTCGATTTTTATAGACGATTTATAACCTGTGACAGATTTCTATTTATAATTTTGTGTGCTGTTATATAACATCTCAATTTTTTAGATGCTTTCTTATAGTCTGAAATGGACAATGTAAAAAAAATTTATTAGCTTTACTGGTAGCGATAAACATACTCTGTGTGACCTTGGAACACCGAGACTGAGTGTATTGGTTCGCGGAAGTCCCATAACCGAAACGTGTTATCTCTGCTGGACGTGACGCACAATCTTTGTGTATGGTGAGTCGATACGTGAGTTAATTCTTGATCGTGCCCACACAGGGTATGTATAATTTCTCCGGTTTCTGTATCGTACAAATTTGCTGTTCTATCCCAAGAAGCTGTAACTAACTGTTCAGCACCGGGAAGCCAATCTGCGGCTATTACGACGTTCGTATGACCGAAAAGTTCCCGTATGGGTGTTCTCAGAGTCGGAGGATCGTCTTGCTCCTCGCTATTACTAATTAGATTATTGATAGTAGATCGCTCAGAACTAGCTACTGGAAGTTCCTCTAACGACGATACTCTCTTTGGCATGTCCCAATCGACAGCTGCTTGCCACACGTGAGCGGAATTGTCGCCGCTCGCTGACAATGCTAGTTCCCTGTTCGGGTGAAATCGAACAGAATTCACGGATCCGCTGTGACCGATATATTGCAATAAACATCGACCGCTATCTATCGCCCATATGCGTGCTGTATGATCAGCAGAGGCAGTTGCTATGATAGGCTGGCCTGATCTGCCCACAGAAACCTCCCATACGCCATCACGATGACCCACATACTCTCTTTGCATAGTACAGGTCATTGATGGTGTTTTAAAGCTTGATACTATTTTACTAGTCTGTGCTTTCAATTTGTGAGAAGCTTTGATCTTTTGTGCAGAATTTACACCTATTGCTGGAAGAAAAAGGAGATTGTTATTAAGAACTGAATAATGTAACTGTCGAATTTAAATTGTAATGTGCTGCTTGCGTTGTATTTTATATTATTTATAATCACAATTGTATCACTATACTGAGGACTTACACTTTTGCTTAGAAAGATTCTTTGTTTCTGGGTAATCCATAAGATCTCCAGGAGGTAAACTACGTTCACCTGATCCATAGCATTCCCTCTCGAGTCTATCGTTTAAAATGTCAATTTTCTCCTGTACTATAATAAGACACAGCGTTATCAACATACTTGCTTGATTTTTAATGAATGTAAAGCAAGCACTTACATCCTAGATTTTCAGTGTACAACATTTCAAATTCCTTCTCAATCTGTTGAAAGAGATCATACAGACGGCATCGCAAAGCCGGTGGGATAGGACTATCTTCTAATTCCGAACGAAAAGAAACATAGTGCAACGCAGTAGTAGGTTGCAACGGAGTCGAGCCACTTTGACTCTGTTGCGATTGTAGCTCGGTATCGGTGCTGCTTTGTACGCGAGGTATAGAGATCCTCTTTGCTTTGCCACTGGATTTATTTCCAGTTGTGGCCGGTGGTTCGCCGGGCATGACTCGTTACTTAACAACAACGATACAAACAGCAGACAAACATGTTTCATCGGATTTCGTTTTGTCGCATATGTTGTCGATCACTTGAATTTTAGAGTCACTGCATTATTGATCACGTATATCATACACGACTGGTCGGCAAAGTACACGGAGTAATTGACTAATAATTTTATCGGCATTATCAAATGATATTCTTACGTCAATTCATCGCAAAAGCTAACTAGTGATAACTGCGTTCTGCGTCTTCCTCTCGTCTTATCGTGGATGCAAATGTCAAACCAACCTTGGTTGGACGCAAACGCAAGCAGCTGTAGCAAAACGTGGCGGTACGTTTGAAAAAGTATTATTTTTATAAGTAGATATTTTAAATACGCAATATATCATGTCTTATGCGTATATATACGTCTGCACCGATGAAGAAACATTAAATGCCGATTATGCCTTTCGCCATAGATTTCTTCTAATCGATTTCATTAATGAGTAAAAGATGACCGACCAACAAAGTAAAAGGAATAGCTATAAATGAGTTTATAAATCGTTCTGGAAGTTATTTTAACAGAAATAATTAACTGTTTTTAATAGGTCTAATAATTAAAGATAATAAAATCATACGGCACAGACCTTATGAATTCATTTTTTCAACAAACATGTTATAATGCAATGATAAAATTAAATATTTGATGATATGCTCACGGTTTTCTAAATTTAACGAGTTACGTAATAATATCACGTAACGAGCATGTACATTGGCTGCGTTCAGAAAACATAGCTGATCAGTGAGCGGTCAGTGATTATTGGTCCTTACTGTTAGATCTCTAACTTTAGACCAATTATATTTACGAATTGCTCAACTGTTATGCAACTGTTGAGTTCGTTGAACGCACCCATTGATATAATATCGCTTGAATCTTTGTTTATTCAAATAAATTATACAACAGCATGGTAGAATAATGCAGGATTCATTGGACCGCGTCCGATATCCGATGTACGACAACCGATATCCAATAAAAGAATAACTTTCCAATGGAGAATTGAATTCTATATTAGAAAGCTGTTCTTCTATTGGATATCAGACATTGTACGTCGGACATCGGACGCGGTGTGAATCCTGCATAAAGCCAGTACATGATGTTTGTTTCGTGCTGCATGGTAGAATAAAGCCCAAAACCGTAAAAAATTGACCAATCATAGTCGAATTATAGAAGAATAATCGACTGTGATTGGTCAATTTTTTATGGTTCCGGCATAAGTTAACGGATTACGGCTATCATAAACCGGCTTTAAAGGTCCTACCATGAAATGACATAACTGCATGTGCATAGCATAAGGGCTATCGCACACAAATTGACATAATTGCATATGCATAGCATAAGATCGTATGGACCAATAAGCATCGAATATTAAGCATCGAACACCAATATGGCGACTTAATACTCGATGCTCATTGGTACATACGGTCTTATGCTATGCATATGCAGTTATGTCAATTTGTGTGCGATAGCCCTAAGATTATATGAACATCGAGTATTTAGCCGCCATATTGATGCTTGATGCTCAATACTCGATGCTCATTGGTACATACGGTCTTATGCTATGCATATGCAGTTATGTCAATTTGTGTGCGATAGCCCTAAGATTATATGAACATCGAGTATTTAGCCGCCATATTGATGCTTGATGCTCAATACTCGATGCTCATTGGTCCATACAGTCTTATGCTATACATATGCAGTATGTCATTTCATGTGTGAGAGCCTTATCTCTCAGCAAATCCATGCAGAAGAATAGCGGAGCGTGGAACGAGAGCGGAACTAATCATATGTGTTCCACAGTTTTCGCTCGTGATTGCTTCCGCTCATAATTGGTACCGCTCTCGTTCCGCGTTTCGCTATTCCGCTGCATGGGTTTGCACCCTCAGAGCTGCGTTCCAAAACTCAACTCGACGGGTACAGTAGCATTAATTGACCAATAAGAACAAAGATAACTAGGATTTCTTTATTATGATTGATCAATTAAATGTACTCTACCCAGTGTACGAGTACGAGTAGAATTTTGGAACGCAGCCCAGTGAGCAATCAGCGATTATTGCGCCCATTCAGTACTACAATCACTCATTGAGCGCTCAGTGAGTTCTTACACATTAGCATATTCTTTTAGATCTCAAAATATATACCAATCAAGTGTAAGAGCTCACTGAGCGCTCAGTGAGCGGTGTAATACTGAATGCACTCATTGGTTCTTAGATCCCTAAATCTAGACCAATTATTTACAACATTGACGAATTATTCAACAGTTACACAACAGTTGAATAATTCGTCAATGTAATTGGTCTAGATTTAAGGATCTAACAGTAAGAACCAATAATTGCTGATTGCTCATTGAACGCTTTTTCCGCTGAACGCGCCCATTGACGAATTGCTTAATGACTCCTGCACACAGGATGCGGTAATGCTTGCCGCGCGGCGGAAGTCACGCAACAGCTAATCAATATCGTGCTTTCCGTAATAACCTTCTGGCTCTTACGGAAAAATTACATATTGATTGGCTGTCATACAGACTTCCGCCGCGCAGCAAGCTTACCGCGTTCTATGTGCAGGAGTCATAACTGTTGAGTCTGCTGAATGCAGCCAATCATGAAACGGGTGCAAATGTTATGTCCTGCTGAACGCAGCCATACATACTGCGTTATACATATCATAAAGGTTTCCCGCCAAAATAGATATTTGTAAAGTGTTTATATGCTGAATTTATACTTGTTTAACTTGGTATATTTCTGCATATTTAATCAGTTTTATTCAGATACTCGAATATAATCGTAAAATGGAAGGTTTTGATGATCCAGGAGTGTTTTTCTCGGATAATTTTGCTGTAGACGAAACTCACGAAAACCAAGCAAATCTCCAACACTCGAAAAAGAAATTCAAAGAGTTTATTCGGCAATTTCATGAGGGTAACTTCAACTATAAATATCGGTAATTATTTAAAATGTTTTTTCTACATTTGTACAAGATTTTAATTATCTGTTAATATGAATATCTCTAATATAATTATTGTCATAATTAGTGACACCTTGAAGCGTAACTACAACCTTGGTCAATATTGGCTGGAAATTAATTTAGAAGATCTAGCAGCCTTCGATGAGTCGCTTGCTGAGAAAATTCAAAAACTTCCAACTGAGTACTTGCCTATTTTGGAAGAAGCTGCAAAGGATGTTGCAGATGAACTCACAGCACCTCGGCCAGAGGGTGAAGAAAAGATGGAAGATATTCAAGTGCTGTTGTGTTCAGATGCTCATCCAAGTTCTCTAAGAGGAATGAAGGTACAATTTACAATCAATAGTTTGTACAATAAAGTGCGAATGAAAATAATGCCCAAATTTGCATGTAGTTTGAAGAAATTAGATAGTGATAAGTCCCAAATTTAAACATAGAATAAACGTGTGTATTTAATAGTTTCTAAGATACACTCTTTTTAGTTAAATATATAATTATAATTGTTTTACTATGTTATAGCCTGATATTGTCTCCAAGATTGTTAAGATTCCTGGTATAATTGTGTCTGCATCTGGTATTAGAGCAAAGGCAACAAAAATTGCAATACAATGTCGCTCTTGCAAAGTTACTCAAGTCAACATTCCTATTAAACCAGGTTTGGAAGGGTATGTGCTACCAAGAAAATGTTCAACGTAAGTTTCTTTAAACATTTTTTTATTCATTATAATATATTTTTATATTGCCTTAAGATGCTACAAGTAATTTTAATTCTTTTTATTCTTAGGGAACAGGCAGGACGACCAAAATGTCCTTTAGATCCTTTTTTTATAATGCCAGATAAGTGCCACTGTGTAGACTTCCAAGTTTTAAAACTTCAGGAATTACCAGATCATATACCACAGGGTGAAATGCCTAGGCATTTACAATTGTATTGCGATCGATACCTATGTGACAGAGTTGTGCCTGGTAATAGAGTGTTGATTCTTGGAATATATTCTATCAAGAAGGTATCTAAGACAGGTAGCAAGAATGCAAACAAGGAAAAAGCATTAGTAGGCGTTCGAGCTCCGTATATTCGAGTTCTGGGAATTTCTGTGGATGGAGAAAATACAAATATCGGTATTTATAATATCATGATATAGATCTAAAAACTATATGTCTAATATCAAACGGCATTTTGCATTTATCTTCTATTTGTATTTCTTTTGCGCAGGAACTCAGCCGCCCGTTACTTCCGAAGAGGAAGATCTTTTCACTCGTTTAGCTGCAGATCCGAATTTATATGAGAGAATTGCGAAAAGTATAGCACCTAGCATTTTCGGTGCGATCGACATAAAAAAGTCTATAGCGTGTTTGTTATTCGGTGGATCAAGGAAACAGTTGCCCGATGGCCTGTGCAGAAGAGGCGATATCAATGTCTTGATGCTGGGTGATCCAGGCACTGCTAAATCACAATTGTTGAAATTTGCAGAAAGAGTGGCCCCCGTAGCTGTTTATACATCGGGGAAAGGTAGTTCCGCGGCTGGTTTGACAGCATCTGTATCGAGAGACCCAGCAACTGTAAGTTGTATTTTTAAATTACATCATAGATTTTCATGATATTAAAAGCTTCTAAATCCTCGCTATGGCTATTTTTATTTGATAACTTCAGAAATGAAGAGAAATTGCATGCTAATTTATATTGTGGTATACATAGAAATCAAAGAATACACTAAATGACAGTTGTGATCGATTCAGCACACTTGTAAAAAAAAAAAAAATATATATATATATATATATATATATATATATATATATATATATATATATATATATATATATATATATATATATATATATATATATATATATATATATATATATATATATATATATATATATATATATATATATATATATATATATATATATATATATATATATATATATATATATATATATATATATATATATATATATCCGGACATTTTCCTTTAATTTGAATAATTAATAAGCAGTCATAAAATTAATGCAATAGAAATCAGAGGAATAGATAGATTAAAAACGCAAGTTGCATGTTACACTAATTTTCGGCTATATATTATTATTATTGAAGTATATATTATTGAGATTAAAAAAAAGTATCCTGATATTTTTAAAAATGTGCTGAATCGATAAAGATTGCCACTTTATGCATATATTTTTAAATTTCCATATGTAGCGGAATATAAATTGACATACGATTTTTCGCTTCTGACGTAATTAAATAAGGACAGCCAAAATGAGGACACAAGAGTCTTAACAAATATTTTTCGTGACAATATAATATGTTAACATATATTATTGCTTTCAGAGGAACTTTGTCATGGAAGGTGGCGCGATGGTTTTAGCGGATGGTGGAGTCGTGTGTATCGACGAATTTGATAAAATGAAAGAGGATGATAGAGTGGCGATACACGAAGCCATGGAACAACAAACAATTTCTATAGCGAAGGCGGGAATAACGACAACTCTGAATACGCGTTGTTCTGTGTTAGCAGCAGCTAATTCTGTCTTTGGTCGTTGGGATGACATAAAGGGAGAAGAAAACATAGATTTTATGCCGACAATATTATCACGTTTCGATATGATATTTATTGTTAAGGATGAACATGAACATAACAGAGATGTAACTTTGGCTAAACATGTTATGAACATTCATTGCAACGCTGGTCAGATCACAGAACAATCGGTAGAAGGCGAGATCCCTGTGCATATTCTTAAGAAGTATATTAACTATTGTAGAACGTAAGTGCGCTATATCTTATATGTAAGACACACGTAAGTCTCACAAAGTCTCATGTACATTTTTCTCTTGTAACACAGACGTTGTGGTCCAAGGCTCAGCGCAGAAGCAGGAGAGAAATTGAAGAATCGTTACGTGATGATGCGAGCCGGTACAAGAGAACACGAAAAAGATTCCGAAAAAAGATTGTCCATACCTATAACGGTCAGACAACTTGAAGCTGTTATACGAATGTCCGAAGCTCTAGCCAAGATGCAGATGCAATCTTTTGCAACTGAAGTCCACGTTAACGAAGCTTTGAGGCTTTTTCAAGTGTCTACATTAGAAGCTGCAATGTCTGGATCATTGGCAGGTAAACTACAAATTTATACATAAAATATAATATTGCAGTAATTATAGTATAGACAATCGCAGTAGATATTCATGTAACATATATATGTTGTGATATTAGGAGCAGAAGGATTTACGTCGGAAGAAGACCACGAAATTCTATCCCGCATCGAAAAGCAATTAAAAAATAGATTTCCTATTGGACATCAAGTATCTGAACAGAACATAGTAAAAGACTTTCTTAAACAATCATTTCCGGAACGCGCCATTTACAAAGTTATACATACGATGATACGTCGCGGTGAGCTTCAACATCGTTTGCAACGTAAAATGTTGTATAGGCTGCATTGAAGAATAACAGAAACATCTTCAATGTATATTATATAATATCGTATTGTTGCGCTTTTGTGTGTTACATAATCCATTCAACTATTTCAATACAAACTAATGATTCCTTATGTAATAATTTATAATAATAGTGGAAGTTCACTTTTAAATGGATAATGAGGATGATTCTCGATCCTGAAAAACGGATAATTTATTATGTCCATTATTAAGCAAAGCATAATTTTTTAAATTAATTTTACAGCATTTTAACTAACACATAGAAAAATGGAATTTATGTAAAAAATATATAATATTTTTATATTACAGAATATTCCAAGTGTCTCGTAATATTTAAAATAATAGATGTGCATTAACTTACCCTTTGAAAAATAAGAAGTTAAAGATTCTTCCATTAATATCTTGATCTAAAATACTCAATTGTTCCATATCTTTTTCTGTCAAGGCAAAATCAAATAAATCGATATTTGATTTGATTCTTTCCGGGGACGAACTTTTGGGAATAATGATAATGCCCAATTGCAGTAAATGACGTAACAAAATTTGCGCCGTCGTTTTCTCATGTTTTGCAGCAATATCTCGGACAATTGGGTGATTGAGTAGATCAGGAAACTTGTCTAAACTGTAGTTATATTTTGTTTGAAAGTGCGCCTTTGCAGCTGGAGATCCCAATGGACTGTAGCCCGTTACAATGATATTGTGTTTCTTACATAATTCCCGAATTGATTTTTGTTGCATATATGCGTGCAATTCCACCTAATAACACATAAAATTCACTTTAAAAACTCATTACATTAATTTATATACAATGTATAGCTGTCTATATATTTATCATACTTGAATCTGAATTTACCTGCAGATTACTTGGTTTTATTTGTGCGTTTTCCCATATAGTCAAAATTTGGTCTTCATTGAAATTACTTAAACCTATAGATCTGGTACGCCCTAATCTGACTTGCTCCTCCATTTCCTGCATTGATTTCATGATTTCTTCAGAAATGTCTTTTATATGTTATATATGTTATATGCATCGTAATATACTGATTTATACCTTCCAAACTGACACAGGATCTGTATTAAGATCGAGTATATAATTTCCATCCTCGTCAGTTGCTGCAGCATGAGTTTCTTCATCTAATTTAAATGCAAAAGGCATGTGGACGAGATACATGTCTAAATAATCCAATCCAAGCCTCTCCAATGACAATTTAATGAATTTTTCTACATCGGAAGGTCGATTACCAAAGTGAGGCAACTAAAAACATTATGAACATAAGTGCATTTGTTTAAATAAATGTAACTAGTATGATTCTAATTCAATTATTTAATGAAACAAGAGAGTACTTTTACTTTAGAGATAAAATTTTTTTTTTCTTATTCAATCTTTTAAATATAATGCATTCAATCATTATATTAAACAAAATGCAATAAAAGTTAGATCTTTTTCGAGTTAAAACAATCTTTTTAAGTTAAAACATGAATAAATATATAAAACACCAATATTCTGTGTTTTCATATTGTGGAGAAAAATTCGTAAAAAATAGCCTTTAAATGACCATTTACGTTGAGAAAAAAGTAGTTGAATTGACAAAATCGACGGTTACCTACCTTCAAAGAAATATATCTATTGAATAAATTTTGCATTAATGCAACAATAAATTGTGTTGATATAGTTACAGACTAACTTATCAGCAACTATGTAATAATTGACTAGGCATTTACCTGAATGAATTTTGTTCATTCAAGCAAAGTCATTAACTTAGATGCTTTTTTCTCAGGATAAAGTAGAGCTTCTCTTAAATTTTATCCTTACAATAAGTTACCTTTGTTGTAATAAAAAGTTCTTCTCTGATGCCACCTTTTTCGAACCATTTTTTTTAAAGCTTTACCAATTGCATCTGAATGAATTCTTACCTGAATGAATTTTGTTCATTCAAGCAAAGTCATTAACTTAGATGCTTTTTTCTCAGGATAAAGTAGAGCTTCCCTTAAATTTTATCCTTACAATAAGTTACCTTTGTTGTAATAAAAAGTTCTTCTCTGATGCCACCTTTTTCGAACCATTTTTTTAAAGCTTTACCAATTGCATCTTCATTATTATAATTGCTTGCTGTGTCGATATGTCTATAACCACATTCTAGGGCTATATTTACAGCAGCTTCAATTTCTTCTGGTTTAGCCTAGAAAAAATTCTTTTATGCTTGCTGAGACTTATTACGTGCTGTACAAGTATGCATGATATGAAAGAGAAGCATATAAATTGATAATGTTATAAAACATTATTACATGCATAAATTATTTGAGAAACTGCATTACTATTCAGTACTAGTCATCAAATATTTTAATATTATTACATCACCTGCCATGTTCCTAATCCTACAATAGGCATATCATATCCTGAAAGCAGTCTTATAGATTGCATGTTTGCTCTTTGTGTTCCAATGTTCTTCTCGGCCATAAATAATGCACATAAAAATTACGGTAAATGCATTTAAAACAACAATATTATTCAGGGAAATAATTTTACATTAAAGTTTATAGTACCGTACTATTTTTAGTGAAATTTATATGAGATTAGTAATACTCACTACTTGGACAGGTTCACGTTTCTAAAGTTAGAATGGATGCAGCCTAGCGGACTACCTGCACACGTCGTATGGTTGCATCATATATATTACAAAGTCGTATTGATTGCGAGGGTTGCGCTGGAAGTAATTGATTTAGAAACAACGTATATTTCTCGTTAAAAAGCGAAATTAAAGAAATGATATTAACGAATATGATATCTAAACTTTATGCGAAAATAAAAAATAAACGAAAAAACAAATTACTATCTTGAAAAAAGAATATCGAAAATATGACGATAAAGAAAAGAAGATTAAAAAAGTACAAAGGTGTTATTAAGTATATATTCATAAATAATATACAAGATATAATAATATAAGATATAATAATATAAGAGATTACAATTATATTTATGTTCATGTGTATCAATATCGCGTATCCAATACATTTAGAATATATTTTTCAGTTTTCATGTATTAAAAGGAATAAATTTTGGAAAAATCAGTGCACTTTTCTCTTTTTAAATGTACCATCATGTTTATTATATAGGTCGAATTTTTTAATTTATTGATGGATCCATCGCATGATGCGCAAATGCAATATTTCGCTGTATTTACGCATCATGCAATGGATCCATCGATGAATTAAAAAACTCGCTTATAATAGACTAGAACACCACATAGCGCGCGCTTCGCGCGCGCCACTTTAGCCTTTTCGTTGCTATTTACAATTTATATTACAATACTCATTTTTACAAATTATATTCCCAGCAAACACAATGTTACATATAACATACATGTTAGTTGTAATTTCCTATTCAACAATGTAACTGTTATATAACACGTATATTATATAACAGTTATATTGTTTGTTGAGTAAGAAATTACAATTAACATGTATGTTACATGTAACATTATGTTTGTTGGGATTACAATAAATATCAAATTTATATGATGCGAACAACACAACCTGATCTGTCACCGCGGCTGACAGCTGCAAGCGGCACGAATTCAACTGCGACGGGATCGAGACAATCGAGACGGTCGAGACGGCCAATTAGCGTCGCGGAAAAGAGGCTTCTCCCACTTCGATACACTCGAGATTTAGTTAACACGCACTTTTTCTGATAGGATTTGTTCACGGAATATATCATATATTTTCAAGGTTTTCCAAGTAACTTTTTTTTTCGACAGATATTTTCTGAATGAATTCTGATATCGTTTTTTTGATAATAACCTATATTTAAAGAAGATAACAAAATGAAATTTTTATGTTTTTTCAGAAGCATTCCCACACAGCATAAATCTTTAAAAGACATTCTAAACACGTTCTAAGGACATTCATATATTCTAAGAACATTCTAGCACATTCATTTTGTTCACTGCATTGAGAATATATATATATATATATATATATATATATATATATTCGAGATTTAATTAACACGCACTTTTTCTGATAGGATCTTATATATACGAAACAAGATATCTAAATAAATTATAGTTTTGCACTATAAAAGATATCACTAAAAAATAAAGTTACTATCGTGATAAACACGCGCTTGATTCATATAAATATTATATTGTACTTTGTAAGTTCATTTTAAATCGTCATATCGTATAGTCATTTCTTTATTAAATATTTATGTTTATGTGTATCAATATCGCGTATCCAATACATTTAGAATATATTTTTCAATTTTCATGTATTAAAAGGAATAAATTTTGGAAAAATCAGTGCACTTTTCTCTTTTTAAATGTACCATCATGTTTATGTAGGCGAGAAATACTATAGACGGCACTGGTGGCAAGGCTTAGTACCAATAGCGAGTAGCCGCGCCAGATGTCGCAAATGGAAGGCAGAGTAGGGAAAGCGGAACTTTGGTTTTAAGAGCGAGCGCGCTCTCGTGCGATCTACAGAAGAGTAATTCGAACACTGTACCCTTTTTTTGAAATATATATATCTTTATTCGAACTAAGTGCTAGATACTATTTTTTATAATCACTCCACGTCCTGACACGTCGACGAACCAAAGGTCAAATCCCTCGCCGAACAGGCACATCGAGGAAGCTCAGTTGAACAATAGAACCGGGTAAGGAGGAAATAAACCGCCGAATCGAGAAATAACAGACTAGGAAGCTTTTTTCCTTGTTGCGCCTTACATTTATTATATAATAGATCTTATATATACGAAACAAGATATCTAAATAAATTGTAGTTTTGCAATATAAAAGATATCATTAAAAAATAAAGTTATTGTGATAAACACGCGCTTGATTCATATAAATATTATATTGTACTTTGTAAGTTCATTTCAAATCGTCATATCGTATAGTCATTTCTTTATTAAATATTATTAATACTTGTAAATATATACTGTAGTACAAAAAATGCTTACGTCTTATTTTTAATAATATATTAATATATATTCTAGTTTTTTTATATCACTGATATCGCTCTAGTTCATATCACTGAACCGATTATTACGAAAATAGATTATTCAACATATACGCTTCGGCAACATTATTTTATATCAAAGTCATGTATCCACTATCTGTTAGACTGTATAATATTTCTACAGGCCTTGATTTTTCATTTCGTAATTCCCTCATCCTTTCACATATCTGTTTGATATATTTTTTATGTCGTGGGTGCCTAAAAATAGGTATATTTCAAATTATTATGAATATTAATTTGTCTTATTGTACTAATTATTCCTTCTAACAAATCGACAATTTACTACTCACTTGTCTATGACAATTTGAATACTCTTTTGAAAGATCTGTTCTTCCTCATCGATTTCCAAGAAACTGATCATTGTTTTTATAACGGACATTTCTAAAAAGACTGCAAAGATCTCTATAGAAATTTTATGTGATATTCTTTGCAAATAAGACGACATTTGTGCCAACATAGTATTCTTGAAACTTCTCCTGCCACTTCCAGATATTTTGTCTTTATCCGAAAGAATAAAATTGATATTAACGTTTACCGGATTACTTGGCGTTATCAACATATCATTTCCGCTCGTTTTACTTTCAGATCTGTTTAACACCGGCAACGTAATTTCGGATTGTTTTTGCAAATAGTCAGCGACATCGTGTATGTTGATCTTTCTTTCTTGAAATCTATCTCTCTCCCATGTTTGTAATTTTAAAGTACCCTTCTCTCCATTTCTTAATAATATTATCTGATTTATAGAGTTTTCTCGACAATATTCCAATATTTCTTGTATAGTGCAGAGATCTAATATCGTAACTTTTAATCCTAACGACCAGATCTCTCGTAACAAATTGATCATTTCTTTCTCTCTTCGTCCTTCGCTTCCTTGATTTCCCTCGCAACACACAGCTACGTCAATACCACATTTATTCTCACCACCTAGATTCTCGCATGCTTCTGTGACAGCAGATACCAATTTGTCTAATGATATACTAATACCAGCACCATATTGTTTTATTTCTTTACTGGCCATTCCAGTACGTTCCAAAACTTTTCTAAACGACATCAGCATTTTGTCGTAACGACCACCCGCGGCTATAACGTCTTGACCACCTCGTCTTCGTCTGTGCTTTAGTTCACAAGTTATTTGATATATCACACCGCTATATTGTTGCACATTATGCGTTAATAAAGGTACAACAGTAATAGGCCACTATAAAATAATGAAAAAACCGTCGTAGAAAAACAACTTTATAAATTGTATAAATATACTTATATCTTGAAAAAAGGCCAATATTTATTTCTTCAGTTATAAAAATTCCAAAATTTGGTTTCAAGCTATGTTAATTGAAAATCGAAAAATGGACATTTTTCTGCCCTCAGACCTTTTTCCTTTCAAATTATTAATATATACATATTTTATTATTACCTTTACGCCTAAATTTTCTATATTAGATATTACGGTTTCTATATCTTTTAACCCTTCTTTAGCTAAGCCCGCGGCATCTCCCTTCCTTCTGGTTATTGTTCTTAAGACACTGGCGATCTTTGCAACGGAACTTTCCGTTTCAAGTAAATTGAAAAATGTCTCCATGGCTTGATCAGTGAGACATAAACTAATCAAATGCGTTTGAACTTGAAATTTCGAGAACTTGCCATCACGGGCGTTCTGCAGTATCGAATATATATCCTGATACTTATCCTTCTCTACGCCACAATACATCAATACAGCTTGTAACAATGACGTGTGATTTAAACGCACAGTAAAATTACGTTCTTGAACCTGTGGTAAGTCGTTAAAAATTTCCCATATAATAAAGATCAATTCAGTCTCCGTCATTAAGTTGTTAGCTACAGGACTAATGATATCGAAAGCACACTCGTACAATTCCCTAGGATGAAATCCTCGAGCCTGTAATGATCCAGATCCAATATATATATACACACACAATATATATATACACAAATAAATCGTTATTTTAGATTAGTTCAAGTAATGTGTTCAAATTTAAATGTTGAAAATACAAACATACTTTTTTATCTCTGAACACGCGTTCAATGGCGTATCTCCGAATGTGCGAAATATTATTCCATATGATGTATCTAGCGAAAGGTGTGCGAAGATCATGAGGTATAGAAACAATACTACCAGTGCGCGTCATTAGCTTAACGCTAGATTCAGTAAAGCTACTATGCTGACCGGATTTAGGCATTAATAATGGAGTGGTAAGACATAACCCGCCGTGCTTTTTGAATATCTCTACGATCTTTCTCTTTATATTTTCCTGTAGAAAGAGTTTTTTCGAGGAAAGGACACTTGGTGTTTCCCTAGCAGGTAAATTCATGTCATAAGTAATATCTTCCGCCGGTGTAACTTCTTGCGTGAAACACGATGCCACTAAATATTTGTATGCTTTACTTTGACTGTTGGATAACGTATGGCGCACCATCTCTTGTAGTTCCGTTTCTTCTAACTGAGGTGGTGGTAAATATTCGGAAGAAAGTAATTCTTGAGCAGTAGGTCGCTGACTTGGATCGTGATTTAGCAGCCAACTGAAAGATATAACAAGTTTAATTTATTTCGTAAAATTTGAAAAAAAAAAAACGCTACATGTGCATATTTAATGTCGTCGAACTAAATTTTCTTACCGTATAATATGAATTTGATGTGGTATATCTGTTTCTATTATATCAGTAGGGAAAACAATCTCTTTAGAGCGTAAATTCAATAGAATCTTTACACGCTCCATCCCAGTAGTCAGTGGTTTGTATGTCATTTCGAAAAAAATAATTCCTAAACTATAGATATCTACTTTTTGATTATAAATTGCTTTGGCAGTCTTTGCGGAAAGTTCAGGTGCTACATATAACGCTGTCCCAACTTGTCCAGTAAGAGATCCTTCTACATCATAACTTACTGCTAAGAAGAGGTAAATTGTACAATATATGTGATGATTTATCAACTTGTTACATTAATACGTGATTTATGCTAGGCTAGACTACTCATACCTTTTTCAACGAACTGTGATTCTTTATCAGCGTCAATAGCATGAACCAACGTCGATAATATATTAGTCGTGGCTAGTCCAAAATCTCCGATCTTGACATGATCATTACTGTCAAGAAAAATATTTACAGGCTTTAAATCTCTATGTATCATACCCTGTTGATGAATGTGCGCCAACCCTTCTACAATTTCTCGAAATAATCTCCAGACACGTTCATCATCTTCGTACAAGCCATTGTCTATGGCGGTTCTCAACGTGCTCTTCTCGCAAAATTCCATTTGTATGTACATGAATTGTATTTCTTTTACCGTCGTGTCCTCACTAGTGATGTCAGCATCTTCGTTAACATTGTCATTAGAAATATCAGACTTTGCAGACTTTTGTGAGATATCGTCTCTTTCAAATTCTATACTATCAGAAGATTCGATTCGCAATAAAGTTCGCTTTCTGAAAAATTTTGAATAACATTTCTTTAAAGATTAAGTCCAATTAAAATACCATTACACACATACATAACTGCAAAGTTATTTGTATTAAAAAAGTTGTCTTACAAGAAAGTGCAGTGCTCTTCGCTGTCGGAATCAGTTGATTCGGAAGAGTCACTGTTATCGTCTTCACTATCAGCATTTGCCAAAGATCCGTACGATATATTCCATTCAACCTCATGCAAAGGTGGAGCGAATTTCTCTATTTCCTCACTTCCCAGTTGCTAAAAATATGAATGTTATATATTTTTATAGTAACTTACATCTGGCTATAATTATTAGTTCTAATTAAATTTTTAATATATTTAAGTTAAACTATATAAAATAAAACATTGTTACAGTTTTCTTCTTTTCCTCAAGCAACATCACTCGTAATAACACACTTACGTCAACTATATCTGCTTTATCCTGCGTAGTAGCAGTTCTATCTGAAGATGTAGTGATTGGTGTGAACTGACTGTGCCTGGTGGAATCGTCCAAGGTGGCACTTTCGATCCATGAATTGTAATAACGCACTACATTCTCATGATTCATTCTAGACAGCAATTTTACTTCGCGTGTAATCTTCTTGTTCAATTGCTTCTTTTTCGGATTTAATTCTATTCGTTTAATAGCATAAATCCCACCATCTAATTTATTTTTTACTTTTAAAACATCACCAAAGGCTCCTTTTCCCAACCATTTTAAAACTTCAAATTCCTTTTGTATTCGCGACTGTCCGCCTATCGACGGTAAATGGAATTGAATATCGTTGTCCGGTTCTTCGGGTTCTAAATTGTTTTCCTTCTCATCATGGTCTGGTGTTGCGGGTGATAAGCCTCGTTCTAAGGGTATTCTTATGAAACTATGCTGTTGCAATTGTTCCGCGGACCAACGCATTCTTTCGTCGTCAATAAGACACTTTGATATAAAGTCTCTTAAGTAAAGCTGGAAAAAAATTTATTTAATTTGGAACATATGCATCAATCGTTGCATGTTATCAATAAAAATCTTACTTGCGGGATTACTGTTAAATCGATTTCATCACCAGATATGATAGTTCCTTTTAACAACGACAGTAGCAATATTCCATACCTATATATATCTGCCTTTTTACCTCTTCGACCTTGAATCGTTGGGAAATCATGTTCAGTCTTTGCTAAAGAATTCAAATGATACATGTCTGACAGTCTTTTGTCTAAAGAGTAATCAGATAATCGTACAACGCCCGTGCGGTCTATATAAACACTAGTATCGCGCAAGTCTTTATGCACTACATTGTTCTCATGAAGATATTGCAAAGCTTCGAGAACACCGGTTGCTAAATGCCTCAACATGTCAGTGTCAACTGGAATGTTTTCCATCAGAAAGAACGAGCACGAGGTTCCAACCTACTTTTACAATAATCAATATTAATAAACATAAATATCATTCTTAGCTGCATAAGAGCTGCATAAGAGCACATAGCTCTATTCCATATATACATATTTACATACCACAAATTCTTGAAGTATATAAATAACTAAATTATTATTGTTCTGTGAGTATTTCATATTTAAATAATGCACAAGATTTGGGTGATGTAATTTGTACAAATGATTAAGTTCTTGCTCCAAGCTGGCAATTTGTTTCATGGCATGATGTATATCAATGGCTTCTTGAGTAGAGCAATCATTTGCCATTGTGCATTTTAACATCCATTCTGTAACAGCTAGTAATTCCCCAGTAGTCATATCCACACCAGCATATACTACAGAACCTTTTGCACTGTGACCCAAGCATTTTCCTCGATGCACTTGTCTCTCGCCTTTATTGCTGTCAAAATGAAGAAGCTTGGTACCTCTGTGCTCACATAACGATCCTTCAGAACTTTCTGACGTGCTAACGCATCTACGTCTGAAGTGATTCTTTCCTCGATCGTGTGGAGATGACGGTGTTGATCTAAAGACAATATCAGAGTCTGTGGATCGAACTGTATCTTTCCGATTACGCATTTCAGCTTTTAGAGCCTCCTGACGTTTCTGTATAGCATCTTGTAGTACCTAATAGAACATCAATAATTGTAATTGTTATTCTTAATAATTATCTTTGTCTTATAGTAAGCAGAGTATACATACATACATACATACATACATACATACATACATACATACATACAAACATACATACATACATACATAAATACGTACATACATACATATGTACATATATACATACATACATATATACAGACAGCATACATACATACATATACATACATATATATAATATATATGGTATAAGATAGCATAGAAGTATCAATTCAAACCTGTCTTTCCTTATCTTCCTTTATCTGTTTCTCCTGCATCTCACATTGTATCTTCTCCTTACGTCTTGACATCATTTCATCATAGAAACTGTCATAACCTGGTTTATTATGTTCGTGTAAATATTTTTGAACATGTTGACTAAGTTCAAAGATCATAACTTCGCCTTTTAACTTTTTGGCTAAATTTTCTAGCTCTGAAGATAAAATTGCAATTTGGTGATTCGATAATCCTTTGCTATTTTGCAGTTCAATAGATGGTATTCTAAAATATTATGATTGATATATGTGTTATAAAATATTAGTTTCATAAAATGACAACAGTATCTAGGAAATATAATCATATAAAACTTACTCATCAGGATATTTTTCACCACATATAATATGTAAATCTGTCTGTGCATAAATTTGTGCTGGTCCTGACATACCCTTCTGTGGTGTCAAAGTAACAACTATATCTAAGGATTGCCATTTCTTCTTATTTTTATTCTTCCGTAATTCACGCAATTCGTCACCAAAAATTGACTATATCATGGATAATCATATAAAAAAACATTAGGAAAAATACTACAGTTTAGAGGCTACAGATTTGTAGTATGTAGTTACATATATAGGTATATATATAATGTATGTTGTAAAATACCTTTAAAACTTCTAATTCATTTCGTTGTCGATCCTTACAGGTTTCAATGTAAGACATTTTTATATATTGCTATGCACCCATTCCACACAAATTAACAAATTCTAAATTTCATAGAAAAATTCAATAAAATCTTACACTAAACAGCAATGTTAAAAAAAAGATAAATTTAGTTTGTACCATATTCAGTTCGATATATACGTATAACTACATTATGATATAATTCAAAATGTTTAATGTTTAATTTAAAATGTTGAGTTTAATTAGCTCTAACTCACTTTAATCACCGTTGATTTTCGCGAAACATCAAATACACTTAAGTACATGTACGCTACGATCAATCGGATAGCCACATATGAATGAATTAATAAACAACGCGCACGCGTAAGTTTTTTAGAATGGCCACGTTAGCGAAGAAAACTGCTTCGTAGCGAACGTTTCTGATTAGTACGTCTGTCCGAATCTGTCAAAGGTTTAAAAGAATATTCCAATCATGAACACTGGCTTGGTTTACATCGTGCACTTGATAGGCGTACTAAATAGTAACTTTCTATTAGATAATCTTAATATCGACAATGCATATCAACAGCGACGTATTCAATCAATACAATACGTCTTGTTGATGAATATTATACTAGCTTAATAAACCGTTGTTTATATATATCGTCGATATTAAGATTATCTAATAGAAAGTTACTGGATACTTTCCAATTGCTTAACATATCTTGACACAAAATCGTACACAAAATCAGTTTATTGGTCACATATTATCTAAAATATCTTGTAAGATAATATAAACCAATAAACTGGTTTTGTGTAACACACAAAACGTAACTGGAAAGCACCCACTGGCCTGGTTTACATCGTACACTTAAACGCGTACTAAACAGTAACTTTCTATTAGATAATCTTAATATCGACTATATATAAATAACGGTATATTAAGTTGGTATAATACTCATCAAGAAAACGTATTGTATTAATTAAACGCGTCGCCGTTGATATGCATTGTCGATATTAAGATTATCTAATAGAAAATTACTATTTAGTACGCGTATCAAGTGCACGATGTAAACTAAGCCAATATAATTGGTCTAGATTTAAGGTGCGGGTCCAATGGTCCGTAAACATATCCGTATCTGTATCGTGATATATATCACGACCAATCACGATTCGATTTTGTTTATGGTTACGGATACGGATATGTTTATATAGGATTCATATTGCGTCCGATGTCCGATGTACGACGTCCGATATCCAATAAAAGAATAACTTTTCATTAGAGAATTGAATTCTCTATTAGAAAACTATTCTCCTATTGGATATCAGACATCGGACGCAGTATAAATCCTCTATCCAGTGTTGCAACATCTTAGGATAAATCCCTAGATGTGGCAATATTGATTGCGTTCAGCAGAGAAAGCTGCTTTGCAACTATTGTAAAATTCGTGAATCTGATTGGTACATGCTCTTGGATTTAACCAAAATTAAGAACATATTCCAATCAGATTCACTAATTTTACAACAGTTGCAAAGAAACTTTTTCTGCTGAACGCAACCATTGGTTACGTTCAGGAGACACAACGGTTACACAACGGTTGCGTAATTAGTCAACGTAATTGGTCTAAAATTAGGGATCTAACAGTAAAGACCAATAATTACTGACCGCTCACTGATTAGCTATGGGTGCTTTCCAATTGTTTAACCACTTGATACACATGTACACAAAATCAGTTTATTAGTCACATATTATCTAAAATATCTTGTAAGATAATATGCAACTAATAAACTTTTGTATAACACAGTATGCAACTGGAAAGTACCTTATGTTTTCTGAACACAGCCATTGAGTGCGTTCAGCAAAAAAAAACGCTCAGTGAGCAATTAGAGATTATTGGTTCTTAGATCCATTAGATGGTTGTTAGATCCCTAAATCTAAACCAATTACATTGATGAATTATTCAACTGTTGTGCAACTGTTGAGTTTGTTAAACGCACCCATTGCCTTCATTAAAGTTGTTCTATATGTAGGCTGAGTTCGGAAACGTCACTCGAGTACTCTCCCTCTCTTTTTATCTCACTCTTGTATTTCACTTACTCCAACGGCTATCGTCTAATAGGCTGTGTTCTTTTATTCGCAACAGATGCAGCCGATGTCATTCTATCCTTGTTTAACATTCGGTAAAATCGAAGGATAACATGACATCAGCCGCATCTGTTACGAATAAAAGAACGCAGCCATCGTGTGCACACAGTGAATGCTTTCCAATTGCAATATCCCTAGATACTTTCATGCACAGGCGATACAGGTTGCATTCCAAATGTCGTAATCGTCGATACAACACTACACATCCGTACTTAGCTCGAGGGCTACTAATCGACTGTGTAAACTAGTGACTAGTTTTCTAGTGACAATTAATGTTAATAAGCGTAGCGGCTTGAAAAGAAACTGGCATTTGCGACGTGAAGTGGATATCTTTTTTAATATTTAGATTTTATTATTTATTATTAAAAAGTACCAAAATATAAGCATAGTTGCAAAATAATCCTAATTCTACCCGACATACGTACATGTTAGTACACACTTTGTTCCAATTGAATCGTGCACAACGTTACATTTTGTGCATTTCTGTGTATGTACATATGTGTCAAGATGTGTTAAGCCCGTATCAGATACGGATTAAGATTGAGATTGAATTGAAAATTGGCCAATCAAAACAAAGTTCACCAAACTTGAGCTTAGTGAATTTTGCTCTGATTGGCCAATTTTCAATTCAATCTCAATCTTAATCCGTAGTCTAATACGAGCTTTAAGCAATTGGAAAGCACCCAATGTGTATTTCCGAACGCAGCATTATAGCATATTCGACTGGCTCTAGGTTAACCCACTTTGGGTTATTTAGCCTACGTTTATTAGTCGAACAAGTACTTATAAGCTTTATGATTGGCTAGTAGAGATTTATGACGTTATTAATCGCTCTCGGAGCGATTAACCCAGGGCCAATCGAACACGCTATTAGTTGTAAGCCGATTTCAAGCAGACGAAATTCTTCAATGGTGCTATTGACGCTTCTGATTGGCTGTCGCAACAAGAGTTGTAATCGACTTGCAACTAATATAGAACGACTTTTAGAATTTGCTCAATTTTCTGTCAAGGGCTGCGTTTTGAAATTCACTACTGAAATTCTATAATATATGTAACATAAACTATAGATTTTCAGTACTGGCGGTGCATTTCGGAACGCAACCAAGTTATACTGTGTCGGGAACACACATTGTGTGCACACTACTAGATGATAGCCGTTGGAGTGAGCGAGATACAAGAGTGAGATAAAAAGAAAGGGAGAGTACTCGAGTGACGTTTCCGAACGCAGTCTTATAGCTTTCGCAGACCAGCGCGATTTGCGACGCGACACGCGATATGCGATGCGCGATATCCAATGAGCGTACAGCTTTTCCGGAATACCAATACGCTCATTGGATATCGCTCGTCGCATATCGTGTGTCGCGTCGCGTATCGCACTGGTCTGCGAGAGCCATAAGGGTGCTATTCACGTGTCGTACGACAAGCTTTTCAGATTTATTGGTTGGCGAATAGAGTATTTCTAGGTTCTCTGTTCGTCAACCAACGTATCCAAAAAGCTTGTCGTACGACACGTGAAATATCAGCCTAATGGCTCCTGCACACAGGACGCGGTAATGCTTGCCGCACGGCGGAAGTTCGCGCGACAGCCAATCAATATGCTGCTTTCCGTAATAACCTTTTAGCTCCTGCAGAAAAACAACATATTGATTGGCTGTCGCGCGGACTTCAGCCTCGCGGCAAGCATTATCGCGTCCTGTGTGCAGGATCCATAATGACTCTCGCAGCCAGTGCGATGCGCGACGCGACATACAATATGCGACGAGCGATATCCAATGAGCGTATTGATATTTCGGAAAAGCTGTACGCTCATTGGATATCGCGCATCGCATATCGCGTGTCGCGTCGCAAATCGCGCTGGCTGCGAGAGCCATAAAAAGGCTAATTGCAGGATTCACACTGCGTCCGATTTCCGACGTACGACATCCGATATCCAATAAGAGAACAGCTTTCTAATAGAGAATTTAATTCTTCATTGGAAAGCTGTTCTCCTATTGGATATCGGACGTCGTACGTCGGACATCGGATGCGGTGTGAATCTTCCAAATGACGCAGCCTGCAACTAAAAGAGAAACAGAGAATTTTCTATCAACTCTTAACCTTTGACTTAACTGTAGGTTATAAACGTTAAGGAAAGTGCATAAACAATGGGAAAACACGAAGTGGGTACACCAAAATACATCGCTAATAAGATCAAAGCGAAAGGATTGCAGAAATTGAGATGGTATTGTCAAATGTGTCAAAAGCAGTGTAGAGACGAAAATGGGTTCAAATGTCATACAATGTCGGAATCACACCATCGTCAATTGTTGCTCTTTGCTGAGAACGCGCATCGATATATGGATCAATTTTCGCGAGATTTTTCGAAAGGCTACTTGAACTTATTGAAGAGACAATTTGGTACTAGACGAGTACCGGCGAATCGAGTATATCAAGAGTATATTTCTGATAGAGGACATATACACATGAATGCAACCCAGTGGCTTACATTAACAGCATTTGTGAAATGGCTAGGACGTACTGGGCAATGTGTTGTCGATGAAACTGAAAAAGGTTTGCAAATTATTTAAATTTACTTTTACAATTATTGATAAGATTATAGATATTTGCTAATATAAAGTATTATAAATTCTATAGAATGTTATGATTTTTCAGGCTGGTATATAACATATATTGATAGGGATCCTGAAACACTTGCTACACAGGAAAGAAAAGCAAAAAAGGAAAAAATGGATAAAGATGACGAAGAGCGTTTGATGGACTTTATTGGGAAACAAGTAGAGAAAGCAAAGCAAGACATAAAGGAAGAGGAGAATGAAACATTCAAGATACCACTAATGCGTCCTGAGAATGATGCACCATTAATTCTTGATATAAAGTTGAAACCAAAGCCAAAATTACTCCCTATACTTGATATGAAGCAGACGAAAATAAAAACTGAAGATATTAGTAAGGATATACTTCCAAGCCAATCAACCGATAAGAAAGATGAAAAACAAAAATATGATGACCAAGAGACCAGATCAATAAAAAAGTTCAAAAGTAATAATCCCCCTGCAATTGAGGGCTGGCTTAAAGAAGGCTTAATTGTTAAAGTAACTACAAAGAGCCTAGGTGACAAATATTACAAAGCTAAAGGTATAGTTCAAACGGTTGGCAAGGATGGTTTCGTCGGTAAAGTTAAATTAAAGACACCAGAAGAAGTTAGTGGACACATCATACGATTGGATCAGGAGTATCTGGAAACGGTAATTCCTGCAATAGGCAAAGAGGTTCTAATTCTTTGGGGGAAATATAAAGACAGGAAAGCGATAGTAAAAAAATTGCACATAGAGCATTATAGTATAGATGTTGAGCTTAAGCAAGATGGGACGATTGTGGAAATGCTTTCATATGAACAAGTATGCAAAATATAAATATTTAGATTGACTAATTTCGCGAAAAAAATTAGGAAAGAGTCAATATATTTTTTTATATTATAATCTTAATATACTCATTATGTTATTCTCCAACGAGCACCTGTGTACAAATTTAACAGTATGGTATTAGATATTAATATTTTGTGTGTAAAATATTTTACAGGCAATTTGGAAAACGATTTCCTAAGAAATGTCCCATTAACGTCCAATTTTCTTATTAAATATGAAATAAGTTGAAATTTGGATTTTTACTAAATATATATTAGTTTATACATCCGTGTTATATACTATATAAGTACGTGTATCTAAGATTAAAATAATAAAAAAAATATTACATATTTATCGTACATATAATGAGAAATACTTTAATTTATTAACTGCCGTTTAATATCGTATTTGAATAATTGTTATCGAAATCAGACTATTGCATTGAAAAATAAGAAATATAAAATATAAGAAATGAATACACATATAAATTTTATACTATCTTACTGTTTTTTTTATAACAGTATACACAATATTTTAGAAACTTTGGGTTGTATGATCTATTTATATTTTTGTCTAATTACATATTTAATAATAAGAACACTAAATATTGTTTATATATATGTATTTAATTACAAGACTTTTCTCTTGTAAGGATATTAAGGGTATGGTCTAGCGGACGCTGCAAATAGCGTTTTTACTTCTTTCTCTTTATTCGAATCCAAGGAATAGAACAAGAGGAAGAAATACTGCACAGCATTTGTAGTGATTGTTGGACCACACCCTATATCATATGTCTATTTACTAACACAGGAAAATGTATAATATCAGAAACTTTGTTTATTGTATCATGTATATATATGGATGCTTATTATTATTTAGGGAAGGAATTTGTAACCAAATGAAAAATTTACTATTACTAAAAAAAGAATTAAAAAAAAATAACAAATACAGCTGTAATTATGTACATAGATATATTTTGTATGGATACATGCATATATTTCTGTAGCGCAGAGATGTTTTCTTGGTTTTATTATTTTTATTTGTTTATAGATGAAACTGACGATGAATTATATGTAATAGGTAGAATTTATAGATGAAACAAATAAATGTGAAAATACATAAAGTTTTACTTGGTTCTATATATCATCTTTTCACGTATAGCTTGTACTGTAAAATAGTCTCTATCTAGCATAACAATACGACCATTGATTTTAAAAAATGTATCTGCTAGAAAATTAAAACGATTAAATATAGATACAGCACAGCCTTCACCAAATGTTTCGATATTTTTTTTTCTATATAGTATATTGGGTACAAATATAACTTTGTATAACTTTTGTAAAGAGCTATAATAAATTCTAAATGGTATTATTCTGATACATCTTATGAATATGATAGGTAGAATTATACCGCTACTTGCTACAAGCAGTCTACTAAGTTCATTCTCAAATTTTATTATGCCAAATAAATCTTCTACTTCTTTCGAGTCTAATGGTGGATTTTCAATAAGCAAGTATCCAACAATAATTACTCCAGCCAAAAGACTAATCCATCCAGTATAATATGAACAAGTGATTAGTACACGTACAGCATTATGTTCTCTGTATATCAGCTTGTAATCATCAGCTATATTATCTTTTAGTCTAAATCTTTTTTCTATTAAGGTATCAGATTTAACAGGAGAGAAATATCCATAATTCTTCGCACATGTGACTTTTGCAAAAGGACCAGTGATGATATTCTTGTAGTAAGCAGCTCGATATAAAATAGGAGTTTTGCTTAGGATATAAGCCATTTTACTTGTGTATATAACTCTGTAACATTGAAATAAAATTAAAAAAGTGATACATATACAGTAAAAATAATTAATATCAATTGAAAATTATTACTAATTTACTAATCTTGCAATATGTGTGTGTGTGTGTACAACTACTTTCAAGAATCTTGCAAAGTATTATTTGTAAATTCTTTTAGAAAGTTATCTGATAAATTTCACCAGAAAAATATTATAACACTATATTATTTTATAATTATTAGATATAGATATAGATATAGAATATATTAAATAATGTGCAAGTTATTGAAGAACAACTCACACAATTCATATTTCAACAATATCTCCTAACAATGCAGAGAGGTTAGAAAATTTGATGTTATAAAAAATTTACTTGCAATCATGAATAGAACACAGAATTCACAAAAGAAATATTTTGTACGTCTATTTATATATTTTGTATAAAAATATGTGCAAACTTTATTCTTTAATTTGCATACCTGTAAGTTCTTGTAAAATTTTTTTAAGTTATTCAATGTGTTATATGATTTATCGAAACATCAAAATCAGGTTAGATTATATTTTGTGCGTGTGTAACCTGAACATATGTTCGTAATTTAAGTTCCAGTTTAATCACCGCTATGTAAAGATGTGTTCGAACTTGTTCGAACTTGTGTTCGAACTTATAGCAGTGATGGATTTTGGCAAGATATTCGCCGTCCCAGGAAGTTTCGTGCGCATGCGTAAAGGGACGTCTACATTGGAAGTGAACAGTAAGAAGTAGGAAGTAAGAATAAGAAATTGACCAATCATAGTTAATTATTTTTCTCACATTCGACTGTGGTTGGTCAATTTCTTAATCTTACTCCTACTTCTTGCTATTTACTTCCAATGTAGACGTCCCTTTAAGCTGACGTCACAACTAGAAATCAGCTGCGTTCAGAAATGTATCTAAAGTGCAGTAGTAGGTGCTATAAGGGGCCCTTGTATTGTTCTCATGTGTGTTTATAAATAAGTGTCAACGTGTACTGAGTGAATAGCTGAAAAAATAATAAATTTGTTAGAACAAAGAAGATGGATGATCCGCAGCAGCCGACATCAAGTGGCAGCGAGAAAAAGAGCAAAAAACCAAAAAGGAGAGTATTCCAGTATTACAATAAATAACAAATATGTCAATTTCCTTATTATTATTTATATTACTTGCACTCTATTCCTATCAAAACAATTTTCCTTCCTCCTGCTAATTCCTTCACATTTCTTTTCTCGCAGGGCCCTAACGATACCTCAGATTCGACGAAAGTATATACATCAATGAGAACTCCGAGCGTTTGCTCTGTACGCATGCGCGAGACATTGTTGCCAAAATCCATCACTGACTTGTAGGTTTATTTACGTTCTTTACGTTGCTCTCTCTCTCTCTCTCTCTCTCTCTCTCTCTCTCACTCACATTGGTTTCAGGCATGGACGTAAGAATATGGCTGCGTTC